TAATAATATATTAGAATAATTAGTAATAATATATTAGAATAATTAACTTTATAACTATTATTAATTGAGGAAATCTTTGAATAGTACTAGATTCTTTTAGTATCCGATTTTATATTATAAATCTTATAATAATCTAATAACTTATAGATAACTAGTAGAAAGCTATTTAGATAGAATATCTTATAAGTAGTTTTATCTAAGGAATTTTGATTTATTTTGATAGTAAGGTAAAAATTTAAGTAATTTAGTTAAAGAATAAAAGAGATTTATTAAGAAATAAAATGTTTTCTTTAATAAGAATGATTTATTAAAGAACTAGAAAAGAGACTAAAGACTTAAAGTATCTTTTTAAAAAATCTTAGATATTCTTTATCTTATCCTTTCTTAAGCTAATTATTTAAATGACTTAAGTGAATAGGTAAAATTTTAGGATATTTATCTTATTTTAAATAATAATATGTATTCCTAAGTAAAGGTCTATAGAACTTTCTAATTTACTTTGCTATTGTCTCTGATAACTATTATTCTTTTTCTCTTTTCTAATAACAATAGATACTAAAATTTTTAGAGAATAAGACTATAGATATAAATTATCTAAAAGAATTGCTAATTATACCCCCTTATACAATAGCTATCTAATTTCTAACTATAGCTATCTACGAAACTATTATAACCTTAGTCTTCCCTCTACTAATATTCCTACTTAACCCCTCTAGCTCTATGGCTTTTATTTTATTTTTATTATAACCTTATTACCTTATACTTAATATCTATACTATTTTGATTTAATATTTCTCACTATTTATATATCTATAATATAACTATTTTTATTATACCTCCCCCTTATAACCTTAGTTCTCTCTTAATAGAGGATAATCCTAGATTCTCTATCTAGAATTACTACTTTCACCTTATTAACTTTAACGTAGATAGGACCTAAATTTAGAAATTAATCTAAGAAGAGGTAGAAGAAACGAGGTATTATAAACTATTTAGCTACGATAACCTAATAGTAGAGCTTAACTATCTAAGTAATCCTAATGATATTAATAAGTCTAAACTAGGATTTATAGGGAGTATCCTTAATCTTGAACTTTATGAGTTTAATTATTATAAGAACCTCTTATCTATATAAATTAATAGAGAATTTACTTTCCTTACTAATGATAAGTCTTATTATAAAGACTAATACTTTTCTTCGCTAATTCTAGTTAAGTTATTTAACTATCCTTATATAGTAACTAATAGGGTAACTAGTCTATAATCTTATTACCTATCTTCTCTAGAGAATAAGTTTAATTATAAGCTTTACTTTACTACCTTATAAATTAATAGCGATTAAGAGAGTAAGCTAAATAAATCTAAGTTTAATAAGGATAAGGACTTGTAGTCTTTTACTTTAATATAGGATAAGTCTAACTCTAAATCTAATAAGATATTACATTCCCCCTAAAGATATATTTAACTTAAAAGAATTAGTAATTAAGAGTATGAATTAATTCTTAGTATAATATAGTTATATAGTTAATATTCTCTAGTTTAATAAGTTAGGGGTCTATTTAAAATATAACTATAGTAGTCTAGCCTAGATATCTAAGGAAATGCTTATATAATATTAAGGTTAAACCTAGAATTATAGTTATCTAGTCTAAGCTATTCTTTAATTTATACCTAATGTAACTTATAAACTTAAAGTATTAAAATCTATCTATAATTATAAGTATTCTAGCTATAGATCTATTTATCTAAAATATCGATAGATAACTTTAGTAAAGTATATAGATAATATTAAAAATTAACTTAATTTAGGACTTATACCCTATTATACTATTATATTACTAGATATATCTATATTAAGTCTAAGGATATCTATAATATCTAATAGGAAACTTACTAAGATACTATTTTTCTATCTAGATACTCCTTATTAATTTTATTAATAATAATTAATATATCTAATATACCCTTAGGGAAGAAAATTCTCTATTTATATTATTTATAATATACAGAATTAGCCTTATAATACTTTAGGATAATCTATTTATCCTCTAGATAGACTATACTTATAAAACTAACTATCATAAGATACTACTCCTAAATATCGTTAGCTTAAATATAATATATAAAAGTTTTTATATAGATTAGGTATTTTTCTAAAATAAAAGAGAGGAGTTATACTATTTTACTCTTAAATATCTATATAATATTTACACTAATAAGTCACTTTAAATATCTCAGATAATATTTACTAATACTAAACCTATATTAATAAATATTATTAATAAGGTTTTCCCTAATACTAATAGAATAATCTACTTATAATATATTACTAAGAATATTTAGCTTAAGACCTATCTATCTTTTATTAATATAGTTAAGACCTACCTAATATTGAGTAGAAATAAAACTAAAGAAGTAATAAAAGAGGATTAGATTATAATAAAATAGCTCTTTATAAAGATTATCTTTACTACTATAATTTCTACTATAACATAGTATTAAAGAGAATTTAAGGTTTTATATTAAGATAATCTATTTTAGGACTTACTTATTAAGGATAGATCTCCTAGTATAGTAAGAACTTTCTCTATTATTATATAATATACTTTCTTCATCTTAAAGAGATATCTATATTATAGGTAGAAAGCGCTTATTAAAAATTAAGATATAATCTTTAATTAATTAAGAATAACCTTTTTTATTACTTAAAATCCTTCAAAATAATAGTAATATAATAATTTATAAAGTATTAAAGTAAGTATTACTAATATTATAAGATACTCTAGAAGCATTGACTAGACATAGATTATCGCGGTTTAAGATTATTACCTTATAATAAGATATGATCCTTAAGCAATCGTAATAATAGAGTCTAGGAATTTAGGGTTAATATAGGAGAAAGAGGGGTAGAAATTAGGCTTAAAAGTAGATTAGATATATTATGCTTGTATATTATGCTTATATATTATTCTTATATATTATTAGAATACCAATAAAAGTTATATAAGCTATATTTAAACATTTAAAATAAAAGCCACGGAGCTAGAGGGGCGGAGTAGGAATGTTAGTGGAGGGAAGACTAAGGTCATGATGGTTTCGTAGATAGCCATGGTCAGAAATTGGATGGCTATTTTATAAGGGGGTACATGTAGCATAATCGAGGTACATTTAGCAAAATCGAGGTTAATTAGCAATACTCTTATCTAATTCTACTTAAATAGTAATCTTATATAAGGTTAATATCAAGAAGTAACCTCTTAAAAATAGCAGTTATTTTAAGTTATATACTATTGAAATTATTAACATTATAAACTACTTTAATGAGTTTATAATTATGTATATTAATAAGCTTAGTCATTTTACTTTTAGAGATAACTATATCTTTTATTAAATCTAATAATTCTTAACTAATTAAAACCCTAAAGATAATTATAAGTGGCTTATAGTATCTATAATTAATAATCTACATTATGACATATTCTATTAATATAAAGGATCTAAAGGTATAGGGAAAAAAAAGAAGATATTCATTAAGCTTCTACTTTAAGATTAATAAAAATAAATGTTTTCAAATACTAAGTTTAATAGATCTCAATTCTAGTATTTATTAGATCTTTTATTGTAAATCAAAGAGTTACTAGAGGAATTTTAGTAATCCTAAGATATATATAAAAGATGTTTTATAGATAGTTTAGATTAAAATCTAACCTAGTAGATAAATATATTTAGTAACTATAAGAAAGCATTTAATTTATATTTTAGGAAAGATTATATTATTAATTCCTATCTTAGTATACTTAAGAAATGATTTTCTTTATATATAGAGGAGTAATTTAAAGATTAAGATATTTAAATTAAAGACTAACCTCTTATATTTATTTGATTGAAGTCTACTACTTAAGGTAGTTAAGTAAATTCTTAAGATTAAATTGTATTTACTATATCTATATTTACTATTAATAAGAAGATTTTAGAATAATTAGTAATATTTCTAAGAAGTATATAGTAAGAAGGATTTCTTTAATTAACTTAAATTAGTTTTGTTAATATCTATTTTTATAAAATCTCTATTCTATAACACTAAAGTCCATTTTCTATTAATCCATTAGAATAAGAGTAGATCAATTTTATTATTATTTCTAATTTTCTTTTTTAAAATCACATATAAAAATAGTTCATATCTTTTACTAATATAATTTGAATAATCCTATTTAGATCTCTTTCATCTTATTTATGAATTATAATCCTTTTAATCTTATCTTAAATATAAAGCTTTTAAGCATTTTTGAATATTAGATTTTGTTCATTATATCTATCTTTATAATGTTATTAGTCATTTTATCATTTGAAATTAAAATCACTATTAAACTTTACTTAATTTCAAATTATATGATAAATTATATTAAAGATCTAATATATATAACATCTTTATCAAGCTATTTAAATAATATAGTTCTCCCGCGATCTAGATCATGTTATAGGGCTTAGCTAATCACTCCTCTAAGAGTTTAGGATAACCTTTATCTAGTTACATACCTCTAGGTATGGGTGTTCTCTAATACACCTTTAGGGCTTTTAGGCCCTTACTACTAGACTTCTCTATTCATGCCGTAATGTTTCTAATAAAAATATAAGAAAGTAAATTAGTCAAAGAACCTTGAGCTTTCCTCCCATTCTTATATGTTTATAAGTTTAGAAAATAAATTAAATATAAGTGAAAATAAAATTATAATCACATTTTTGATTTCATTATCTTATATACTTTCATCTACTTTAATTCTATGTCCCTTAGTCAATATTATCGTCATTAAGACATATATTCATATACGAAAGTTGATAGTGATTATAAAATACTAGAACATATTTTACTAAGATATAGAATTGAATAACCATATAAGCCCTATAGCTTATTACAAAACTACCTACATACTCCAGACCAACATAAGGAAAAAGATAACAACACTATTTGCATGACAACACACGGAGCCAGAGTAATGATTCTATAACCGTGTAAAGAAATACATATAAGCCGTTTCCTTCATCTGATCAAGGTCCTCAAATCTCACGACCTTTTCATCATTAAACATAACCCAGGAGAGACCAGACTGACCTGGCAAAACCTTACGAATAATAGCCACGTAGTGACTTCGGCAGTCAGCAATGCACTATATCTCACACACAAGATTCCGAAGACAAGGAACTCACTCACCCTGCATGAACTGATGTGCCCTTGTGACACACGATAGATTTTAGTTGATAGTTAGCGGGCAAGCCATCATAGCCAGCTGAACCTTGCTGAGGTTGCATGTCTTGGTTATCGGACTGGCCTTCCTCCTCCAAACCCTCGTCGGGGTGGGTAAAAACCCAGTCTAGCGCTCGATTGACATCACCATCGGTGGCAGATAAGGCCCGACGAGCTCTGGCAGGATCGATACCCATCTCACCCAGCTGTGCAATCTTCGTCTCATCCTGCTCAGCATTCCCCGACCCACCAGTAGATTTCTTCAAAACGACTGGTTCGTCAATGTCCGGGTCTTCCATATGAGCAAACAGCCAGTTCATGGCAACTTCTGGGTCGGAGTTTCCAGTAGCATAAAGTGCCTTCTCACACCTGACAGTTGGGAAACCCATGCCCAAGAGCTGGTCCATGGCAACGGGATTGGGCTTAAAGGCCACATCTTCCTCGACCTCCGGCAATATCTCCTCGTTGACATCGCGTTCGCCAGCCAAGTAGGGCCCAAAATCGACGGGCCCATCATCGACAACCACTGGAATGTCCAATTTGGTAGGAACCCAGTTGACAAGCCCGAAGCGGCGAGCATTGATAGCCAGTTCCTGTGGCAAAGTCTTGAAGTATGAACGTTTTGAGAAACCGTCACGACTATTACACTCAGGACAGCTGAGCTCAACGACTTCCTCTGAGGTGAATATTTCCAAGCACTCTGACAGAGTCACGGCTTCAAAGCGATTCATTTCACCCGAGATGCGACGGGCAGGCACAGCAACAGAAATATTGTCTTGCTCATCCACCTTGTAACGGACCTTCTTACAACCTAGGCACTGGAGGCGTTGCTCCACCTCGAATCGAAAGTCTTTGACAGGGTTGAGCTGTCCATCAGAATGCTTTGAAAGGCTCACACACTTGAACACGTGCAAAAGGAATTCAAATGCATCCTGTTGCCTCATTGTTGCAAATTCCTCATGACCTTGGCCAATGAGATATTTGAACATGGCTGGAGCCAATCCCATCTGGTGAGAAACCTCGTGTGCACTCTGAGCTGTAGTAAAGCGTGTGGCCGGTCGAGAATAACGGCCCGACAGTAAGCCATCTGCCAGCTTTCTCAATTGGGTCTCAAGGTCCTGTGCAGGTGACTGACACAGCGGTGGCTCCTCAGATGGGCGATAATAACGAGATTGAAAACTAGACGTAGAGAAGATGCATTGCATGATACTGGAAAGGTAGCAGCTGTTTCCGAGATTAGTGAGGCCGGTGAAGCCAGGTCCGAAGACTGGAGTTAGTTCACGGCCATCTCCAGTAGTCATAGAGAACTCCCATTGGAGGTTGTGCTCAACCTGCATCTCCATCAAGCTTTTCTCCGTCTTTTCACGCCCAGCTAGAAAAATCCCCCAATGCGCAAGGTGGTTTGCAAGTTCTGGGTCTGTCCGCTCCTCATTGCATGCATAACAATAGACATCTGCCGAGCCCTCAGCAGTGATGGAGCCTAGTTTGACTGCCACAGCATGTGCTGATGTGTCTGCATGGGCGAGAGCGTGGGAGTTTCCTTGTGTACCGCCAAATTGGCTTCGTCCACACCCTATGTTTCCACATTCTAAGCAAATCCATAAATTCTCCTTCAAATCACATGAGGAGCATTGGCTAGAATCTATGGTGTAGTTAGCATCGTAGCCGAGCTTGGATGTCGCAAAGTAGATAAGTACCCTTGGATTCTACGTTCTGAATGTGTTGTTGAGTGAGGCACAGTGTGTGCTCACAAGGGACAAATTCCTGCTCCCATGCTTTTACCTCCTCTCTTTTCGAAAAAGTCATTGCGGTCATGACTCCGTTGATCACAGCAGGCAGATTCCCAATCGTTTTATCGATATCTTGCTTCGCGCACAGATAGCATGTCACCGATGTCGAAATATCGTATCGATCATCATCTGTCTCGGCAGTAATCGCGAGCTTTGAAATCTTGGGCGGAGGCTCATCTCTCTATAGCCTGTGAGAAGGAATGTTGACGTCATTTTTGGATAGCTTAAGCCTTACCTGAACTTGTTTCGGAGTTCTGCGAATATTCAAAGCCAGCGTGTGACCAAAACGTTGGTGGTGCAGCAATGCATGATCTCTATCCCCGGTACACCCACCGTTAAAACAGTGGAGACATACATTGAGACCTGAGTCATTGTCCTTTAGAGAAAAACAGTTAGACTCATCACCCAGAGACAAGATCGAAGCAAAGCAATAAGAAAGCATACAATGGAATCAAAGCATTGCGTACAGTCCTCTCTATACACAGCTTGAGAGGTTCCTGGTGGTTGGAGGTCTAATATGATCAGCCTATCACTTCTCTTCATGGTGAACAATTCTCTCACTAACCTAGAGCTTCTGAATGAAGACAGGCCATTTTATCGGAAGTCAAAAGTAGTTTTCAGGTATAGGAAGGCAAGAGCGTAGAGAGAAGTCCAAAGACTAGAGAAGGGCACAGTGACCGGACGGAAAGGAAAAAAAGTCATCACAATAACGCACCTCAAGGCGGGACAAGACAGGAGCTCCGACGTGGGGCAGTTGCTTATCTAACAAGTGAGCTGTGTAGAGGGATTATCTAAAAGTGGCCTGAGGCAGCCAACAGAATCACCTGAGTGGCCACTTTACGCGTTATTTCCGAGTTCCCGCTTCACGCGTCGCGGGCACCACAATCTTCATCTTCACACCCCTACCCTATCATCTTCCTGTTACCTCTTGCTGTTTGACAGCACCCTATAAAGGTAACAACTATGGCTGATGCAGCTTCTATGATTACTGTCGGTGCTCTCAGGTAAGTTGTCGACGTGGAGCTGTGTGATGCACGAATGTAGCAAGATTCTAATATTACGAGGAAGTGCGATTTTTGATGACACCAAGGATCAAGTCCGGGAACCGATTGTTCAGTGTGTTCAGGTGAAGCCACTGCCGCCTCAACCAAACCACCAAGAGCGTTACAGAGCCGTATTCAGCGACGTTGCGAACTATGTTCAGACTATGCTTGCCACCCGTATGTTTTCATTTATTCTCCCCCTCTCTCTTCCGCAGCACGCCAAATTCAAGCCTCGATTGACCCAAATAGCAGAAGCCAACCATGTCGTGACAAATGGATCCCTGCGGAAAGGGTGCTTTGTCAGACTCAAATCATTCCAGGCCAATTCAGTGAAGGGCAAAAAGTGAGTGCCCTCACCATAGTGAACGAAAATTTCATCTTCATCATGTATTGACTACTTTCCAGGATTTTGATCGTCTTGGATCTTGAAGTCCTGCAAGAGTTGGGTGAGGCGGAGAAGATCGGCGAGCCGAAGCCTTTGGAAGTCAAGGGTGATGAGGAAGAGGAGAAGACTCAACCAACTACCATTTCCAGCAATGGGTTCTATGGCTCCAAGCTTCAAGGGGGCCCACCGAAACAACCTCCCCAGGTACCCTCTATGCGAGCGCCCTCCGCGTCTGCCCACGCCACCATCTACCCCATAGAAGCCATCTCGCCGTACTCGAACAAATGGACCATTAAAGCCCGCTGCACAAGCAAGTCGAACATCAAAACATGGCACAACAAGAATGGCGAAGGTAAACTTTTCAGTGTGAACCTGCTGGATGATAGCGGTGAAATCCGTGCAACAGGTTTCCAGGAACAGTGTGAAATGCTTTATGATCTTTTCCAAGAAGGCAGTGTTTATTATATCTCCAGCCCATGCCGTGTCCAGATTGCCAAGAAACAGTTCAGTAACCTCAACAACGACTATGAGCTGACATTTGAACGTGACACCTTGGTTGAGAAGGTAAGAAACCCCTGCTTCTTCCCTAAGATCAATGACTCACGATGTATCATAGGCTGATGACCAAAACGACGTGCCTCAAATTCGCTTCAACTTTACCACCATTGGAGATCTCCAATCTGTGGAAAAGGACACAACTACAGATGTGATTGGCATTCTCAAAGAAGTTGCCGAAACATCTCAGATTGTCTCGAAGGGTACAGGCAAGCCCTACGATAAAAGGGAACTCACCCTAGTCGACAACACTGGCTTCTCGGTTCGCCTGACTATCTGGGGTGCTACTGCTGTCAATTTCAATGTAACACCCGAGTCTGTTGTAGCCTTCAAAGGGGTAAAAGTCTCTGACTTTGGGGGACGCAGCCTCAGTTTGTTGAGCTCGGGCTCGATGGCAGTCGATCCTGACATTGGGGAAGCTCACCGGCTGAAGGGTTGGTATGATGCGCAGGGCCGAACCGAGGCGTTCACATCTCATGCATCTGTCTCCAACGCAACAAACTCCAACATGAAGCCTGATCAATTCAAGACTGTTGCACAAATTCGCGAGGAACAACTGGGCATGGGGGATCAGGTGGCCTACTTTTCGTTGAAGGCCACTGTGGTCTACATCAGACAGGACTCCACCTGGTGCTACCCAGCCTGTCTTTCCGAAGGATGTAACAAGAAGGTGACTGAGTTGGACCCTGGCCAGTGGCGCTGTGAAATGTGCGACAAGACCCATCCCAAGGCGGAGTATCGCTACATCATGCCCGTCAGCGTGAGCGACCATACGGGCCAGCTTTGGCTCAGTTGCTTTGACGATACGGGCCGTCTGCTCATGGGAACATCAGCTGATAACCTGATGCAACTTCATGAAGATGATCCCACGGCGTGTAGCGAGGTTTTCCAAGCAGCCAATTGCCAGACCTGGAATTTCCGATGTCGAGCTAAGATTGACACCTTTGGTGACCAGCAACGGTTAGTAGATTCTATTGTGTTTCCCCTATATCCCAAGATCGTTCTGACTAACGAGTTGTTACAGGGTACGATACCAAGTGTCATCCGCCAAGGCTATCAACTATTCGGAAGAAGCTTCTCGTCTGGCTGAAATAATCAGCTCTTACAATATCAATTAGGCTATCAAGCTAGATGCAATCAGGAATGGTACCCATGATGTGCCTTCGAATTTCGATGCCAAACCTTCTTGTTAAACTGCATCTTGGGTTCTATGATTATGAATGACTAATACATTTTCGCACTTCCTTGAGAAACAGCTCCAGGCTTCTGTAAGTGTAAGGATGACCAACCACAAAATTTCTATTGTCATTCCATATATTCCTCTCAATACTCCCGCAAATAATGATATCTTACTACATGTACTTCCGTACATGGCACATAGTAGAGCGGTATGTATATATTCCTGTGCTGTAATGTACATAGCAGATCTGATTCGGCGGAAACTTTATCAGCAAGAAATCTGGGTTGAGCGGTGAGTACTTTTTTTCCCGGGCCGTGGCAGAAATTCTGTCCGCCTGCCCAATTTTTTTTCTTCGTGAATTCTCAGAGGACTTCAGTTACATTTCAACTGTCAATTTAATCCTTTTACATTGTCTTGTGAAAGACGTTAGTGTCCCAGTTAATTGACTCCAAGCAAAGATACGCGCAATGGGGAAACGCAGCCATCATGTCGAGCCAACGGAGCTGCAGCCGAAGAAGAAATCCAAGGCCGATAAGCAATCCAAAGACAAAAAGTCTCAGGAGGAGACTGGGGCCTCAGATTCCGACAAGGTTACCTACACTCAGGCCTCTGCTCTCAGTGACCTTCCGCAGTCTCAGATTGATCAGTACCTCCAGGAAAAGACCATCAAGGTCACTGATGCCTCGACCGACGGCCTCAGCCTCCGCCCCATCCTTCAATTCGACTATTTACCTCCCTGTGACGGTGGGCTGTACGATGCATTGAAGTCATTCCCTGCTCCAACCCCCATTCAAGCCGCCACCTGGCCACTGCTCTTCGCCAACCGTGATGTGATTGGCATTGCAGAAACCGGCAGCGGTAAAACCTTGGCATTTGGCTTGCCCTGCCTTAAAAAAATGATAGATTCAAAACGCAGCAAGAAGCCGTGCCATCCTACTGCAGTGATCATTTCCCCTACGCGTGAGCTTGCAATGCAAATTCATGACCAGCTCATCAAATTTGCCCATGTCGCGAATGTCGGTGTTACGTGTATCTTTGGTGGTGTGAAAAAGGACGAGCAACGTGAAGCCCTCAAGACGGCTGCAATCGTGGTCGCCACTCCCGGTCGGTTGAAGGATCTCCAGAACGATGGATCCGTCAATCTCGGGAAAGTGAAGTATCTTGTCTTGGACGAGGCTGATCGTATGCTGGATAAAGGGTTTGAGCAAGATATCAAGGAAATCATCCAACCCATGCCAGTCTCCAGAAGACAAACCGTTATGTTCACTGCAACCTGGCCTCGATCGGTCCGGGACCTGGCTGCAAGCTTCATGAGTTCCCCTGTGACCGTGACCATCGGCGGGGATCCTTCTGCGGACCCCCGGGCGAACACGAGAATCAAGCAAGTTGTCGAGGTGGTGGACGGGCGGGACAAAGAAAACCGGCTGATTCAGCTTCTAAATCGCTCCCAACGAGGATCTCCGAACCCCGAAAAGGTCCTGGTGTTTTGCTTATACAAGAAAGAAGCAATGAGGGTGGAAAGACTCATCAACTCCAAGGGATTCAGGGTTGCCGGTATCCACGGTGATCTGAACCAATCTGACCGGTTCCGGAACCTTGAAGCGTTCAAAACTGGCGCTGCTACTGTTTTGGTTGCAACCGATGTCGCAGCCCGAGGTCTGGATATTCCTGCCGTGAAGCTGGTCATCAATGTCACCTTCCCTCTCACAGTAGAAGACTACGTGCACCGCATCGGGCGAACTGGTCGAGCCGGCGCTGATGGTCACGCCATCACCTTGTTTACTGAGCAAGATAAGGCTCTCTCGGGCGGGTAGGTGATGATGCTTTTAATCTTCAGAATAGTCCCAGACCATGCTAACAATGTGGACCAGGTTGATCAATGTGCTTAAAGCCGCCAAGCAAGAAGTTCCAGAGTCTCTGTTGAAATTTGGCACCACCGTCAAGAAGAAGCAGCACGGCGCATATGGCGCATTTTTCAAGGACGTTGACACGGATAAGAAGGCCACGAAGATCACATTCGACGACTGATTTGTAATTGTATTCTTGCTTTTTGCTTTTTGCTCTCGCATACACCACACTATTCAGATTTGGGACCCTTTTTGCCAGAGGACCCGATCTGACGCAGCTTCATCACTTGTGCTATCAAGAATTGTCTCTCCACATAGAGACTTGGTTTTCATTAGATATTGACCTAAAATAAACATTCAATCGGGGCGACTTACATCAACAACGCATAGAAACAGCTGAAGACAAGGGCTGGAATCAAATGTTGATCCGGACCCGATGGTCTGTGTGTGACCATGATGCCCGTGGCGAGTATGCCCAAAAGATAACTGACGGGTTTGATGCTCACCTCCACGACACTCAGACCTTCTCCATGTCGACGAAGATAAGATCGAATGAATGTGTAGCTCCATAGAGTTCGAACCACCATGTTCACGATGTTGGCGAGCACCAGCCCATAGCCCCCCATCGACCAGACTTCCAAAAATGTATAAGCTGCGAGAGCGTAGCTGGCAGAAAAGGCACCCATCCAAACCGTCTGCCTTCGGATTTCCCCTGGGTTGGCTGCAGACGATACAAACGCCTCGGTGATCCCATTGAAGGCCAGGAATGGGATATAGTAGCAATATAGTGATAGCAGGTCACCAACCAAAGGCGATGTCCATTGGCGACCCCCCAGGATACGAAGAGCCTGTGGCACCATAACCGGGCCCAGTGGGAAGATAAGCGTCGAAAGAAGTTGGTAAGCTCGAAGAAGATCCGTCAGATGACTCTTTGCTAAGCTGATTTGGGCCGCATTTCGGTTTCCACTTTCATTGGGGCTCAGAAGGGTCGAAAATAGGTTTCGGCTGCTTTCTTCGAGGGGCTGAAATATAATCCGTGCAATCAGGCCGCCGTAGTTTGAAGCCAGAGAGTAGATTCCTTGATCCTCCAAGCTTGACATGGCAGCGAGCATCATGGAATCTCCTTGAGTGAGAAGATGTTTCACAAGAGACTGGAGAAAGACACTCGCAGCAAGTGATGTCAAGCGCCAGGAGAATCGACCAAAGATATACGTACTATCATCATTGTGCTGTCTAATGACGGTAGGGAGATAGGAAAATGGTCGCTCACTTGCACGAGGGAGCAAGGATAAGCAGTATCCGCCGATGAGAGTCACGGAGTAAGCCAAGTGACCAATTGCAAATGGTAAGATTCCAGCTTGTCGGCCAGTTTGGGAGGCATAGAAAAAGGCCGAACAGGTCGCAAAGCTCTTCATGAATGCTGCCGGCATTTCGACTGCGGCTCGTTTCTCGTACCACATACGTTGCTGGACTATCGCGAAGAATGGTTCAACGCTCAATTCTAGAAGCGCTGCGATTCCTGTGATAATCACACTGACCTCAAAAAAAGGGACCATAAGTGCTTGCTCTGGGGCAAATTGTTGATAGAACATCGTCAGCAGGATCGTAGAGGGTACTCCAAGGAAAAGGCTCAAATAGGACACATTCACGACCGACTGAGATGCCGTCGATTGAAATTGCGGGGAACGCTTCCCTATTTTTGATTCCGAAGAATCTGTGATGAAAGGCTGTCTTTGAATGGCTATTCGTATACTTTCCCTAGAAAAGTACAGAATTGTGACTTGATAAAGCTCGAGTTGGGCGGCGATCCCGAGTACCATAGGGGATAGTGTGCGTAAGATCAGCTGATTTGAGCCAAATGTGAAGATTCGAGACGTCAATTGAATGAGGATCAAGAAAGTTGTGCCTGTGGCAGAAGATGCTAGCATATTGCCTACTTGGGCTTCGCTGGGTTCCTGCATTTTGCATACACGGAAGGAACTGGCCAACGTGTCTTCGAGGATACGAACCGGAACGTGAAGAGCACCTGGATTAGATAGATAGATAGATGGGATAAGGACCCAGCTAAGTAATAATGTACTTCCTCATCGATGTCCAGCGAAGACTGATTGAAGAGCGACAGGTCGATATATGAATCGGATAGATACTACACATCTGTACGACGAAGCCCTACAGGGCTTGGAGGAACCATCGCTTACATAATCACCTTCAAAACCTTGGGTTAATTATGTCTTCATACCAGAAGGACGTTGCAACACAATTGATAGAATAAAGTCAATTGGTGATCCAGACAGATAAGATTGTAAAGAAGGATTGAGAAAAAAAAACAATACGCTGCTCCATTGATCTACGAGTGTACAGTGGAATACAATGTGTCGCCGGCGACAATACGCTTGGGAAACAAGAATGGCCAAATTCATCCCATACGACCGAACACCACATGCGCTCATTTGGCTTATGTCGATGTGTAAATCCAAGATGGGAGATCACCTGAGGGACGACAAGAAGCGGAACCCCAGAAGTGGGGAGAGTTTGGACCTAGAATGGAGGAAGATAGAATGGGTAGCCTCCGTTCTTGGTCTTGAACACACTGAGGAGCAGACTGTAGGTCCCAAAGAGAATGCCTCCCCAGATCAACACCGCCAGTTGCTGTCCCTTGACATCTTCCATGCGAGGCACCTTTAACGCAAGCGCAATGGTGGCAAATGACAGAATAGCATCTGCACAGGGTGTTAGTTTGAGGATCAATGACACTGAGATGAATATCCAACGAATCACTTACAAATAGCAGCTACAATCTGGGTCTCCATGCCGAATTGATTCTGAAAACCGCCCGCAAAGTAGCTAATCCCACCACGACCGTCACCTGCGACATAGGGTACTTTTCGAATGTGATTAAACATCTGGCCACTGGTGAACAGGAGAATGGCAATCAGACTGACAGCAGCCCAGAGATTCCGGTTCTGAATAATTGGCAGAACATAGGGATAGAGCACCGTAAATAAAGTTACAGCGCCCATAATAATGGTGATCACAGAGACAATACGCATATAGTTGACGGGTCGAACCAAGGCGGGCTTAGGTCCGCCGGGCAAGTGACGACCAATCCATGAGTAAAGTTGATCGGCGGAGATTGGACTATATTTTGGCATTAATGTCAGAGGAAGGTGTCCCACAAATCAAGCATTGGGCTAGTAGCCTTCAACTTACCCTGTGAAATCAAATCTCACTGGCTCCGCTTCCACTTTGGCAAACGGCCCCACGGTTGGGGGAAACAGGAGGAGGACAGGTGCAGTTTGCAGCATATACTATTTCCATGAGCATCAGCTACACGACCATAGGACAATTGAAATAGCTGGGGGTCATGTCACACCTTTTGGAAAACTGTTTTCCCCTTGTCGAAATCCAGCGTACCGAAGACCACTTTCAAGCCATCAAGCTTGGAACCTTTGTTCCAACTCCGAGAGATCAAGTCCCACTCGGCATCAAATTCCCGACACATTAAACAGCCATAGCGAGCATCCATAGCCGTTAGAATGATTGCAGCATAGTAATCGCGGGGAGCAGTTGTGAGATCCTCGAATGAGGCGTTGTCCAGATCAACGGGCCCGGAACGAGAGAGCGAATGGTATTTTTGGAACTTATCGGGAGTGGGCTTCGCGGCAAACACGCCAGATAAGACCGAAAGGAACAAAAAGAGGGCGGTCCAGGGCTTCATTTTGGCATTGATGCTGGGTTGCAAATGAGCTCTGCAAGCAGAAGGAAGTATGGTGTACTTATTCAACAGCTCCGGGGTGAAAGGTGGCCCCATTACGTAAGGTCACCGCCCGAAATCACCAACTAGTCACTACGCGTTCGGTGGATCGCGACAACATTTACACTGACCTAGCAACATTAATTCTCATTTTCACTCCCAACATCTTCTTGAAAATTTTGCCAGTCATGGCGGTAGCTGTGGAGGCCTCGCTTTTGGATGTACGTGCAGCCGATTTGCCTTTGGATTCCAAACTAAATGGTTTCAGTGTGAAATGTCCATGAAAACAGTCCGCCTCGAGAAGGAATATGAACGGGCTCTTGCAGACTCGGCACATCTTCTCAACGTTGAAAAAGACCGCGTCAGGCGGATGGATCACTTGCTTCTTCAATTTGAGAGCGAAAATCTGCGGTCGCAGTTAGATCAAGCCAATGCGCAGTTACGTGGACTTTCACACGCCGAGTCGAACACACTTCTCCAATTAGATGAAGCCTGTCAGGAAATTGATCGCCTAGATCGCTATGTACAGGCTTCGTCAAGTGAAATCAAGAAATTGAAGGTATGAGCCAATTTCCTCGACGATTTGATCTGTCCACGGATTGGAGGGCTTTGATCTAATGAATCCAGGACGAACTTTCAGCGATGAACAATACTTCCACAAGCTATAATACCCTTCTTTCCGAAAAGTTGCATCTCAGCCGAGACCTGTCAAATTTGAAATCAGAGCTGGACCGATTAAGGGCCCAGAATTCTTCTCACCAGGCATTCGTAGCCGGGCAACAGGAAATGGAGCGGCAGCTGAATTCATTAGAGGTTCAGCTTGAGAATGAAAAAAATTCCCACGAGCGCACTCGAGCCAAGAACTTGCAGCAAAGGGCGGAGATAAGTACGCTTGTAGCGAAGGTCGAGGAACTACAGGGCGAACTCACGAGAGAGATGCGAGTGAAGCAACAATATGAACGAGACAACCGTCAACAAACAATGGAATGGGAAAACCAGCGTGGTTTACTCGAGAGCAAGATTGAGACTTTAAGAAAGCAGCTTCGGTCGACAAAGGACAAACTGCAGGAGACTCAGCACGATTTGCAGCAGAAACGCATCTCTACCCGGAACCACGACAGTGAGAGCACTGACCCACGATCTCGAATGATCCCTCTGCAACGTCCTGGTCCCAGTGCTGATTACCAAAATGGCGTCACCATCGCCACGCCTGGAGCTGTTCGCGTGCAAGAAAAAGTTAATCGACAGTCGGCATTGCCTGGCGACAAATCGGCATTTTCGATCACTCCGTTCTTGAACCGAAATGGTGGTCATCATGTTTCTCCGTCCAGCTCAGACCTAGACAACGAATTCAGTCAGACAATGACAGATATCCAGTCACCCCTCAGAGCCCGCACCACTCATGAGCCAAGTGGCCTAGACTTATCCCCCATGGAACAGCCAGATTTAATACGACGCATTGAAAATGGGGGGAAAGCAAAACTGAAAGCTCGACAGGGGAAGGTCACGAGCCAGCCAAAATTATCCCTCAATCGGCCCGATGAAAAAGTGCCACTTAAGGAGGTGGATGAACCAGATCTCTCAACGGATCAAGGACAGACAAAGACCAAAAAACGAAAGCTTGGGACTCAGCGGGACCGAAATTTCTTCGGAGATGATGAAGAGGAGATTCTCGAACGCAGAAAGCCAGGGCGCAAGGTGGGACTGGGAGCAGGTCGGACTTCAGTGCTTGCAACTACACAGATTTCTAGTGCACCAGTCAGTGATAGGCCGAGAGCTTTGGGATTCGGTGGATTTTCACCTCTAAAGCGAGACCGTAAACGATAAGATAGATTCAAGGCAGACCATTGAATTCAACTCTTCCAATCTTGTAAATCCAGGGAATCTTATATGTACTACGAATCAGATTTCCGGCCAACTTGGATCACGAAGCATAGTAACTACTAGCAATACCGTCACACGTCACATGTACAATAGGCGGCGCCTTGGATACTTTTCTGCCGGCAGAAACTCACTTCATTCGCGACGGGATTGAGACTCGACAACATCCATTGTACAGTAATTTACCTCCCCATACGCAGCAGTATGTTAGTTATTTCTTTGATACGGCCTTCCCGAGCTGTCCTGAACATCGGAGTGCTTCGTCAAATCCGGCTCTCGTCGTCAAAGCGCTGGCAAGCTCGGCAGCATAAGGATCAATTCACCCGAGAGGCAGCGGTTCAAGGCTTGAAAAGCCGAGCTGCTTTCAAGCTCTTACAGGTATGATAAGTCCCACTCGCTAGATAAAATTTCCCTGGTTGAGATTCTGACTCTTCTTAATATCCAAAACATAGATTGATGAGAAATACCGGATCTTCAAACGTGGCCAAACGGTTGTGGATTTGGTATGACTACCATGGAAACAGAGCCTCGAAGAGCAACTTATAGGGAACTAACTTTCACATTTCCACTAGGGATATGCACCCGGGTCATGGTCACAGGTGGTCCCCCCTACCCCCTCCAAAGAAGGTCTACCACTTCAGGGCCTCGCTGACGGTGCTCTAGGTAGCTGTAAGCCGAACCCAGCCAAACGGGCGGGTTCTGGGGGTTGATATCATCCCGGCACAGCCTCCGAAAGGAGTTTCTACCATTCAAGGGAATTTCCTTGCACCTGAGATTCAAGCATACATCCAGGACTTTCTTCACAGCCCCAATAGAGGCAGGCCTCGTGAACTGAGTGACGTAGGCGGGAGTTTGTTGGAGCCTGAGGTGCCCATGCGGATGAATGATGCAGATACCCCTGCAATTCAAGATAACAAGATCCTTCAGAGAACGGTGGATGTGGTCCTCAGCGATATGTGCGAACCCTGGCTGCAGACATCCGGTTTCTGGAAACGAAGTCTAAGTAATCCTTATAACAGGATGATGAATACCAGCGGAAATAACTTTAGAGACCATGCTGGCAGTATGGTATGTCTCCCTATCATCGTGCTAATCCATAACGGATTTTTCGCTAATCTGTCATCAAGGACCTTTGCCATGCTGCTTTGAAGTTCAGCGCCGATGTTCTTAAGACTGGGGGGCATTTCGTTTGCAAATTTTATCCCGGGACAGAGGATAAAGAACTGGAAAAACAGCTGAAGGACTTGTTTCAAAAGGTCCACCGGCTGAAGCCTGAATCGTCCCGCAGTGTAGGTTGTCCCCCTCTTATGGCTGCCCTTTGGTTGTATTGACTAAATCCACTGGCAGGAATCTAAAGAAACATTCTTCGTTGGCCTGGATCGCAGATCATGAGGCGACTCATGGTGTCACGAGATGGCATGTTGCTCTATAAAATCTCATTCTCCTCGTTCTCTTCCGCCTCATCCCAGTCAATATCGGCCAATGCTGCCTCGGCCCTTTCTTGAACCTGATTTGATATTAGAGCTACGTTAACGCGGGCGATGAGTTTGGACTCCCTTACCTCTTTCAAGCCGCTAAGCTCCTCTACATACCCTGGCTGGTCCAAAGCTTTTCGCACAAAATCCCAACCTTTTTCCTTGTACTCATTTATCACTTTTCCTGAGCAGGCACTGCAACAGGGGTAGCTCTTGCCAGTGACCGTGATATTTTCAAATGTTGCGAGGAACCCACGTATCTGATGGGGTACAAGACCTAGAGGATGATCTCCACGCTCGTCACTTCGGCTTAAGGGAGCAGGCGCAAAGACACCCTCTGGGTGTTGCAATACCGATACCAGAAGTTCAACCAGGAGTGCTGAGGCGATAGCGGCAACGCCGGGGCGGGTGACCGTACACTGTTGGTCAAGGGTTTGATCCTTGATGGACTATTGAGCGGTCAGCCATGCATTCAATAAGTTTTGCCGGCGATCTCACGTTCGCTGGTGCCACAACATCATTGCAGAAATAGCACCCAAGGTCCGTCGATTTATCTCCTACTCCGGTAGTGCCATGGCGCATTGCCACAAAGGAATCAAACCCAAGAGCTGCATTCATCACAATTTTTCCCCCTGCCTTTCCCATGACGGTGGGCAACCAACGTGACTCTCGGGTATCCATGAGTAGAAAAATGGCATCATGCTCATCAATAAGAGCCTTTAGGGTCTCAAAATCCCCCCTTGTCGTACTTTCGTCAACGATTGGATGACCGGCCATAGGCACAGTGATTTCATGCCCAATGGTTTCCACTCCTGGATAGATCTCGGTCAGAGCCTGGGAGGCTCGAGTGGCTTTGGCTGCCCCGCCATTCAGACAGTCCGTAAAAGTAAACAATGGCTGTCGAACGGGATTAGAAAATGAGACAGTACCTTTGTCGACGAAGGTGATTTTTTTAACTCCCCAACCCTGTTATGATGTTAGCGCCCTTAGCTTATCACTGTCAAATTTGTCAACATTTATGCCTTACCAATAAATTTCGAGCAACATAGCTCCCTAGAGTACCCGCCCCAAGCAGAAGACATTTTGTATGCTTGATCTTCTCTAGATTCAACGTCGGGCTAATTCGCCATTTCATGAGTTTCAGATTGAGGTCGACGGATTGGTCTGCCAGTCTGCAAGCGACTTTAGTCTCCAAGAGGGGGCTATTGTCTTATTTAGGGGGAGAGCAGTTCATTCGTACCTTATTGGGTCCATATACTCTGTGAGACTAACAATCCGCCCTGCCAGCTTCCCTGCTGGATTGCGCTCCCAGCCAGTTATTTTGGGCACTTGGCTCTGGGCATGCGGCAGTTTTACTGCGCCTGGAGTCGACCCCGGTTTAAGTTCCAGTCGGATTACTGTACTCCTGCCTTGATCACGTTTCGAATGCACATCACGATATCGTAGAATTTGTACCTGATCAAGCCCCCACCGTTGCTTGACTAAAACCAGCAGGTTTCGCAACATCCAGCCTGGAGCAGATTCATAGTTGGATGGGTCCGCAAAACATACGTAGCGATCCTTGAGAGCTGCACCAGTGAAAAACCCATTCTCAAATTCGGATAAGGATGCGACCTGCCAAACGTTTTGTGTCAAGGAACCCGAGGCCCTTCGTTGCTTCCGAGCCAAGAAAAAACCCCTTTGGCGGTCATCTGTACCATAGCTCCAGGTTTGGACTGCCTCCACAAGGGCCATGCTTTCATCGGGCGGTAAATTTTCTCCCTGGGGTGCCGAGGTCGCTTCATCTGGGGAGGGCCTGGCCTGAGGTTCCGTAGATATCACCCACGACGGATCAGAGTGAAGGGCGGGGAAGGCAAACCAATAGTAGAACTTGTATTTTTTCAAGTCGGCAAACGATAGAATTATAAATGACGACAGCAAGGAAGGGCAAGAGTATATGGTCCCGTCATTAATAGCGTCCCAGATCTAATGAGTGATTAATAAGTCGCATCGAATTGGTCTTGCAGAAAAAAGCCCGGATAGCGAACTCATACCGTTGTCCCTGCTTGGAGTATCATCTTGGACTTATCCACGTTGCGATATTCTTCGATCGTATTGACATTCTTGATCATGCCTTCTGCGCGGTACAGCCCTGCCGGTGCTCTGTTCAAATCATCAACTACCTATCTCTTGGCAGGGAGAAGGGTTCTTACTCCGCACTCGTGAGCGCATTCCCATGGATTTGAATTCGACAAGAAGAATTTGCAGAGTCTGTGGAGCGGATCTCATAGAGCCCCAGCACCTGGCGTGCGGAGTCGTCCAGCTTATCATGATTGATTTTGTGTGAGGCAAGAGCCGTGTAGAATGGCAGCTCAATATCAGAGACAAACGGAGTATATTGCATTTTGGTCACAGATCATTTCCTAAGCGACTGTATCAAGTATTTCTCGTTGTGGTCTTCGAAGGGTATTGGGCTCAAGGTTGTGTTGATAAGGGAGTATATATCAGAGGGGAAAAAGTGGGGTTATATTTTCTGGGTGACGTAATCGAAGCAACACGCGAACCGTCAAATCCTATTTGGGTTGTCCCGCGTGCCTAAGACGCGTGATCGCCCACTTCTCTTGATATTCACTTGAATTTTTTTTTTTTTCATTCCCTTGAAGCCTGGAAGGTACACAAAACGAAAGAAGAAAGGAAAAAGGGGGAAAGGCAGTAAAAGGGACCAAAGAGAAGGGTCTGATGGAACGGAAAAAGGCATAACTGATACAAAAGTTCCTTCCTTTTCTCTCATTTGCAGAAATGCTTATCGGCTTATGTGGAGGTCAGCACAATTCAACTTAGCCTCGTCTAACGAGAGACTGACCATGATCAAGGGATCTGTGCGGGCAAGCATGCCATTGCCGAGTACTTGATTCAACACCAAGGATTTCAGCTCTTGGAGCTAGTTAATCGACCGCATCATCGCATCACTGACGAGCCAGATGACGATCTGCGGCTCCAAGCCTCGGAGATCAAAAAGAGTGGAGAACAGGCGAAGTTTGTGTTTAACACTGTCGAAGCTTTCGTAGACTTTGTGACCAAAAGGTGGCAGGAACGCTGGGTGACTACGGACATCGCGGACGGTCCGACCCTGGATCGCTTTCTGCTGCGGCCCTTTTTCCTCCTCGTGAGCGTGGATGCTCCAGTCAGCCTTCGCTGGAAACGATTCTCCGACAGGTTCGTTGCCCCAGTACATCAGCATGGCCTCGCTCATTCCCCATGTGCTATATAGATGCTGGCGAAGACAACTAGACCCGCCAGACCTCGAGAAATTTGTCCTATGGAATGATCGCCACCTTTACCAAAAGGATATTGGGCGTGTCTACCTCACAGATCGGGCCCAAGTGCGCCTTTTCAATTCCTCTTCATCTGTAGACGAGCTTCACCAATCACTCCAGAGACTGAATCTAGCGGATGAGCAACGACTGCGACCAAATTGGGACCAATATTTCATGCAGCTGGCATCTCTTGCTGCACAGAGAAGCAATTGTATGAAGCGACGAGTGGGATGCGTTGTTGTTCGAGAGCGGCGGGTCATCAGCACAGGCTATAACGGGACTCCTCGACATCTCCCCAACTGTAATGAAGGTGGATGTACGGAAAACCCAATGATGCTCATGGAATGCCCTCGCTAAGCTAGACCCCAGGTCCCAGGTGCAATCGTGGCGATGGCGGTGGAGTTGGTTTATCCGCCTGTCTATGCCTCCATGCCGAAGAGAATGCACTGCTAGAAGCCGGTCGAGAGCGTATTCGAGAAGGCGCAATCCTCTATTGTGATACGTAAGTTAGACTGTGATTCGGTATCTCGGATCGGATTGGATTCTGACTATGTTTAATCTAAGGTGCCCGTGCTTGACTTGTACCGTCAAAATTACTCAGGTCGGCATTTCAGAAGTAGTCTACTCTCAAAGCTACAACATGGACAAAGAGGTATAATGCATTCTCTCAAGCTCTACAGGGGTTTCACTGACACTTGTCACACAGAGTGCTGCCATTCTTGAGGCTGCAGGTGTACGCTTACGACAATTTAGCCCGGTAAGTATTACTACCTTCATCTGCTGCTTAGAACTTTCCATGCTAATGTGGACCAATCGGAATGACTAGCCGTCTAATGGGCTTATATATTTGCAACAATCTAATGAGCCAGCCGCTTCTTCATGACGAAAATTTACTCGGCTTGAGAAGAATGCATAGCTCCATATTCGCAATGACTAATGCATGGAGCTTGATGCGCCCTATCTCGGTAGAATACATGATTCTAGTACGTGCTGGCATGACCCTGTACAACTCGAGCATATTCTATTCCCTGCATTCCAAAAAATACAGCCAAGATAATTGAAAGAAAAAGTGATTGGGGATGGTGATGAAACCAAAGAATAATATAACAAAGCTATGTGTTCCGATCATCTTCAGCATTTGAAAGTGTATGTACTCTTCCCCACATGGGGTTAATGATTCTGCCTGGCAGAAAAAAAAGAATGTATGACTCAGCAGGCTAGGTTTGGAGGGGCTCTCGATGACTCCGTCTCGATGACTCCGTTTCTCTGCTGCCAAGATTACCAGCTTTTGCTTTCTGGCAGAATTATTCATCATGCCCACTGTTCACCTCTTGGACTACGTTGCGGGTAACATCCGCTCTCTGGTCAATGCGATCAATCAAGTCGGATACGAGGTGGAATGGATCAAGTCCCCCGAGGATGTGAAGAATGCGGATGTGCGTCAATTGTTGAGCCTCTCTGGGCGTCAATCTGCTTATAGCTTGCTAACTATATTCTATATGGCAGAAATTGATTCTCCCTGGCGTCGGCCACTTTGGACATTGCCTCTCACAACTCGACAAAGGCGGCTTCCTAGGCCCAATCCGGGAACACATTGACGCGGGCAAGCCATTTATGGGCATTTGCGTCGGTCTGCAGGCACTCTTTCAGGGTTCTGAAGAAGACCCCAATGTCCCAGGATTGGGTTTGATTCCCATTCGCATTCAAAAATTCGATGATTCGACCAAGAGCGTACCGCACATCGGCTGGAACTCGGCTTTGAACACCGGAGCCGCGTCGAAGGAGCAAAGCTTTTACGGACTGAGGCCATCAAGCAAGTACTATTATGTACACTCATATGCAGCACTTTACGAGGCTGGTGTTCTTGAGAAAGATGGTTGGTCTGTCGCCACGGCCACCTATGGCGAGCAGGAGTTCATCGGTGCAATCAGTCGAGACAATATTTTTGGCGCCCAGTTCCACCCTGAAAAGAGCGGCGTGGCGGGATTACGGGCGATCCGGGCTTTCCTGACAGGGGACCAATTCCAGTCACTCCCCCGAGAGTTGGTTGCTGGCAAAGCAGATGGACTGACTCGGCGCGTTATTGCCTGCCTTGATGTGAGGACCAACGATTCCGGTGATCTTGTCGTTACAAAAGGAGATCAATATGACGTGCGTGAAAAGAGCGGAGCAGACGCTGGTGGCCAGGTCCGAAATCTGGGCAAACCCGTTGATATGGCCAAGAAGTATTATGAACAGGGGGCAGATGAGGTGACATTTTTGAACATCACTTCCTTCCGAAACTGCCCGCTTGTGGACACACCTATGCTTGAGATCTTACGCCGAACTTCTGAAACAGTGTTTGTGCCTTTAACCATCGGTGGTGGTATCAAAGACACGGTCGACACTGACGGCACCCGCGTCCCTGCGCTGGATGTGGCAACAATGTATTTCAAGTCTGGAGCAGACAAAGTCAGCATTGGTTCTGATGCTGTCTTTGCCGCGGAAGATTATTATCTAGCTGGTAAGAAGCTGAGCGGTCTCACTGCGATTGAGACCATCTCCCAGGCCTATGGAAAGCAAGCTGTGGTGGTGAGTGTAGACCCCAAGCGTGTCTATGTGGACCGACCTGAGGACACTAACCACCACACGATCAAAACCGCATCTCCCAATGCTGCGGGACAAAGCTATTGCTGGTACCAGTGTACTGTCAAAGGCGGCCGGGAAACTCGCGACATGGATGTGCGACAACTGGTGCAGGCGGTGGAGGCCATGGGAGCAGGAGAAATCCTGCTCAACTGCATTGACAAGGATGGAAGCAACAGTGGATTTGACTTGGAGCTGATCAACGATGTTAAAGCAGCCATCAAAATCCCAGTCATTGCTTCCAGTGGCGCAGGAAACCCTGGTCATTTTGCCGAGGTCTTCAGCAAGACGACTACGGATGCCGCATTGGGGGCCGGTATGGTAAGTTAAAAAATTATCCTGAATCCAAATACAGGAACGTGAATGCTAACGTTCATAAAGTTCCACCGTGGGGAATATACCGTGAGTCAGGTCAAGAACTATCTGCAGGACGACGGATTCTTGGTACGGCAGTTCGAATCTGAGCTCTGAACGCCGCGAAGCTTTATTTTGTAAATGAATTGCGATCGCCTGAATATAGAGTCTTGTATTGAATTCAGTTGAGGCTTAATACCTCTAGGAGTAGAAAGACCTCAAAGATCTGCTTATGTAACCAAACCGAAAAGAAACTCTAGTCAACTATTCAACTCACTAATGCGGCAAGTGCCCCGCAATGGTTGACATAAGCCTCAAGGCGGTGGACTGGGCGGTCTTCTCTGACTTTTCCGCCGTTTGCCACCAACTCAACTTCCACCTTTCCCTCATCTCCCCCTCTTTCGGCCACGTCTCTTCTCCGCCCACGGACACGCGAACCCACATCATTGTATTGCTATAGACTGACACAGATCATATCTGGCATGGCCTGATCCTGGATTTGGAAACACGACGGATTTCACGTGGTTCAGACACATTGGTCTGACTTGAAGTGACTGCGGAGGTGGCTCTGTGAGGCAGCAGCGACAGTTCTTTTTCGACAATTGTATTCATCAGTGTTCTTCATTTGTATGCAGTGTGGCTGCTTGTTCATCCACATTCAAGAAGAAAAATCTTACCCAATCCATCAGTTCTCCCCCGATCGATAGGCCCAGTATTGATCGTGAAATTCACCGCGCTAAATATCCTTGCATCCTGGTTTTCGTTCTTTCTTCTCCTATCATTCTCCTGCTGAGCCCAATCTGGTGCCAGTTAACCTCAGGTTTCCTTGATCTGTTTTGTTACCTTTCCATTTTGTATCCCTGTGGTTGTGCTGCTGCCCTTTAAGCTTGAGGTCTCACTTGCCTGAGGATCATATTCTCTCCTTTTCTGGTTGCACGCACACAGAGAATTCAATACAATGTCATCGTCTGTTCATTTCAAATTCAAGTCCCAGAAAGAACCATCGCGGGTCACCTTCGATGGCACTGGTATTTCTGTCTTTGAGCTCAAGCGAGAAATCATCAGCCAGAGTAGATTGGGCGATGGGACTGACTTCGAGTTGTCCATTTACAATGAGGACACAAAAGAAGGTAGGTTACACGACCTAGGTTCATTTTGCAATCATATCTCTAACCGTCCTCAGAATATGATGACGATACCACCATCATTCCTCGATCTACGTCGGTCATCGCCCGTCGCTTGCCCGCAGCTCGTCCCGGGAAAGGCGGCGCAGCTCGCTATGTCTCCGGGAAAATGCCCGTGAATGCCCGGAATGCCTCTCGAACCGAACCATCCATCAGTCGATCCACGCCGGGGACTGCCCAGTCTGTCAACAACAACGTCCTGGAGCTCACCAATGCGCAAACCGAGGAGGAGAAAATCAATGCGCTCTTCAATCTGCAGGCGAGTCAGTGGAAAGAACAGCAGCAGGAGATGGCCAAGTAAGCTTATAGTTCTCCGATGATGAACGCCTGGATACCTAGAATACTAACTCCTCTCTTCTAGCGCAACCCCGGTCCCATTTGGCCGTGGCCGAGGAAAGCCAGTGAATGTTCCCGACCATCCGCCACCCCCTGGTTATCTGTGCTATCGGTGTAGAGAGAAAGGTAGGTCTTCCACTGCTAATTCATATAGTATGAGTCATTGCTGACGTTCGATATCAGGTCACTGGATTCAAGCCTGCCCAACAAACAATGACCCCAAGTTCGACGGCAAGTACCGCGTGAAACGATCTACCGGTATTCCGCGATCCCTTCAGACAAAGGTTGAAAAACCGGAGTCCTTGGCACCCGATGGTTCCAGCGATGAATCGAGGAATACGGGAGTCATGGTAAATGCGGATGGTGATTTCGTCATTGCAAAGCCGGATAAGGCAGCCTGGGAACTGTACCAAGAAAAGCTGAAGGCCTCTGCCGCTGCAGCGGCGGAGGCGGCAGCGGCGGAGGAGAGTAGGGCGCTGCAGGCTCGGGGTCTGGAATGCCCAATTGACAAGAGAATGTTCTTAGAACCAACAAAGACACCATGTTGTCACAGGACTTATTGCAATGACTGTATCTCAAATGCCTTGATTGAAAGTGACTTTGTCTGCCCTGGCTGTGCTACCGAGGGGGTCTTGCTTGATAATCTCATCCCGGATGACGAGGCTATTTCCAAAAGCAAAGCTTATGAGGCAGAAAAGGCGGAGGCTAGAAAGGAGAAGGAGAAGCAATCGACGATCCCGGATGACCCTGCAGCAAATGAGGCCCCCGAGCACGACTCTATTAAGGATACTATGGCTAAAGAGCAATCCCCGGTCCACCAAGAGACAGATCCCACGTCCACTGAGTCGAAGAAGCGACCAGCCGAAGGTGATCTAGTTGAGGGTTCAGAGAGCCCCCACCTTGTTGTCAATGTGGCAAAGAAACAAAAAGGAGAAGACCAATCTGATCAGCCAAAGCCCAACTCCAATCCCTACACTAATGCTCAAGGGCCTTTGAAAGAGGCTCTGAGTGGAGCTCAGATGCCCATGAACCCACAGATGCCATTTAATGGATTCGGTACAATGCCTCCCTTCCCAGATCCCAGTTATAGCAATGACGGGATGGGTTTCATAAATCCAATGGCCATGCCGAATGCCTTCCCTACCGCCATGGGCCCTGGTTGGAATCCGATGAACATGCCCTTCAACCCCCTACAGGCTGGTATGTTTGGTGATCAGTCAAATGGATTTCCTAACATGTTCAATGGTGATCCATCTATGTCAATGTTTCCAATGGCTCAACTCACTGCATCCATGCAGAATCCCGGGTTCCAAGGTCCAGGGATGAACGGGTTTTCAAACCAACAGCGGACTGCATTCAGTGGTCCTTACTCGCGCGAGGAGGACTCACCATACTTTCGGCAGCCTGTGAACCCCCAACGTCATCAGGCAAGAAATCGTCGAGTGCGGCCGAGTGACTACCGGGAACTGTGATGACCTCAATTTCAAGGCGTTTAGGGTGAGGTGCACTATGTATAGTCACTTGGAGCGGCTTTTTTGCCTTTTTACTTCTCTTTTGATTTCATTGGGAGCGAGTCTTGTGGTGATATTTGAATCTTTTTACTGGGAGGTGCACTTTTCTTTTCCTTCCACCGCCCTCCTGTTTTTCTTTTTTCTTTTTCCCTCTTCCTACTTTCCTCGTCAGCCCAAGTGTAAATATAGCCAAGTTCTTAATCCAAAACGAGAATTTCCTATGCTCAATGGCTACACCCTTGCAACTCCTTGGTGGTGGCTACGATCACCAGAACAGTGTAGTGAAATAATGTTACTTTGTCTAGGTTCATCCATTAGGCTAGATATACTGGCCGTTGTAATAAGTCGGGGCTACATCCCCGTTGATCTGCGTAGAATGATAACGCCCATATTAAAAGAATGCAACTGCAGCTTTTACTTTCTGACCAGGCTGACTGACCTGTACGAAAGCACTCTCCCTCTTCAGAACACCGGTTCATGTAATTAATGCGTCAAGTGAAACTACATGGTTCAGCCCATGTCAGGTGACCACTCTCCAGAAAATCCCGCCCCAGATTTCCACACCGCAAGCATCATCATCTTAGCTCCCCTATGTTCCACTCCCCATCCTATTCATCGCAGTTTTATCGAAACCATCGAGACAAGAATCTATCATGGCGAATTTCATGAATAATCACAGTAGTAATAACGGCCAGCTGACCGGGCTTCTTCATCAAGACTCCACTGTCCTGGCCAGCTGCTACTCAGTTGAATCATCCACCAAGGTTCATGGCTTCCACTATTGCAGTACCCTGGGTGCCGGTATGTCTCCCTCATGACCCTCTACCCCCATACATTCTCACACCCCCAAAAGGAGCACAGTGGTATCCCTGAGGTCCCCTCAGGGTCTAAATCATCCATGCGAAGTCCTCCCCTCGACCTTCCCACCAGCATAGAACGAACCTGGCCTGGGAATAATTGGCCCGAGTACAACGGGGAGGCAACGCACACCATTCCGGAAGAGTGTGAGAGACTTTTCTGTGACAAACTGTTCATGACATTCCTTGGTGAGGGGACTGGCATGACACAGGAGTCGCTAGGAATGGGTGTGTTCCAAAATATCCAGGCAAATCACATGGGGCCCATGCATGATCGAATCTGCCGATGGATTGAAGTGTGGGACTACACCAGCGACGCCATTTACCGCGGATTTGTGGCAGACGTAGACGGAGAGCAGACTCTTTTTGTCTTCCTCGAGGACGGTGCACTTGGTCATGGCTTGAAGTCTGGGTAAGGACTCTCCGACGGTGCCGTACTTGCCAACTTCATGGAATAACCTGCTAATCTCACCTTTGTTTGATGCAGACTGATAGCCCTCTTTGAACTGGCGGGGACCGATGCCTTTGACTGTTCTCAAATTGTCGCCTGTGTCAGGCGCTCGCAACAGACAAATGAAATGGAGCTAGTTCGAAGCCTGGGATGGTGCGGATTCAGTCTGACCACCCTAGGGCCATGGGCCACGGGTGGTGATTCGGGTCCATTCCTCAGCACTAAATGGCTCTTCCTAGTCGCGGAGATCTAGTCGCATCCCTCTGACTTGTTTTCAACGGTGTTTGGAGCTTTTGGGGTCTTAAATCGGGAATTCTGCCCTTTTCTTCCTCTACCGCACTCGCTTTCTACTTGTGATAGCTACGCAGTCCCTACGCTATCACTTTCTCTCTCATTTTCTTCCGCTTAATGAACCAGCAGTTGTTGTTTCTAGGAGTTTCTAGCTCTTCTATGTTATCCGACGAACAAAGATCATTTAATATTCTCCAAGGTCGGGTCCTTTTCATTGCAACAGTATAGATCAAAATGCATTTCCATGGTATGATAAGAGATCCACGTGACGGGGTCATGCGGAGCTGTCATAGCACCTTTGATGCCTAGTCTTTATTGTCACGCAAATTTCCTAGAATTGCCTATCACCGAACGGTGTCTCTTTTCCCAAGTAACCATGCCAAAGGAGAAATCCAAGCCTTTCACCTTCCCTCGTTTCCTCCTCCCTTCATTTCCTAACAAACAAGATGTGGGGTTATCCCGGAGCCCCTCCAACCCCACTGCCAAGCACCTAAATGGTCATGTCTCTTACCTTCAGTGTACCGGATGTGCCGCACAGCTGTGTTTGACATTGCAAATCATCAGTAAAGGCTTTACAGGTCGCCATGGCCGTGCCTATCTTGTCTCTGCCGAGTCAGCTGCTGCTGTATCAGTCAGTGCATCCTCATCACCGACTGCGTCCCTTCCAAACACCATTTTGCACCATCCGGTTCCACGACAACTAGTGACAGGAGCGCACACAGTCAGCGATGTCAGCTGTGCATTCTGTGGAAATGTGCTGGGCTGGAAGTATGTTGCTGCAGAGGAGGAATCCCAGCGCTATAAAGTGGGCAAGTTCATTCTGGAGACCAAGCGTATTACCACGTCGTCATGTTGGGAGTCCCCGCCAAATGTGAATCTGCCGGTCTCTGAGAAATGTCAGGGGAATAGAAATGACCCACGACCCTTGGAGCCCGAGTTTGATAGCCAAGATGAGGATGAATGTGAAGATCTTTTTACAGGCATCTGGAGTCCAGGCTTAGCTACTCGTCGCAGAACCCGTAAAATTGATCGGCAGCCCGCGATGTTTGGACTGTGAGATGCGAGACAAAGTCGTTCTTTGGAGTGTAGGATGTCCCTCCCATTTGTTGCATGATACCCTTGAATAGCCCATTTACTAGTACCATTTATTTGTTTTCTACATCCTATCAAACACGAGTCACGATCATTACTGAACGAATTTATACTTAGAGTTACATAAATGGTAGATTAAAGCTTTAGACAGTTAAAAGAAATGCTCCAACATTGCCAGGGGTTTTAAAAGAAGCTAGTCCAAAATTCATTCATCAAGCCGAGGAGGCATCATCCACGCGTGTACGTTTGGAGTCACTCTCAGAAGGAACATCCTCAGCGGGACGTTTAGATGCTGTAGGTTGCAAAGCAGGCTGAGTTGCAGGCTTTCGGCGAACCAGCGAGGAAAGATCGGTAGCTCCCTTACTGGCAGAATCCAGTCGAGCCTTCTGGTCATTAACAGGCTGGCCCACAATTTGGCCAAGAATACCCTTGAGGAAGGCTTCATTCTCCTGATTACCCTGGTCAACCGACACAGGAGGGCGTCGTAGATCGATCAGCTGCGAGGTGTTAGCAGAATCCAGACAATAGCGTCGACATGGGGGCTTGACTTACCCGTTGCTCCATATCCGCGATGATTTCTTTGACATTTGCAATCTTCCTCTTTGAGGCGGCCACTTTGTCTTCATCCATGTCCTTAACAGCCTCTAGTCTCTCCTCCTCGTGGGCCATTCTGACCCTACAGCTCTCAATAGCACGCTCCATTTGAACTGCAGCTTCATTTCGCATTTCCTCGTCCACCGTTTTCTCCTTCCCCCCGTCTTCGTCCTCTTTTGGAACCGATGCAAACTCGAGAGCAAGGGAAAGTTTGTAGTGGCACTCGGCAATCGAAGAATCTTCGAACGGGAACAAGGAATACCTTAAACTCAGCGCGGTTCGTAGGTCGCTCACCGCGTCACTGAATCTCTCGGCTTCCAGGGAAATTTCAGCCTGAAGATCGTATGTATCGGCCAGTCGTTCTTTGATGTGCTTCACTTCTGCCGATAGCTCAGTTGATTTACCTTTGGCCTTGTCGCTTTCTTCTGCGACCTCGAGGTTTTTCAGGTAGAGAATACGCGCCAAATCCAGAACCTCAAAAGCGTTGGCGAAATCATCCTCATCCTCTTCTTCCCCGGCCTCGGCATCCTCGTCCTCTTCCTCGTCCGAGTCAACAAAGTTTTCGTCGCCAGTAAATTGAAAGAAGGGCTTTGACTGCGCGCTTTCGGCTTGTATGTTATCCTCTTGAACAGACGAAGGCTTTTTGGTCATGGCACTGGAAATAGCATCCTTGACCGGGTTACTCCCGGCGCCAGATGGCCCAGAACCAACAGGCGCTGAAGGGGTTGTGTTGGGTTGAGCTTGAGGCTCTCCGGCGACCTTAGATCCAAGCACGTCACTCTTGCTCACGGCGACATTATAAAGAGATTTTCCGTAGGAATAGAGTAGACTCGCATTTTCCGGTGAGAGCTCGCCATTCAATTCAGCCTGCAGTTCGGTGGCTTGGGAATAAAGTTCTGAAGCGGTGTTGTAATCTTTCGTCGCATCCTTAGCGGCAGCTCGCGTGATCAGATCTTCCAGCTGGGCTCGCTTGTCTTGAGCAGCCTCAGCGTGAACGGGAGAATTCGATTGCTTGTCAGTCATTGCGTTGATGGAGTGAAGTTGGGGAAAGGGCGAAAAGAAGAGAAAAGCAAAGGCGATAAGCGATAACGGATATTGGATCGCGGTCGCGACGTGTCACGCGTCTACGTTCATTTCATGTGAGATTTCTCAACCTCCAACAGAGCTTCTCTTCCCAGAGATATTGACAGGCCACTCCGATATATCCGTCTATTCACTTTACTGTTTCATGATCCTTCCCCCTTCCCCCTTCCCCCTTCCCCTCTCTTCCAAGGAAAAACAATCTCCTCTCAAACACAATTCATCATGGATCCGACATCCACCCCGCGGCATCCAGATCGCTTCAAAATGGCGGCAACGGACACAATCCCTTCCTCCTCACCTGCATTTGGGACACCAGCACGACCATTTCGAATGCAAAAGACACATGGTCTGCCAACCAAGACGTCTGTCTTACCCATTCTGCTACCCCCGTCTACGCTTCGACCAGTAGCGTTCCGAACATTTACCCGCAAACATAATCTCACCATCTCATCATCAGCCTTGCAGACCTTGGCAGTGTTTGTGGGAAAGAATTGTGGCTCAGGGTGGCGAGAAGAGGGACTTGCAGAGAGGGTTCTCGATGAGGTGGCCAAAATCTGGAAAAGAGCTGGTGGAAGCGTCATCGTGGAAGAAGGGAAAGGTGCATCCCTGAAAACGATACTGCAGACACTTGAGGGGAGTATGAGTGGTGGGAGAGTGGTGACTGGAAAAGTTCACCCCCAGGACGGATCTTCAAGATCATTGAGTGGTGGCTTGGATGCTGGTCGCACTGAATCCAACATCCAAGGGACCAGACCAGGGGATCCAGATGAGGATGACTCCAAGCTGTCGCTCCACCCACGGCACTGGGTCAAGGCGATTGATGCTTTTGACCTTCCTCGCTTGACATATAACGTCGACAAGAAATATTTTGAGGCGATAAAGTCCAAGCCTACGCTATTCCCATGCCCTTCACATAAGACTGCCCTATTCAGGGATCGCTATAACTTAGTCTACCAGCGCTTGCTCCGGAATGAGACTTTCCAAAGTTCCTTGGGAGTGATACGCGTCCCTTCTCTGCAGCGATCAGCGTCGAACTTGGCCACTCAACAATCATACAAGTTAACACCAATCGCGAACCTCCTAGGCCGAAGTGGCAGCTCTCATCTATTGCTGGGACTTCTGTCTACTTCCCCCACCGGTGATTTGAGTTTGATAGACCTCACAGGAAGTGTAGCCTTGGATCTTAGCCATGCACGCATGATCCCAGAGGATGGTGCCTGGTTTGCACCGGGCATGATTGTCCTTGTGGATGGGATATACGAAGAAGAAGAGATGGTGCAGGGATCCGTACTGGGAGGAAATTCTGGGGTTGGAGGTACTATTGGAGGTCACTTCGTTGGTGTGTCGATCTGTGGTCCTCCCTGCGAACGAAGAGATATCTCACTTTGCACAAATAGCCGCCAAGGCAGTGGTGAGCTGAGCTCCAGTGGTGGATTTGGGTGGGTCGATTTCTTAGGAATTGGGAGCGAGCGCGCACAAGGAGCACGGATGAGAAAGATCCAGGAAAAATGTCTGCGAGGGGAACCAGAGGCAATGGAAGCACCGCCTCGGCTCAAAATGGCGGTAATGAGCGAGATCAATCTTGACAACATGAGAGCTCTGGATGCTCTGCGGAGGGTTTTCAGTACCTACAATGATCTTGCTCTCGCGGATCGTCCGCAGACCTTTGTCTTGATTGGCAATTTTGTGCAGAAAGCGATCATCAACGGAGGTGGCCGAGCTGGAAGTATCGAATACAAAGAGCATTTTGACTCTCTTGCGGTGGTTTTATCCGAGTTTCCTGCACTCTTGCAACATTCGACATTTGTCTTTGTTCCCGGTGACAATGATCCATGGGCATCCGCATTCTCTGCCGGAGCTGCGTCGACCATTCCACGTCAGCCCATCCCCGAGCTGTTTACCTCTCGGATCAAGCGTGCCTTTGCGAATGCGAATTCAGAACTCGATCGCTCTCAAACTTCTGAGCCGATGGGGGAGGCGCTATGGACTTCAAACCCCGCACGCCTCTCCTGGTTTGGGCCAGTGCATGACATTGCTGTCTTTCGTGACGATATCTCGAGCAGATTGAGGCGCACAGCGATCAATATGCAGACAGACAATGACCAGAGTGATGCTACAATGCAGGAGGTGCCGGAAGACGCAATAGATGTCTCTCTAGCGCCAGACATAGCCAACCAAGCCACTGGAGTCAAACCTGACGCTAAAGCGCCCGCCACATCGGCAGCCCGTAAACTTGTGAAGACCATTCTCGATCAAGGGACGGTTTCACCATTCCCACTACCCATTCGACCCGTTCTGTGGGATCATGCTTCTGCTGTGCAGCTATATCCACTGCCCACTGCCCTCATCCTGGCAGACTCGGATGCCGCCCCTTTCTGCATGACCTACGAAGGTTGTCATGTGATGAATCCCGGACGATTCCTACCCGATAGTGCTGTGCCAACAGTGAGATGGATAGAATATGATGTATTACGGAGCCGAGGAAAAGTGAAGGAGGAAAGGTACTGATCTTGATTAATTAATGGGTGCTCCGTTCCAGAAGAAGGAAGGCTCCTATTTGATTTGGTGGACATACATGTTACATACTTTATGTGGCGAAATACTCACTAGGCGATATCTCTAACAAGTGAAGCAATCCTTAGACCACTTTCTAGAAGAGTTTGCATATATGTTTTTATATATGTACGAGTGCATAGGCAAAGCATAGATAGACATGTAACATTGAAGGTCTATGAATACATTTCAGGAGGACATGGGTCCTGCTAGCGGATCAAGGCTCTCAACAGATTAGTCAATCGTAATGACATCGGCATTGCCCCGGATATCTGTTTTTTGAGGTGACGCAATTTCTAGGTTGGCATTAATCACAGCGTGTCCTTGTGAATGTTGCTCAGCTGTGCTAGCCTGCTCGCCTTGCCTTTCGATTGTTTGCATGGGCTCAGGGGGGCATGCGCTCAAAGATGAATGCAACTCGCAAAGGAGATTGCCAATTTTTTCAAGGGAAGAAACAGCGCCATCGCCCATTCCCTGCCAGCCATCGCCTTTCGAGTTGTAGATTTTGTCTTTAACCGTACTTGCGGAATGGCTGTCTTCAGGCGAGTTAGACCGATTAGAATCTTCAAGTAGCCACACCCTACGGCCTTGCCTGGGGCGTGCAGATAACCGAAATCGATAGTTCAGTCGAGGGTAATGGAATTGGAAGACCATCGGACTGCGTGCAATGACATGTACGGTTGAGGATTCCGTCGGAAGGGCTCTAGTGAGTTGATCCAGACACTGTAAGAGTGGAAAAGTGTCGGTCATGAACCCAAGAATTGAGTCCACGCCCGTCTCCGAGAAACGATGGTTTAAAGCCACGGTAAGTGGTTCCTGAATGCGACGATGAGGACTGGGGCTGTCGAAATTGACCTTCAGATGTCGGCGGAATATTGGATCGGTATTGAACACAGCGTGAGGTGCGTCAACGCAATCGGAAAGTGAAGGTGAAGAAACATCAATGTCAAACCGAGCAGCAAACTTCTGGTCGGGTCCGTACAAGAATGCAACCTGGGAGAGAGATAATGACCGGGGTTCCATTCCCTGCTGTATCAAAGACTGGAGGATTGAAAGAACGCAGTCAAACCGTTGCAGGCGTTCAAACAGGCTAACCATGATGGAAGTCCCAGCCGGGACGAGCAAGCGGAGGGCAAATCCGGAACCTTTGTTTTGCATGAGAATTGAGGGATTCGCCTTGGATATCAGTGAAAGAAGGGAGTTGACACGATATCGGAGACCACCATAGGCCACAAGAACAGCTGACTGGTTCTGACGGTCAACTCCATGGAACGAGAGACGTACAGTATCCTGCAAATAGGAACCCTGGTCTATCCCAGCAGGCAATGCTATTCGAAAAGAGGAAGGAAGTGCGGCTGGCTTGTAGCGAAAAATCATGTCCGGTACTTGAAGATCTGAACCCAGCTGCAATCCCTTCAGAGAAGGATAAAAGTGCGAGTCGGGGATTTCTGCCAAGAACCGGGCATTAGCATAGATTGCCAACATGCCTGTCAGAGCATGCAGTAATTCTGCGCATGCCAGGTAGTCGAACTGTCGTTGTGTGGACATTAGAGTGGTACTGACTGGGTGGGCAGGCGACGTGTTATTCGACTCCGCAGAACGAAGTTGAACCAACCACCAGCTATCGCCATCCATACTACTCGTGGCCGCAACAACCCAACGACGGTCCCAAAGGGGGTGGGTGAAAAAGGCAGAACGCATAGTGTTTAAAGGAAACAGGCGACGAATGTCAAGCCCCAAGCCTCTTTGATCAACATTCTCTAAGCCGAGAGCTTTAGTGCCACATTCGATTTCCTCAATCGCAGTGGCACATCGCAGACGGGCAACACGCGTTAGAAGTTCGTCAATTGCCGACTTATTGGAATGTCGCTCGGGCTCAAGGCGATCTAATGCCATTGGCGCACCAGACAGTGTGATCGTCCCCGACAAAGGTTCGACAGAAACCCGAAGAGAACGAGATGATGTTAGTTGTACATCAAGGTGGCATTCGCCAGGTTCTGTAGAGGATAATTGGGCACGTAATGAAAGCACGTGATTGGAGAAAAGTAGGCTTTTATTCAGGGCGGCATACGCGGTGGAGAGCAAATGTGAGGTGTGCAAGGCGATGACGCTTCGCAGAAGGCGCTCCATGGAAAGCTCATTGGAATCGAAATGGACAGCATTGCTGTTTGCCTGCTGACCATCCCGCATCCAACGAAGCCCTATTCGAGGAACTTTGTTGCTCGGACTATCCATCACATTGTTTCGCAGGCCTCTTTGAACACCGATCTCTAGCCAGCTCTTTGGCCCGGCCCTTGCTGGCCAGTACTGAACAACCAGTGTCCGACGAAGAAGCTCAATGCGCAATGCATCTAACCATAGACCCCGAGCAAGGTCTGCAGCCTGTTTAAAAAGCGTGTTGATTTTGTTGGTCAATACCAAACCATGAAGAAAATCAAAGCATCCCATCAAGCCATCAGTATGTAATATTTCGTTGATTTTAGCATCAAGCTGGTCGAAGATTCTCCCTTTCGGAATAGGAGAAGATGGTGAAAAAAGGAAACGGATGTCCACGAAGAAGAATTGGGATGTGTTTGCCTCTTCTGCAACCGAAAGATCAAGTTCAAATTCTCCAGGTACGGTGAATGTTACGCGACCGTCATGGACACGATAGTTCCGCAATGGAGGCGGTACTTGATCATATAATGCCAACCGCACGCTGATGATACGATTGATTTTGTGTAGTTTTTTCAAAGTCGCCCTTGCGGTTAAAGGTTTGGGAGGCTTGTAGCCAAGCTAGAGCAAGCAATGTTAGAAATACTCTATCAGCTCAAAACAATGTCCCTGGACTCACATCTGGAAGAGTCACTACCCGGCCCTTGGAGAGAACCTCTAAAGCAGTTTTGAGATCTGGATTGGCTACCTGCGCTCGAACGAGATCTCGCTTCATCTCACCAACATATTGAACCGCGGAGAGATACGCTTGATGTCGAGCGCGAATGAAGCCTTGAATATCAATGAGCCGACTAACCTCCGTGGCCTGGCGACTCCATTGTGAGAGAACCAGGAGCTTGATGAATTCGGCCCTCTTAGCGTGTGCAAAGTCTAAGATTCGTACTTTCTTGTTCACATTTTCCACAGACTGATTCCCCAGAGGCTTCCCATTCGCAGCTGGAAGAGAGGATGTTTCAGAGGAGACTGATACTGAAGCCAACTCCGTCACCAACTCTGAGAGATCAATCCAACATTGTTGCGCTGCTCGGTTCACAAGTGTACCGAATGGGAAGAAACCTTGAGTGATATGTGGTAGCTCAAATGCCGTTGCGGGGCGATCCATGCTTTGGGCTGCCGTTTTTGAAGTTTGACTCAAAGCCGTGACATCCTTACTCATGCCATTCACATGGACCGGCCCGTTTATGGGAGCAGGGAGCTGATGGGATTTGTCGTGGCTCGGTGCGCCATTTGTCGTGTCATTAAGACCAGACTGTCGCAAAGATCCATCAACACCGGCATTCTCCATAATGACACCGGGCATATCTGAGCGAATCACGTTATCGGAATAGTGTTATTACTCGATGGTGCCTTCCCCTCCTGGGCCCTCTGCACAGTACCAACGAGTGAGCTAGTTCAGCCGGTAGCCTGGGCGCAACCCAGCGAGTACTGAGGTAGGAAGGGAAGCTGAGAGTGAGGACCAGTTGAGAGAAATTTTCTCAGCCCAGTGCCATGCGTATCACTGGCCGTGCAAAACAATGATCTCGATCATAATCAAGGGAGCTGGTACACGACCGAAGCTCTAATTGGAGTTGTAGAATAAGGAATCCAATCCTCGCTAGATGTCAAAGTGAGTTATCGGTTCCAGAAAAATGCTGAGATATTGTTTTTTTTCAATTGCGCCGAGTTCCTGCACGATATGATCGGGGACGATGGGGGGGGGGGGTCGGTGTTTGATCGTTTTGTAGGATTTGCGGCGAACGGAGCGATTTAACACGTTGAATGTTATAGCAGCTATGAGCGCAGAGAGATGGACCTTAAGGGAGAAAACGGAGATCCTAGAACGAGGACAGTTGAAGATAGGCAAAGAGGCTCTGATGCCGAAAGGATGAAAGGCAGAGAAGGAAAGCGCGCGATGCGCATGCACCGCCTTTGGCCCATTTATGCCTTACTGCCTTATTTTCTTTGTAAGTTTCCAGGTATGATTCGGTCAGGGATGGATGTGCACGGGTACTGTATTGTCACTACTATAGTGAGGAGCGTGTGTAATTACTGGTACCGTACGGATTACTCCAAGGGGCCCCATTGCCCCATGTGCCCCGACAAGCATGACCTCACCATCTCTCATCCTGATCTAGGTCATGATTTAGGTCCTTTCACAACAATGACTCGCCATGAAGCTGAGGCGGAGGCAGAGGAGGAGGCCAGCGGTCGGGCTCCTCTATACCCCGGCGATGATCCTCGACCGACGAGTAAAAAAGAGCTGGCAGGTTGGTATTGCTATGGCTGGGCTGCAGAGGTGTTTACCGTGTGTGCTATGGGTATGTAGTCGGACCCCCTTCGATTTCCCCGATGGTGACGCCTTTTGAACATTGCCACTATAGCTTCCTTTCTCCCTATTACCCTCGAGCAGATGGCCCGGGATCGTGGGTTTCTTCTGTCCGACAAGACAACCCCGTGTAGCCCAACGTGGAATCCTTCTCACCAGGTTAACCATCAATCCAATTACGAAGCTCAAAAATCAAGCTCGAGCCAATGCATCATCTTCTTCCTGGGCGCAGAGATTAATACTGCAAGCTTTGCACTATATACATTTTCCCTAAGTGTTTTAGTACAGGCGGTCCTTATCATCTCCATGTCAGGGGCCGCAGATCATGGAAGCTATCGCAAGACACTTCTGGTAATGTTTGCTTTTATTGGAGCTGTTGCAACCATGTTGTTCCTTGCCGTTGTGCCCCAGATTTACCTCCTAGGTGGGTTACTGGCGATTGTGGCCAATACCTGCTTCGGTGCGTCATTTGTTCTATTGAATTCTTTCCTACCGGTTCTAGTCCGCCATCATCCTTTGATCATTGAACAAGGCCCGGAAGCACTACCGGGGGAGGATGCCCAACGAGGGCTGGATGCCTCTACCCCATTACTTCAATCCCTCGAGAATGACGGGGACATGGCCACCGGTATGACATCTATGCAGCTCGATCTCTCTACCAAGATATCGTCTTTTGGAATTGGAATCGGTTATATCGGTGCTGTTGTCTTGCAGGTCATATCAATTGCCATCGTGGTTATAACCCGGCAGACGACTTTTTCACTCCGCCTAGTCCTATTCTGCATTGGGCTGTGGTGGTTCATATTCACCATTCCAGCAACCTTATGGTTGCGCACTCGGCCTGGCCCACCCCTGTTAAGTAACGGGAAGCCTCTTCATACATGGACGGCGTATATGATTTATTCCTGGATGTCTCTTGGGAAGACTATTATGCGGGCGAGGCGGTTGAAGGATCTACTCCTCTTTCTTGCCGCCTGGTTCCTCCTTAGCGACGGCATTGCCACCGTCAGTGGAACAGCGGTGCTGTTTGCCAAAACAGAACTTAATATGAAGCCCGCAGCTCTGGGACTCATTAACGTGATTGTCATGCTAGCCGGCGTGTGTGGCGCCTTTTCCTGGAGCTATGTGTCGAGCCTATTGCGTCTTCGCGCGTCGCACACCATCATAGCCTGTATTATTCTGTTTGAACTGATCCCACTCTATGGAATCCTTGGGTTCGTTCCATCTGTTCAGCGTTTAGGTCTTGGCCTCCGACAACCATGGGAAATGTATCCCCTCGGAGCCGTTTATGGCCTAGTAATGGGTGGGCTCTCCTCCTACTGCCGAAGTTTCTTCGCCGAATTAATCCCACCCGGCCATGAAGCGGCTTTTTATGCTCTTTATGCCATCACCGACAAGGGATCTAGCATATTTGGCCCCACAATTGTCGGGGTCATTACTGATCGGTATGGTGAGATTCGGCCCGCCTTCGTGTTTCTAGTCATTCTGATCTTTCTCCCCTTACCACTCATGCTACTTGTGGATGTTGAACGGGGGAAACGAGATGCTCTCGAACTCGGTGTCGACCTCAATGGTTTGTCAGCGGCGGGATATGGCACGACCTCGACAAGCACGCCAGAGGAATAGAATGTAGTCCGTTCAACGTAGAGTAACTAATATTGGGGTTTCTTTTCTCATCTCATCTCTGATGGATTTCGGATCACGTCTTTGTCAGCAATGCCCTTTTCTCACTCCCTGTCTCTCCATATTACCATATGTCCATGCCTGGATCAAGCCACGTACACATGCACCTCATCTCCAATATACTGTATGGAGGACTTCACAAATTATCCGAAATCCTGGTGTACGTATCACATTCTACTTTTTTCGGGTAATCAAATTATCTTAATTTGCTTTTTTTTGCTTCCCATCTCCTATTCTTCTAAGGTTCTGATTGAACAACATTCTGCCAAGCTAAGAAGACTATGGGGTCAGTTTTGTTGGATCGTGTAACGCACAGAAGTTCAGGCAAGCGTGGCCTGAAGGAATTACATTACTAGCGCCCCCAAAGCACTAGGCCCCATGTCAGGTCCCATGTATAGGAGAGGTATTCATGTACACCCGTGGGGAGCTGAAAGCCCAGGAAAGCTGTAAGCTGTGCAGATCATTTGCATAGGTGGGACCAAACCCTGTGTACAGGTACTAGGTTGATACCTAAGGGCGTGCGTTCCCCTTGCGTGGGGGCCCGCCCTGCATACTGTACCAAAGTAAGAAGCTCCACTCCCGTAGCTAAAAGCCAAGAGAACAAACTGTCCTCAACTTCGGCCCCAATTGTTTAAATATCATAACCTTCCCCGAAACTCTTCATACCCCTAAACTTAGGTTGGTAAGTTTAAGGGACCCCCCCCCCCCCCCTCTCCCCTTCCCAACATCTTCTTTTGGTTTTCCTTAAGAACCCCTCAAGACTAATAGAACTGTCTTTAGCTTGTGTTGCACCAGACCCTTTTAATTGATCCATCATGCGGTCGTTCACCCCTCTCATTCTGAGCCTTCTGGGTGTCACTGCGGCAGCGACCTCTGCTGCCGATACCGATTCGGCAACGTCCAACGTAATCTCCTTGACCACGGATACATTTGATGACTTCGTCAAGGAGCATGAGTTGGTACTGGCAGAGTTCTTTGCTCCGTGGTGTGGCCACTGCAAAGCATTGGCCCCCAAGTATGAAGATGCTGCCACAGAGCTGAAGGATAAGAATATCCCTCTGGTCAAGGTGGATTGCACTGTCGAGGAGGAACTGTGCCGCACCTACGAGGTCGATGGTTACCCAACTCTAAAGGTTTTCCGGGGTCCAGACTCACACACGCCGTACGGTGGTGCCCGTCAAACCGACTCGTACGTTCCTTCAAAACTAACTACATCCCGTTCGCTGCCTGGACACTTACACCTTGTCTCACTAGAATTGTCTCGTACATGACCAAGCAGTCCATGCCCGCCGTTTCCAGTGTCTCGGAGGAGACTCTGGAGGAATTCAAAACCCTTGATAAGATTGTTATTGTCGGCTATGTCGGCTCTGATGACAAGACCTCGAACAAGAGTTTCACCTCCTTCGCCGAGGCTAACCGTGACAACTTCATGTTTGCCGCTTCCAATGACGCCGCCCTTGCCAAAGCTGAGGGTGCCAAACAACCCTCTATTGTACTCTACAAGGATTTCGATGAGAAGAAGGATGTTTACGATGGCAAATTCGATGAGGAGTCCATCATGCAGTGGGTGAAGACTGCGAGCACTCCTCTTGTTGGCGAGCTTGGTCCTGAGACCTACGCCAAGTACATGTCGGTACGTGGAGATTAGGGTATCCTCCTTGTAACCATTAGATTACTGACCATTATTTCTCATATTAGGCCGGTATTCCTTTGGCCTATATTTTCGCGGAAACCAAAGAGGAGCGCGATCAGTTCACTGAGGAATTCCGCCCGATCGCTGCCAAGCACCGCGGAGAGATCAACATTGTTACCCTCGACGCCAAGCTCTTTGGTGCTCACACCAGCAACCTCAACCTGGAGCCTGAGATTTTCCCCGCTTTCGCTATCCAGGATACCACCAAGAACGCCAAGTACCCCTACGATCAGTCCAAGAAGATTGACGCTAAGGAAGTTGGCAAATTCATCAAGGACGTCATTGATGGCAAGGTTGAGCCCAGCATCAAGTCTGAGCCTGTTCCCGAGACCCAGGAGGGTCCAGTCACTGTGGTTGTAGGCCGTAGCTACCAGGAGCTTGTCATTGATAACGACAAGGATGTCTTGCTCGAGTTCTACGCTCCTTGGTGCGGTCACTGCAAGTCGTAAGTCCCTGTCCTATCCCGCCATTTATTTTCAACCTCCCTGTTAACTCTAGCCTAGTCTTGCCCCCAAGTACGATGAGCTTGCCGCTCTATACGCCGATGTTCCCGAGTTCAAGGAGAAGGTCGTCGTCGCTAAGATTGATGCCACCGCCAATGACGTGCCTGACTCCATCACTGGCTTCCCGACCATCAAGCTGTACCCGGCTGGCAAGAAAGACGAGCCGATTGAGTACGAGGGATCTCGCACTGTCGAGGACCTGATTACCTTCATCAAGGAGAATGGCAAGTACCAGATTGATGGAATGGCTGAGGGTGCTAAGCCCGAGCAGGGCGGTGACGTGACTGCCCCTGCCTCGGCCTCTGAAAAGGCCGCTGAGACCCCAGCTCCGTCTGAGGAGAGCCACGACGAGCTGTAAACCTACCCTCCCTCTAGTGACCGGCTTTCTTTTTGCAATGCAGTGTCTTGTATTACCCAATTTGACGTGTCAATTCCGATTTATCTATTCCCAATACTCGTAGGCTTTCTTCCTGTGTTACCTTGTAATTAAGAGCTCCGGAGATTAGTGAGAAAAATGTTTAGATGTTGTGATCACGATCGGTTATGTGTGGTGTTCAATTAACAATTTCCGGTGTAGATTCGATGGGGTCGATCTTGTCAATCTCCCGTGTGATTTAGTCAGCTTTCTCTGACGCGTCTCATGCGCAACGCGTCGAACCACCATAGCTCTTGGAAAATTGTCGATCAGACCCTGCGAGTTCTTACAAGACCCCTTAGGCCGAAAGACAGCTCTCAACTATTTAACTGACGTTTCCCCATTCAGCTCAACTGTTCAAAATGGTCAGTCCAGCCCTCAAACGAAACGCGGATCACCTTTCCACCTCGGCTGCAGACATCAAGAAGCCAAAGGGAGGGAGCATTACATCTTTCTTTGGTGTGCCCAAGCCCAAGGTGCTCAGCACACAAACAACCGGAGTCGCACCAGTTTCCCGGCCAAGCTCTTTCAGCAAAGAGAAATGGGTATCGTCTCTCACTGAGGAGCAGAAAGACCTATTGCAACTGGAGATTGATACATTGGATGACAGCTGGCTTGCCCACCTAAAGGACGATGTCACCACGCCCGAGTTTCTGAACTTGAAGCGATTTCTGAAGAAGGAGCAGGACTCCAAGGCCAAAGTCTTCCCTCCCAATGAAGATGTCTATTCTTGGTAAGGACATTTCAAAAGCCATATATATTGCAAGACAATATACTAACCAAACAACTAGGTCCCGACTTACCCCATTGCACACCGTTAAAGTGGTAATTTTGGGTCAGGATCCATATCACAACGAAAACCAAGCTCATGGGCTGGCATTCTCCGTGCGACCTCCCACTAGGGCTCCACCATCACTGGTCAACATTTATAAAGGGCTCAAGAAGAACTACCCAGACTTTGTTCCACCACCAAACAATGGTGGTCTGCTTACGCCTTGGGCTGAACGGGGTGTACTGATGCTCAACACCTGTCTCACCGTTCGTGCACACCAAGCCCATAGCCACGCTAATAAGGGGTGGGAGACTTTCACCCAAAAGGTCATTGACTTGGTTGCCCGAGTTCGAACTCATGGGGTTGTGTTTTTGGCCTGGGGAAAGCCCGCCGGGTTGCGGGTGGCCAAGGTCGACCGCAAGAAACATTCTGTGCTCCAATCAGTACACCCAAGTCCCTTGAGTGCGCATGGAGGATTTGTAAGTTCCATCGGCCAGCTTCCTATGGTCTAGCTGGTAACATCTACATTTTGACAATTGGAAACTTACTTGAACATTATCAGTTTGACAATGGTCATTTCCGGAAATGTAACGACTGGCTTGCTTTGCGGTATGGTGATGATGAGGTGATTGATTGGAGCCTTGTGCCAACAAAGGTTAAGCCAACTGCCCCTTCGAACAAAGAAAATTCAGCAACTTTGGGCAATGTTGCATCAGTGACCACTAAGGTGTCAAATCCCTCATGTCCTGGTGAGGAGCCAACAGTTGATGCTTGCCCTGCCGACGAATTCGACGATGCAGAGGCTCTTGCAGCCTTGGCAGCAATTGAGGATGAGATTGAATGAAAGAGAGAACATGTTCTGGTCTCTCGGTGGGGATTGAAAGTATCTTGTACTAATCATCTAGCAAGGTGTGAGAATGGGAATGGGTACCAAAAAGTGGAGTAAGGTGAATTTATCATTTTAGGGGTTTTTCAAATGATTCTGTTGAAGATCATATAGTCTGTAATCAAGTTTGCTTGTTATCTTGATATCTGAAAATAAAAAGGTCTGAAGAAATGTATACAAGGCGGTGTGCGGCTCTTATCGATAAGCTTTCTGTCTCTCTTTTCTCCCCGCACGGATGTAACTATCCTTGCTATCCTCTCGATGGAATTTACATGGCAGGCCAATACTCCCCAATGGCGGACTAGAAATCGGGCTGCACGAGCTTGTCCGACCTGCCAGCGACGAAAGGTGCGTGGATAGAACTCGAAAAATTAGACCGAGCACTGAATATCCCACAGAAGCGATGCCGGCACCTCGCTCCTAGTTCAGTGGAGTCTCAGCTCCTACCGACACATACCAAAAAGCTTGACACAAATCGCAATGTTACCAGTCGACCGGATTTTCGAAATCCTCATACTCATGGTCTTGCGACTTGGGAGAGAACGTCGTCAGCAGATCCAGTCTTGCAATCAATCCCCAACACGGAGCGATTCGTAGGAGACTTGAACCCGGAAGCGTTTATACGAGAGAAGCTGGATGAATCCACTAGTAATCGTTTCCGGGACCGGGTTGGGCTCTGGATAAGCTCCCCATCTACACAGAATTGTAGTCAAGATGTGCACGAGGCGCGACACACTGGTAATAAAGACCCCTCTACATTGTCATCACCACCACCAGCTCTGGACCGACTTGCAATAGAGAATTTATTAAACCAGCGACACTCCTCAGCAATACAGGCATGTGGTCACCTTCCTAAAACGACTTGGGAGCCTCTAACGGCTATCTACTTTGCCAAGATCAATCACATAATACCTCTATTAGAGATGGACTCCTTCGTCAACGCCCAAACTCAAAGCTCCGTGTCTGCTTTTCTCGAGCGGGCTATTTGCCTAGTTGCAGCGAAAGACCCCGAAGCAATCCCACATCTACGCCTAGTAGAAGAAGGGCCGGTTTTACCAATCCGTCAATTTTGCTCTAGCATTTACAATGGGCTCAAGGTCGCCATGGATATGGAACTAGAGTCTGATCGCTTGACCCGTATCCGCGTCCTTGCACTGATGTCTTTGCATTTTGATGGCAATGAGGGGGAGAGAGGCCGCATCCTTACATCTTTGCCAGGCCATTCACCAGGCCCAAACGATAGGTTTACACCTTGATCGACCGGATCGGACATCTGGAGATCCCTTAGTCAAATTTTTCTGGGGTCTCTGGACTCTGGACAAAATGCATGCAAGCATCGGCGGTCGCCCTGTTCTTTTGGCTGATCGCGACATTGGAATACCAAGGCCAATCTCCCACACCCGAGGGGCTTTCGGCGTGTGGCTTGCCATATCAGACTTGCTTGCAACGGTCATATCATATTATAGACCCTGTGCTGTAATTACCAGTGGATGGGAGGACGGATTTCCGGCCTTTGAGGACATTGTAGGAGATGACGCACATGGGGATTTGGACTTTTCAACACTTGGTGCGTGGGACGACATTGAAGGTCTTAGTGGAAGCTGAATTAACCAGAAACTAATTGATCGACAGGGATTCTGGAGTTATACTATCACTGTGTTGCTATCTTGTCCTGTCGGTACAAATTGACGGATAGCCTCGACGGCACCAAGGTTTCTTCCATTCGGCAGGGCCTTGCGGCAGTTCGGATTCACTCTATTGTTGCCTCAGAATGTGCAGGCAGGTTACCGCCCCTTCCCATAGTCCCTTACGCGATATCCCTGTCAATGGGTGTCTCCTACCGGCAGCTTCGCTCGAGCAAGCTGATTACCCATTTCAATCGAGCCAAGGCCAGCTTGGAGGCATGCTGCTATTTGCTCGAGGATCTCAGTCCTGGCTGGTCTTCTGCCGAAGCAATGGCACGCCTTGGCCGGAAAGCTTTAAAACATATTGACCGCGAGCACCTGCAATATGCTCAACCGAAGACGGTCTCACTATCCCAGCCTCACGTACATACAGGTCCGCCGGAGCCTATCGATCTCTCCAATAACAATGAAGCCGTGTCAGAGCTGGGCGATCATGGAGATGATTCCGGTATGTCAGTCGTGGATCTTGCTCCTGATATATCTATGGAAAGCCCTCTTCCACCCATGAATGATATTGATGCTTCAATGCATGGGTTTGCCGACATTGATAATTTGTTTGGGGAATTTTTGGACCTGTCTCTCCCAACGAACTTTTGGGATCCCATATTTGTAGAGACTGAACCAAGCGATCAAAGGCCGTGATTCCTAACATAAGCGGTAGCACATGTTGGGTCAAATCCTGATCTGGTCACAAAAAGCCTTCGGCCTATGAAATTAGCCATTGGTATTGTTTGCCTCGCAAATACCCTATTCGAGCGAAGGCAAATTTCTGTGGATTGCTCTTAAAATTCCTCAGACATATCCATCAGATGCGTTAGATCGTGACGGTTGTTCGACGTTTGTTCCACCTAATCGTCAGTCTACAATTGGTCAAGGCCACGAGAAAGCGTTTTACCATGCCCTAGTAATTTCTGCTGGCAGAACAATCAAGAATCATAGATCTTTCCAGGGCATTTCCCTATATCATCCTCGTATATATGCAATCCGTCTCAATATCTGAACCTGAAGTAGTGAACCTGATCAATGGCAAAAGCGGTAAGTAGCTCAAAGGCGGTAATTGAAGCGGTGACCTAAACTGGGTTATTGCCAACCTGGCCCCATTAGCCTGCCACCGCATCATAGGTAACACACAACCATCTCCCCGCTCCCCAGCCTCCTCCACAGCCTCTTTTTCTTCTTTTTTTCGGGCCCTCCTATCCTCCTTTTACATTTACTCCATTACTCCCTGCTCTCTTTGCTGCAGGAACTAAACTCCAGTCTTTCTCCTCGCCCCCCTCCCCATCTCCCTTAACCGCATCCGGCGCTCGGCTTCAAAGAGTTCCACCTCAATGGCTCCTCCTCCACCCGCAACCCTGCCTCTGGCCGAGCGACTGAAGGCCCTTGCTCAGACCCTTCAGTAAGTACTCTTGTGGCTGTATAGAGCTTCCATGATGGTTGATCAGTTACTAATCCGAATTCTCACTGCAGATTCGCCTGGTTCGTCGGGTATGTCGTACCTCGGGAAATCATCCCCGAACGCTTTTCCTAGGAAGAATCGCTAACCACACACAGCCACCTAACGCTTTTGCTTTCCGTCTTCCGCTATTCTCTGTCATTCATCTTTTTCAACTACTATTCTTCTACGGCACGGATCTCTTATCGCCTGGCATTTGTCTCGGCCGCTGTGACCTATGGAATCGTTGTGTACAAAGGCCACTTCGCCCGGGGCGTCCAAGGAAATGTGCCAACAATCGTGACGAAGCTCATTTCTGACGAGAATGTGCAATACCTTGGTGTGTGCTCGGCGATTACATGTAACATGTGACAGGATGCTAATGTGCCGTAGGAATGGCTCTCGTCTGGTTATACTCGCGCCAGCTTATTTTGGCCCTTCTCCCCTTCAGCGTATACTCGGTCTTCCACGTTGCAACCTATAGCCGCATGTACCTCATTCCCACCCTGCAGCCCCCAGTCCATGGCGCGGGTGCAAACTCGCCTGGCTCGCCGAGCTCCAAGCCCGCAGCCAAGCAGAACGCTCTCGCTGAGACCATTGGCCGCTTCATCAAACAATACTATGACGCTAGCATGGGTGTCGTCGCCACCCTTGAGATCCTGCTTCTCTTCCGTCTGATTCTTTCCGCCATCGCCTTCTCCAAGGGTAGCTGGGTCCTGCTGCTTGTTTACCTGTCTTTCTTCCGTGCTCGCTACGCCCAGAGCTCCTTCGTCCAGCAGGCCGTTCGCCAGCTTACCGCTCGTGCTGACGCCTCCATCTCTCACCAGAGCACTCCTCCTCAGGTCCGCCAGGGCTGGGAGGCATTTAAGGGCGTTGTTCGTCAAGCCTACGAGACTACCAATATCAGTCGCTACGTCTCTGGCCCTGCTTCCGCCAACAAAAAGCCGCAGTAAGCAAATGTTACATCGCGCTTCAAGCGCGTCCGCCGGCTCGAAAGCTTCAAAAGAAGCTTTCGTTCACTAGACGAGGTCTTCGGACTGCAAGTCTTGGTGAAGAATTTCGGCGGTGTAAGGAACGAGGTGATATGATTTCCCTATTTTTCGATTTGGTGTTTTCATATTGAAAGTGGTGGAATCGTGAGTAAGGACCAGTTAAGTGTGTTCCTTTGTAGAAAAGAGGCGGACGTGGAGGATTTCTGCCCTGATGATGCTATACGCAACGCAATGTCATGTTTTTTATCATTTTCTGTTTTCATCTTCTAGATGCAATGATATATCCATTGCCTTGGTTTTCGGATAGCCGTGTTTATGAAGTCCAATTCACACCTAGAATCTGAGGGCTGTTCCTCCATCTGACTAGAAAGACTACAGCTACGATTTGGTATCAGATCTTTCGTGGCCCCGTTCGTCAAGGACCGATATAACGGATATATACTACGTCTCCAAAATGCTTGCGACTATAGGACTTTGGTCTCTCTCAGCTGGAGTCGTCTCTGTCAGAATTTGCTACAACTCAATTGTTTAATTCTGGTTTCTTCGAGAAATGCAGTGTGTGATGGCATTGACGCGCCTACCACTAACATGAAGGCGACTTGCCAGGGAGGTTGTATTGCGGACGAGGCCTCATTTCCGCTGCTGTCAAGGATCTGTTCCCGTCGGCTCAAGTCTCAGCCTATATCCAGCCTGATGCGAGCCATAGGCTTTCACTGCATCATAATGCACCGCCGGTAATGAGCAGAATTGCGAACCTCTTCCAAAAGCAAAACTTTGGGATGAAGTCAAAACAACATCTGTAAAGCGTATGGCCATTGACTCATTGGAGACGTCCATGGTGTAGAGTAGCCCGTTGTGTATAGATGTGACTTTTAAAATAGACTATGACGTAGTAAGATTCAGAGTTTCCCTGCCTGATAACCGGGGCATTCACGGAGGCGGAGAAAAAACATGACCAGATTTTTGATCTCGGCCCCGAGACCCCCGGCCATATCTCACTACTCAACGCCCTCTTGTCGCTCTTTATATCCGTTTTTACCGGGGGTGATACCTTCTCTTTCTCTATCGCCAAATCTCTCCAATCACCCCCCGGTTTCCTTTCATCCCGGGATCAGACTCGGCGCATTATTGCCATGAGCCTGACCTCGCGAGTCTTTGGTCTGTTTTCGACAACGGCGACCTCTGACCCTGCGACCAGCGATTCTCCTACTTCTATCCCTCACACAAAACTCTCGGCGCATAATGAAGTAGACGTCAGTGCCATCCGCCATGCGCCGGATAGACACATGCTGGACGAGGAGGAGGAGCCCCGTCCGCCTTACTTACATGTGAGAATTTGCATCACCCATACCATACTGGCCATTCGGATTCTAACAGTTGATAGGCAATGTTGGCCGGTGGAACTGGAGGTACATGTGGTGATATGTTGATGCACTCATTGGATACCGTCAAGACTCGACAACAAGGCGACCCGAACTTCCCACCAAAATACACATCCATGACCTCGTCATATGCAACCATCTATCGCCAGGAAGGATTCTTACGGGGCTTATACGGTGGCGTGATTCCGGCTTTTTGGGGTTCCTTCCCAGGAACAGTCACCTTCTTCGGCGTATACGAGTTCACCAAACGCGCGATGCTGGATCGAGGAATTAATCCCAACATCGCCTATCTCTCTGGTGGTTTTTTTGCCGACTTGGCTGCATCGATCGTCTATGTACCATCGGAGGTGCTCAAGACCCGGCTTCAGTTGCAGGGCCGATACAACAACCCTTACTTCCACTCTGGATATAACTATCGCAGCACCACCGATGCATTTCGAACCATCGTGCGCCAAGAAGGGGTCTCAGCCCTGTTCCACGGCTATAAGGCTACAATCTTCCGGGATTTGCCATTTTCCGCTCTGCAGTTTGCTTTCTATGAGCAAGAACAAAAACTAGCCAAAGAATGGGTTGGTCAGCGAGACATTGGGCTGGGTCTGGAAATTCTCACTGCAGCCACAGCGGGTGGCATGGCTGGTGTGATTACCTGTCCGCTAGATGTGGTCAAGACGCGGATTCAGACTCAACAAAACCCCCCGCAGAACCCCAGTGGATCGTCTGGAGCCAAGCACACCGGTGATCATGCCCCTAAGGAAAGTCCTCGACCATATGTCCCTGGAGCATCGCATTCCGCGAAAGCACACTCACGACCAATCTCCACCTCCTCGCCATCTACATCGGTTGCGCCCCCAGGTGCACCGCGGTTGGATACATCATCCGTATTCACGGGGTTGAAGATGATCTACCGCAGAGAGGGGCTTGCGGGGTGGTTCCGCGGCGTGGGCCCCCGCGGTGTGTGGACCAGCATTCAATCTGGAACGATGTTGGTCATGTACCAGTACCTCCTGAAACAAATCGAGGCTTACCAGAGCCTGGAGGGCTCATCCCTGTGACGTCTGATTTCATCTGCATACGGAAGGACCTTATTCATGGGCATGGCGTTTATAGGGGAGTTTTCCTTCTTTCATTCCCTTCAAGTGTATATGTACTTTAAACCCTCCGATAGAACTACATAGACTGACCTCAGGGTCGAATTGTATTATAGATATCTCCTAGGATAAGATTTCCAATCAATCTGCCAAAGCAATCGTAGTTCAACGTCGAGAATTCCCCGAATAAAAGGGAACGCGCTAGCGTGGTTTGTTTTGGCGATCCCGCGGGTGTAAACAATTCCCCCAATTCCCCTCCTTGCATCTTACCTTCCCCTCTTAACCATCTTGATAGATCCTGTGCACTTCACTGATCACCTAATACTCCATCATGTCAAACGGTCTTCCTTTTTTGAATAAGCTGCGCAAGCCGGAGCTGGCTGAAATTGCGGAGAGAACCGACTTGCAAGAGTATGTTTATCTTTTGTCGCGCGCAGTCGCATTCACTGCCAAGCAAAAAAGGAAGATAAAGAACTAATTTTATTTTGAAGTTATGATGACTACAACAAGGTTGAACTGATTGCCGCGCTGGATAAGCACCTCGTCGATAATCGCACGATCTTCTCCGGCGACAAGAAACTCGCCGAGTTCTACACACGCTTGTCAAGCACTGCGCGTAGAGGATCACCCGTCAAGCGCGAACTTCGGGCAGACGTTTCTCCTGTGATTGAGAAGAAGACACCTGGTCGCCGATCCACGAAGCCAAAAGAGGAGGAATCTGCGTAAGCCAATCACGCCAGGATGTCGCATGCGAACGTGCTGTGGTGACATCATTGCTTCAAAGTACTAATCCGTTGCGACAGTGAGTCTGACGATGCTGCTTTCAAAACCCCCGCCGCGAAGACTCCCTCTGCAACGCGCGCAACTCCGCGATCAGTGCGATCCGTCGTTGAGTCGGCAAGTGCGCAATTTCCGCCATCTCCGGCCGTAGTAACCGACGCCATTGATCGGCAGACTGCGAAGATGCGCGAGGGCTTGGAGCACGCCTGGACTGAGTCTGGTTTCATTGAGCGCTCGCATGCGCTGCGCGCGACTCTGAGCAGCCTCAAGGCCATTGAGACCATTTTCGTGCTTGTAGAGGCTAGCTATGTCCTCTACGAGCTTGTACCTCTCCGCTATCTCACCACTACTCCTGCTGTGCCCGCCGCCCATCTTCCCTCGTTCTCGATCAAGGTTCCCGACCTGTTTGTCCTGCTGACTGGCGCCTTTTGGGCTCCCTTCAGCCTGTGGTTTCTCACCAATCTGGGGCTGCCGTTACTCGCTGCTTACTTTTTCAATCTGAGCTGGCAGGCTGCTACTGGTGGCTCCCAGGGTCCTGCACGCCGTACTCGCTCGACTTCATCTCTCGCCAGCTTTGATCCCCTGTCCTTCAATATTGCCAAGGCTCTGCTGGTGTACAAGGTCTATGTCGACCACTTTCACTATGTCGATCTGTTCAGCAAATATGCCATCCAAAAGGTCAACTTCTCTATTCCTGGCCAGTATAGTGGTATGCTGACCGGGACCGCCATTGGTGTTATCGGAACCCTTTACGAGGCCATTCTGCGGCGCTCGTAGATCTTATCTCCAGATATCCCTGCGTCTGCCTCGGGCTGTATAGTTGGTCTAGTATGTGGCATTGCAAGGATATCACGCTTTGGAAGCTGGGAAGACATGAATCTGTTTTTAGCTTAGTCTTTGATATTAACCTTTCCTCCCCCTGTGCGATTCTGGTACGTAGTCCGGGCTCGTCTTGCCTGGATGATGTGGATTCATCCGATGTGATTGTTTTGTGATTTGCTATTCTCCACGTGGGTTATAGGTCCAGTCTAGTGGGATGCGACGATACGATATGCGATGCTGTTTATTTTCTTTGGTTTCTCTCTTTCAGCCAAAGGTGGCGCCTGGGTTTGGGTTCTGGTCTTTCTTTCTAGGAGGTTCTTTTTTGACCTTTAATGACGTTTGTTTTGTTGTTGACTCCATACCGGATCGATGATAGTCAACTTTGGAATTATTTGTCGTGAATTGAGTGGAATACAGTCTTCACCTCTTTAGTCTGTGCGCCAATTCTACCGTAAACAGCACGGGGACTGAGGTCTCCACTTCAACCCTTTCTGCTCGAATATGATTACTGGTCGATATTTGACCCCCGATCTCAGTGGGCCAGTCCTGCACATCCCACTCAAAGCCCTGGGTGGTAATAGTCGCCGGAGCAGACAGAGGAATGATGCCAACGTTTTCTTCAAAGAAGTATTCTGTTCCCTGTTCCACAAGCTTGCCACTCCGAGGCGATTCGGAGGTTCCAGGCTGTGGTCCATTGGCTGGAGCAGCTTGGACAAGATCTGCACGTCTCGTGGCGGGCGTGTAAATGATATTCCGGCCTTTATGTAGAACAAAAGTGATGCTTTCCTCGGAAACTAGATAGAGACTGCCACCGGTAGCCAATCTGGGGGTTTTGTCACCACCAAGAGGGACATTTGTGCCACTAGTACTGTGCTGGATTTCACGAAGCTCTCGTTGTGTTTCAGTCATCATGTACAGGTGATGGATTTGTGAGAAGGCTTGATCAACACGACCACCTAGGCCGCCAAGAATAACAACTTCAAGTAGATCTGAGCTTAATTGAGACGCAGAGTCTCGAGGTCGACGAGGCGATGCGATGATCTCGGACGCATGGGTATTGAGATGTTTCAAGCATTTGGTGAAATCCGTTGAATATTGATCTGGATCTTCCAAAATAGTGACTCCCAGCTGTCTATAATGCTCTCGTACCGCCGGATGAAGAGAGTCCAAATCACCAACAATGACATTGGGAAGCTATAGCCTCGACATTAGTTTGATAGACTCGGATGCAAACGATTCCACCAAGAAATAACTTCATGTCAATACTCCATGTTGAGTACAATACTTGGCTGACCAAGTGTCAAATGACCATGTAAAGGCTGCACTTACTTCCGTTAACTCTTGCCCTTGATTTTTCGTTAAATCGTAGAGCCGATTCGCACCACCATCGGCACATATAACGTAGCAAGCTGCACAGACAGATAAGAAGCTGCTTGGATACCCTGAGACAGGCTTAGGGAGATAGAAACGTGTGCATCTCAAAGCTCACCATGTTCACTCAATACTTCATACGCCCTCTCATTGATTGGCTGGTTCAATATTAACAGGGCGTACGGTACCGAACTCCCCTCAGAGTGGAAAAAACGGCTTGGGTGCCACTCCATATAGCTCATTATGGTAGAGTCGCAAGAGATCCAGAATCAAGCTTGTCGGGTGAGAATCTGGAGAAAGCGTTCAGAGCGTCGCGTGTGGGTGCGGCCCGCGCAAACGTGACTTGACCATCGAACCTCAGGCCGGAATCCACCTTCTCTTTCCACCAACTTCTCTATCCGCCGGCGACCTCTCCCTCCCCTCTCCACGCCCCTCGGAGGTTTCCCGCGGTGTCAATTCCATTCAGACACAATTCCTCACATCATGTTCCGTCCCGCTGTTCGAGCGCTTGCCCGCGCGCCTACTGTCGCGGCCCGTAGCCCAGCGAACTCCCGATTGATAAGCACTGGTCCGGCACCGAAATCCAGAAGCTGGAAGAATACTGCTCTTCGCTTGGGATTGGCCGGTGGTGCCATCTACTACTACAACACCAGCAGTGCCTTTTCTGAGGAGCCTTCCTGTACGTGAAGTCGTTTCGCCTTCTCTATCATGATTCTCGCCTGGTGTACCCGAGGCCCTCGCATCTCGGACTTCATCGCATTCTAGGCCAATGGCTTGCTGGATCTTTGCTAACGGCTCATCATGTGTCTAGTCTCTATCCTCGCTCATCTGCAAAAAGAAGATGCCCCAGCATCCTCCGAAACTCTCAACTCCATTACCCCCAAGATCCGGGAAGAGCGGGCAGCCGCCCAGTCTCTGGAAGGTGGTGTAAACCCTCAAGAACTTGAGGAGGAGGCCGGACAGCAGGCCGCGTTCAACCCGGAGACCGGTGAGATCAACTGGGACTGCCCGTGCCTGGGTGGTATGGCCCACGGCCCATGTGGGGAAGATTTCAAGGCTGCATTCAGCTGTTTCGTTTACTCCGAGGAGGAGCCCAAGGGCATGGACTGCATTGACAAGTTCAAGTACGCCCATCCCATCTGGCTTATCAAGGTCATACACCCGTGCTAACACATTTCCAGGGCCATGCAAGATTGCTTCCGTCAACACCCCGATGTTTACGGCGCCGAGTTGGAAGATGATGAGGTCGAGGGCGGCGCATCCGCAGAGGCGCCTTCCACTGGTGAGCAGGAGGCCCCCTCCACTCCAGAGGAGAATGCGCAACCCCAGGAAGTCACCAGTGAGGTGAAGGCAATTTCGGATGTCGAGGCCGACTCGTTGGTTCCCAAGGCCTCACATGACGCTGAGAAGACTCAGGTTCATTCGGAGAAATAAGCTCACGTTGAACAGCTAGTATCTTCTCGTGACACCTTTCTAGAGGCAGGGCTTGTCTCCTGCCTCCAGTTGTCCCGCCCCATCTCCGGGGACTAGGATCGGGGTGTGTACTATATTAAAAATCTCTCAGTCTCTCTCGATTCGATTGCTGCGCTTCTCCATGAAATCCCCAGCATAACCATTCCCCCATTGCCTATTGCTTGATCTTACCCTTTGTAACTTAGTGTATTGATGTGCCCCGACTGATGTGGACAAGGAAGATAGAATAGACTTGTTGCATCATTAAATTCTTATTTTCATTTGCGGCACTGAGTCCATTTTGAAAACTGAATATGTAAATTTTCTCCAAGAACGAACACCACCCGTGAACTGACAAGATTCGCCGCGCCACCTGGGCAACAGATTTCCGTTTCCTCCCACCATACATGATGTGCGGAAGGCGACGACAAACAGATGGTATACACGCCAGTTGTACAATTCCTGAGCGTGGGCCGATCCTTTACATAAGAGGGAATACTCATATGCGTCACCAAGTCTGATGAGTGATTGGTAAAGCTTAGTAGAACAGAGAGTCAATAACCTCGGCGAGAATCGGGGGTTGGGAGAAGGGGAACTAGCAGCTCACGTCTGGAATAGTCACCGAGTCACCGATCAACCACCAAAGGGTTTGTATATGGAGGGTTCAGCGTTGGGGAGAAGTGCCTCCTCACTTCCGAGATACATACAAAGCTGCTTCATACGTACTGTATGCTATCTGTACATCAAAATGCTCACTATGGAGCTCTGACCATACATTGTAAGCTCCAAGACACGAATGGCTTGTGGGAAGAAATATCTTTGGAGAATTAGGCCCGCTATACGATAAAAGGATTAGAACCAGCAAATGCGGGAATGACATCCCGTTGCCCTGGTCGGATAATTGCCGGTGGACTTGTCATGATGAAGTGGGAAACCTGAGATCTCGGAGAAATCATGTACGAGAATGGGAAAACCTAGGAATAAAACTCCGGTCCTGCTTTGGCTATATCTTGGCTGAGTTCCAACGGTCAAGTGTGTCCGTCCCCCAAGCTCCTAGACATATCTCGGTCATGAATCGAAACTGCCTCTAGTATCGGGGACATTGGTATACAACATCCTTCCGGGAAATAGATGTGCCATTCAACTTGAAAAAATGACGAATCCTATGTGTATGTACTGGAGCAATGGTCGAGAATCAATGAATTCATAAGAGTATTGATAATCATGGGCGATGGTGCCGTTGAGTCTAGGTTAGAAGGAGACCTGGTCTAGCCCCACAGAATATTCATCTTCGCCCAGATGGTCTCTTTCTTGATTGGCACATTCTCGGGGTCGTTTTCAGCTTCGTCCAGTGCTTGACGTAGAGGCACCATCTGCAAAGGTATTATCTTGGTGCGCCGTATCAATTTATAGCCTCCGTAGGCAAATAAGACAAGAGGGATATCTCTGGTCAAGGGATTAGCCATTGTCGATTACTGGGAAGGCAATTAGGGCTCTTACAAATAAGATGATACGAAGGTAGCGGGGTCCCAGCTTCCACTCGTGAAAACCGTGAACCCTCCAGTCAACAAGAGAATAATGCACGAGATCAAGGCAAACCAGCTAGTATATCCTGAATGAAGTTAGTGAGAAACGACAAATCAAGTCATGAAGACCCACGTACTAGTGATACTGTTGTGCCAAGGCAGGGTATGTGGTGAAATGCCCTGTTCCTTGAATGCTTGGAGCAAGCGAACATGGTTCGAGGCAATGGTGATCCACGAGACCAAAGTACCGGCGGCAGTCAGGTCCACGAACCAATAGAAGACCGTGGTGGCGCTGTTCGATACGCACATGTAGGCCAAGAAGGAGAAAGCAACCTGCATTGCAACACACATGTATGGCACCCCCCATTTATTAGTCCGGAGGAAAATCTTAGGAGCGTGACCTTTGACTGCAAGGCCGTACAATGTTCGTGTACCCGCCAAAATACTCTGGTTTGAGGCAGACCATGCAGATGTCAGACATACGGCATTCACGATAGATGGAATGGCCTTGATGCCCGCATCACTAGCGGCAATGACAAAGGGGCTCGTTGCAGCAGTTCCAGAGTCGTCTTCCAAGCGAGGATCTGTGCTCGGCACTAACATGCCCACAATCAAGACCGCAGCGAGGTAGAAGAGAGTGACTCGTGCAAACACCCGCTTGCAGGCCTTGGGAATGTTTTGGCGTGGATTCCTGGTTTCCGCAGCTGCCATGGCCAAAGACTCTACACCTGCAAAGGAGTAAACGGCATTGGTCATCACAGCCCAAAAGCCCAGGAAACGACCCCAGGATCCCGAAGCGATATACTCAACGAATGGACCAGGGTCCTTCCAGTAGTGAAAGCCCAATCGCGGCTTTCCTGGGATGCCGCCGAGGTCGATGACCAAGCCCAAGATGACGACAAAGATGACCAGCAGGATTTTGAGAATTGCGAAGATAAATTCGATCTCACCATACACGCCGATGAATGAAACGGCAACAGCAACCGACACCACGATGAGGATGGTCACCCACACCGCGGCATTGATGTCTGTCCAATATTGAATCAAAACCACGCTGGCGGAGATTTCGCTCGGCACACTGATGAAACATCCATACACGACATTCCAGCCAATTGCAAATGCCAGGGCCGGGTCAACCAGAACTTCAGCATGACGAACAAATGAGCCCGTTACCGGAAGCAAGGCTGAGACCTCGCCAAGGGCGAATTGGATAGCGCAGACCACCAGACCAATAAAAGCGTAACCTAGCAGGGCGCCCAGTGGACCACCGGTAGCGATTGAACTACCGAGGCCGAGAAAAAGACCCGTACCCTACTCCCGGAAGTGTCAGTACGCATCTTACATCTAGAACTTCAGATCTCCACCTACAATTGCACCTGCAATAGCAATCATCTGAACATGCCGTTGCGATAATCCCCGCATCAGACCCAGCCGTTCATGCTGAGTGACAATGAGTCCATCGTCAGGCGTGATCTCTCCGGCATCAGAGTGTGGGGGTTGGTCTTCAACATCATGTACGACGTATGGAGCCCCCTTATTTGAGACTGGGTCCTCAGCAATCCCGGCCATGGTTGTCCGCGAAGATTTACAGAAAAAATCCCCAGGGATTTTGACGCAGAAAAGGGCTGCGCGCTAAAGGATTGAAGACGCCAATCACACCATCTAAGTGGTGGATGAGGGAAGTTATCTTTTTGCTTATCTGGCTTGGACTTGCCAAAGTGGGCTTGGTAACTATGGTGGCGCCCATGCATCGGGACACAGGTAATCTATCACATTGGCTATCTGCAATGCATTCCATCCTTGGATTGCCAAACATACGGGAAATGAACAGAGATAGAAAGCTGTGCAGAGCTCCACATTTATTGCGTATACTCGGAGATCTCCATGCTTTTCTCCACTTGAGGATATCAATTTCCCTGTCCCCTAATTGGCTAGTCGCATGCTAGTCCCAAGCCTTCATGAGTGGCTATAGAGAGTCAAAAGACACCAGAACGGATTTCTCAGTCATGCAAGGTCAATGTCAACATATCGGCGTTGCTTCATAGAAAAATAATAAAGGTTGAAGATGCTCAGCGCAATAACGATGAGGCTTTGTGTATTCACCCTTTTCCGCTCTCTGCTCCCCCACCCCGAGCTTGTGGTCCGGGATATTGCCCTAGGCGCGAAAGTGACCCAGATGTATCCATTTCAATAAGGGACCTGTGGGAATTGTGTATGCGCATGTAGCAGGGAGGGTGAATAGATACAAGGATATCCCGGAAGCATCAAGAGTACAGCCTCTGCGGTCGAAAAGTAAGATGTGGTCGGAAATACCGGCGACAATATTTTAGGCTCTGGTGAGAGTCACCTGTGAGGCCGAAGCTCGGTCCATGAAACCAAGAGTCGCATTGTAGCAAATTTTTCCCGGGGGAGCTCTTCCCACGATACTTTGGGGGAAGGTACAGCGGGTATGGAAAAGGGGAGGCTTTGTCCCAGTCCACAACATTCATTTACCAGTTCACGTCACTAAGCTGAAGTTTGCGTGATCGGAAGGCGGATCGGTTGGCACCTGGCTTTTCCAGTCGTTGACTAGCTGGAATTCGCTTCTCGAAGGCTATATTGATCGACTTAGCCAAAACTGGGCATTCGAGGACGCTGTTGGACTTACTCTCGGTCGGCTCAGGTTCATTCGCAGCCTCATAATTCAAAACGAGACTCTTGATGCGTTGTTGCTCTTCACGATCCGCTTGCTGTTGAGTCCGCATGGCGACAGCAAAGCTTGAATCGGAGGGCATATCGATGGTACGAGTCTATAATAGGTCAATATCATAGCCAGTAGCGGATTCTCGGGGTTTTGAGTTCGAACCTGTTGCTTATTGCCCTTCTTCGTCATCAAGGAGAAAGCCATGGTCTTGGGAGCCACAGGTAGAGCCGGAATGGGCTCGGGGGATTCAGGGGATTCATTGGCTGTCGCCTCTCGAGCAGGGCGCTTCATGGGCAAGGGAATATCAAAGATCGCCTTGCGTTCAAATCGTCTAGAATCCATGCTCTCAGCCATCATTTTCTCGAACTCTCGGTCAAAGTCGGCCTCGACTTCTGGATCCCGTTCCTCTTCCTGTCGCGTGACGACAATCTGTTCATCCTCGGAGTCAGATTCGTGATCCATCTCCGGCTCCGGGTTCGGACCAGATGCCTGTGGGTTAGTTAGCTACCATTGTTTTTCGGATATGGGATCGATAGAACAACTCACCTCGGCTTCATCGCTCGACTCTCCCTCATCCTCAATATCGTGAATTGCATCCTCCTCAAGACCCATTTCAGAAGAGCTGCTCTCCGCATCGTCCTCATCAGCGTCAATGGGTCTCTCCGAATCCGGAACGTTGTAGTTTAGAGCGACAGCTTCGCTGAAAATCCGAGTAGCCTCTTCGAGATCGGTGGCTAGCTTCCATTGGGGTCGGAGAGAAGAGTAGGTATCCTGAACAAGAAAGTCGACATCCATGGGAAGTGGGTCTTTGGTGAAGAGATAGTATTGGAAGAAAGTCATGAAGAAGTCGAGCTTCTTCTTGGCAGATCCGCGGTCAAAGCAGTGACCACATGTATCCAGTAGCGTGCAAGCAAGACGAACTCGGAAATAGTCGTCAGGTTGATCCAGCGCAATGATTCGTCCAGGCATGGGGGTCCCGCCTTCGTGGCCAAAGGTGACAATGCGATAGAGTGTATCAAAAATGACGGGGGAGTCAATCATCTTGTAGTTGTAAAGTTCACCCAAGTACTTGACTTCGGCAATGCGCTTCTGGTTGAACTTGAAGTCATTCTGCTCCAATCCAAGGGTAATTTGCTCCAGAATGTTGTCAACAACGCCGATGACAAAGTCTTGGTGATAACGGTACAGAGCGCTGACAAGGATTGCCAGAAGATGAATGCTCCCATATTTAACTTTGACTGGTTTACTAAAGACACGCTCCAAAATATCAACAACCTCTTGCTCCTCCCAGTGAAGCTTGCGGATAGACTTCAAGATCTTAGTGTAGTTGCGCTTGTTCATATCGAGGTAGATCAACCGACGGATGTACTGTTCCATTGGCGTGCGCTCCTTTTGCTGAATGGCAGGTCGTGGGGGTGGATCCACATAATAGATGGCATTCTCAATTATCATGCGTTCGTTTTGAGCCAAGTGCTGGACAGTCTTCTTCCGGCTCAGGGTCTCCAGAAACGAGGCCATCCTAGGCGCTGTCTCTGGATTGCGCAACAGATAGCGACCACAGTTCTCCAAAAGATTGCCAATGATCTCTATGTTCATTCGCGAGAAGTCATCGAGTGAGACCTTGAAACAGTGGAAAATGATATGCTCCGGCACAACGCCAAACTTGGTCAATTCAGCAAGGTATCGCACATTGCCCATGCGCACTTGGCCGAGGAATTCCTTCGACTTTCGTCGCTGCAGACTTCGAAACTCCTCATCAAGGTAGGTTGTCAGTCCTTGTGGAATATCAGGCAAATATTGACCTAGAGTAGCAACCAAACGAGAGTACAACGGCAGCAAATCAATTCGGCCTTTAGGGATATCTGAGACAGCCCGCACGAGCCTGTTCCGAGATGCCTTTGAGTTGACGAAGCAGAAGTCTAGGGCGAACTGATCGACCTGATCTTTGCTCTGCAATTCCGGAAGCTTGCCGAGCAGAGTATCGACTTGCGCACCTACAGTTTTGCTGGCAATAGCCATTGATTGGTCTTCAAGCTCTGCCGCAGACTTGTCCTTGTCTTCTGAAGATTCGGTCTTCTCTGGGGCGGTTTCAGTGCCAGAGTCTCCGTCCTTCTTTTTGCCAGTTTCCTCGGCATCGGTCTTCTTCTTCTTGCCGTCCTCGAGCAAGACTGCTGGAACCTTTCCTTTCAGATCGACCAAGTTCTCGTAGAACCGTCTCTCCTCCTCATCTTCCCAGATACCGGCACCTTCCCCCTGTCCACGAAGATAATCTGTAGTTTTCACAAGACCAATGCCGCCACTAGATGCAGAATCATTGGCCTCTTTCTCGGCCAAATCAGGCATTTCGGCCCCGAGAGCCTCACACAATACCTGCGTATTGGCGACAAGCTTCTCGAGGGACTTTGACTGTTTCTCAAAGTTGGACTGACGATCTTCGAAGATCTCACCACTCTTGACATATGCCTCGGCGTTTCGACGGCTTTGCAGGGCCAGCGCCCTTTGGTCACGAACAACATGCGCCTTGACATCATCCAAATAACGGTTCATGATATTCTTGAACCGTTGTTGGACCTTCTCCGAGATAAGCGGTGGATCAGCTTCAGCAGCAGTCTCACTGCTATCCTCTGTCGTCTCCTGCTTTGAGCCGGCCGCCGTGGTTGTAACACCATCCGCTTCCACATTCTTTCGGCCTTCGTCCGTGAGTGTCGTGCCTAGTATGTCCCAGCTGAAGCTCTTCACAAAGAGAACGGCGAGTGGTAGATTGGTATGGTCACGGTCATGGCCTAGGAGCTCCTTCAAAACCTCCAGGGGGAATGGTTCCGCCTGCTTGTCCTGGTCCTTCACTGCGGCCGGTATCTTCGACTTGAGCGGGGTATCTTGCTTGCCTCCGATCCCGACCACTCCATCTTTGCTTTTCGTGCCCAGGTCTTCCGGACGCTCGACGTCATCCAATGTTTTCAGAACAGAAACAAGCCATAATTCTGTGACGACGCGCAGGAGGACTCGGTGCCGCGATAGCCGTTCCTTTTCCTCCCGCTCACGATATTCCTGGGGAAGAGCCTTGAGGGATGCCTTATCGGGGGAACTTAAGCCACGGCCAAACAGCCACCCGATCTGCCGGGTGAATTCTGCAGGGCCAAATCGCTGATGTAGAGCGCAGACGATCTCAACGCCAACGGCAATCTCCCCGGGCGACTTGAGCTTGCACACACCTTCATAGCAGGCGGTGATGATCTCAGACAAGTATTTGTGGAGAGACAAGGTGCGAATATCGGACAGGAAGGTTGATAGCGAGGAGGCGCTGATGCCGGTGCGGAGACGTTTGATAAAGGCAGTGTTCTTTTTGAGGGCCGAGTCGAGGGACTTGCTGACTGGGAATACATCTATGGGAAGATCGTCAGAAACCAAACGCTCCAATGGAATAAGTGCGCCGGGGGGTCAGTACCATTTTCGCCAGCCCATGCCCTCTCATTCAGATCGCGAAGCTCCCCTATAAGATCGACGTCAGTACCGGTCGGGGCATTAGAGATCCAGACATACTTTTCTTCTGACGCTCCATAGCCATGGGGGGTGTTGGTGGGAGGATTTCAGACGTAGGGTCCTCTCAGACTGTCTGAAAGGGAAGAGAAGTGACCTGAGCGCCACATTGGGGGAGTCAGGGGAGTATTGAGCGTGGAGATTCAAGAGTGAGGTGAAGCTCCTTGTGCGGGAGAAGCGGGCTCCCAAGGCGGTGCGGAGGTGCGACTTTTTGCGGATCGCAAAAGTGCGGGCACTGTATGTTTCAATATCCACATGTCAGCGGCAGTTTCTCTTACTTCTAGTTAACACCTTGCTCGAGTACACTCAGCATTAAACAAAATCCATCGGTCGTGCAACTTTTCTTCGTTTCATTCCTCTTAGTACAATACAATTTGATATGGTCCCAACCCATCCATCTTATTCCACGCCAACTACCGAATCCCGGGCAAGTCGACGTATACACGAAATGCTTTCCGAACAACCCATTTACCCCTTCACATATATCTTATTATTCATGGCCCTCAGAAAAGCCCATCTCTCTTCCCTCCTGCGCGCCTAGCAATCTCTCCTGCAACTCATGTTTACGATCTTGGTGGCTCCAACTCTGTCGACGGTCAAGTTTCGGTTCCCATGGTTGATCAGACACAGGATCCTGGCTGGCATGAGAGAGCTCAGGTTCATTGCTAGAGATCTTGGGTGTGGAAGGAAACCCTTCTCTAGTTCGATCAGGATATGAAGTTTGATGCGGGGTAGATTGCATTGTGGCTCTGTTGTAAAGGTGGAAGTTTTTGAAAGAAAAGGGTAAACTCTCAAAAGGACTGAGAAATTGGCTGAGTTGACAGCAAAAGAGCCATCAGTGAGGTTATAAATGCGGGGTCTGACGTCTGGTGGCGACTACCGTCCATCACGGATACTACCATGGTCCTTGACCATGAAACATACATCACATTTGACGTGCAGGAACCTAGTGGATTATTCTAAACCTCGACTGTTCTTGTGTCACCAATCAAATACCCTACAGGTTGGATGACAGCGTCAACTCATACTTTTTTTTGGTTAAATTCAGCAAGCTAAAACGTACAAGTCATAACAGCTTGACAGGCAGAAATCACAATAATCAAAAACAATAGGGTACAAGGACGACTGCAGATGATGATGTGATCAGCACACCAGCAAGTCATCAGGAGGCAAACAAACAGCCGTTGAGATCAGGGATACATCACACATAACACTCGCCCGCTAAGACGCACAAGGAACCACACATGGTGATATGACCTTCGTGCTAGAACACCAAGAATAAACAAACAAGAGATAAAAACTAGACTAAATCAGGGTATGCCTCACGCCACGCTATGCAAGTCACCTAACATCTAAGGGACCAAGAACACTTCAAATATGTACTGAGAAAGCCATTCCAGCGATGGAAGGGCCAAGGGAGACGGTTGGAAATCTATTTGGGCTTGCGCCAGAAGTATTGCTGTGCAACGTCAGTCGACAAGTCCGTGGACAAAGGAAAGAGTGACACAAACCTTGTGTTGCTTACGGCAGTTGCGAAGACCAGGTTTCCGCAAGTTATTCACCACCGTCTCGCGGCGCATGTCATCGTCGTCGTCGTCTGGCACATAGTAGAACTCGCTTTCAAGAGGCTTGCCAGCGGCATCCTTGCCTTCACGGGCAACTTTACCAATACATTTGGTAGTTTCGAGGATGAATCGAATCTCCGCGCGGGACGGACCCGAACCACTTGCACTAGATCTCCAGAACGAAGGAGGCAGGTTATTCAAGATGGTCGAGAAGGGTGTTGAGGAGAGGCGTGAGAAGGCCAATTGATTTACGGCGTGGTTGCGAACTCGCTCAAAACCCTCCTCCTCTTGCTGAGACCTTTCCTTGGTGGGTGTGGTCTCGCGGTTCTCACGGTTCTCCGGGACCTTGGCGGGTTGTCGAGGAGAGAGAGTGGGCTGGAGGGGTTGGGCCGGCAGCAAGCTGCGTGGCGGCCTTGCAGAGCGAATAGGCGACTCGTCGGCGCGGAATGCAGCCAAACGCGGAAGCAAATTATCGCCAAAGGGTCCAAAGGAGTGCACGATAGGGTCATTTTCCTCATCATTGTCCGATTCCTCATCAGGTCTACTCAAGTCGCTCTGGAGAATAGCACTGGCACGTCGAGCACTTTGAGAAGTGAGACCCATAACAGTGTTGTGACGTTTCAGAGGAGACGGTCCATCTTCATAAACCACCACGGCAGCACGTGAACGCGAGGGTGTGAAGATAGGGGACGATGGGGGTAGAGTGCGTTGCACTATGGGCGACGGGGAGACGGGAGAAGCCAATCGTTGATTCTGGGGTAAAGGACTATCTTGCAATATCCTTCGAGAATGTGTCTTCTGGGTCGGCGTGCCTTCTTCGTCCCAGGTCTGTTCCGAGTCAGTGGATGGGCAGTCTTTTCTATCAGCTTCATTACGAGGCCATTGCACCAAGACCCGAGCCTCATGCACATCAATCATGATGTCCGCATCCTTGATGTCCGAGGTGAATGTCTTGCCCTTGGCCAAATCATATTTTTTTCCTTGGCAGTGGATTTTGATCCCATTCCAGCCAATGCACATAATCTCGACTCTATCCCGGTCGAAGGGGTTTGGTGCGGGTTTATAAGTTGCCTTGACATGAACACGAGAGATCATTCGGCTGGCAGCAAGCTGGTGGTGGCACGAGGCACTTGATCGACCCATGAGGATAGGCTCGCCATTTTCAGGCAGCATGAGGGTGGGCACGGCGGACAAGGGAGCACGTTCGGAGGCGGCAGAGAAGGTACGACGCGTCGAGTGATGGGCAGCAGCAATTCCTGGTGGAGAAGACGACATTATATGGGTTGACGAGGTCGGAACCGGCGTGGGATAGGTGACAGCTGGTTCGCGTGCCACACGCTTCTGGGGCCGGGGGAGAGAGGGGGATGAGCTCAAGGGTTCGAAGGCAGGCAACAAAGACGCTGGACGCTTCACGCCAGCGGCCGGACCCATAGACATCCTTGACGGTGAGGAATCCATGATGCTCCAGGAAGTGACCAAGCCACACGAGCTCCCTTTTTTTTCAAGACGAGAGGCGAGTCAAGTTTAAGGACTCGCGTTACCGCGTATCCTAGAACAGTGCGTAAAGTAAAATCAGAAGGAATTTGGAGAGAAGCAAGAGAGCTCTCCTCAAGAGGAAGATTGGGGACGTGAGATTGGGAGGGGAAAGAGGAGAAGGGGCTTGGGAGGAAAAGGTGAAGAAAGGTGGTGGAATGCACTGGGGCCGGAGGGTCTTCGCCCTGCGCGGAAATGCACGCTTACAGCCCCGAGACGCGTTCGATAGGCGCCGATGAGGCTTCACAGCTCCACTATGCCTTCGCGATCACAATCAGAAAGTACCACACCTGAATTTGTATGATACTGTATTGATCTGAATTGTCAATTGAGAAGGCGTGTGGCATGAAAACCCCTCAATTCCTTTTGGTTGTGATCGTTGATCTATACATTGAAATCTGACAAAGCGCGTCCGCGTCTGAAGTCACGTGTGGGTGGAGCGTGACACGCGAGATGGTATTTACCACAGAATGAAGTCAAGGTTCTGGAGTCAACACGATTCAATCATGCCCTAACTCTCCACATCATCCCCCTTTCACTGTCACAATAGAGACTATCGTAAGGATTACATAGACAAAATTGATTCAATAAGTAAAATAAACTCAACAACTAGATTAAAGGCCTTCAATACGGGTTTGGTCTGGTTTTGAGGGCTGGGCAAGTATTGACGCGCTAACTCTTTTTTTCTCTTCGCGGGGCATACACCGTTCTTGTAAGATTACACCATTATCGAAGGCCTCGTACGGCCTTTGAAAGACAGAAAAAGGATATCGGGAATTTGCAGTCCCCAGTCAGAATAGTATTGATTATGTGTTAGGCCGTAGTTTCACTAGGTTGCACCGCTACTGTGGACTTTTCACGACACTAATAAAGACCGTCAAGATACGAAGGCCACTAAAATGCATCTTAGATTCCCACTTGGACTGCATTTGACAATCTTTGAGGTACACATATTGTCAAAAAAAAAAAAAAAATATTGCCCGTCGACTGGATACCCTAGCATATACGACTCAGGCTCCAGCTTCAACATCATCAATGCTTGGTTTTTTTTTTTTTTTTTTTTTTCTATTTTTCTATCTCTACTCTAAAGATGAATGACTATTTTGATCAATTTTTGAAATGTACACCTGACAAATTTCTCAGATGAACCAACTAATGATTCCAAGGGGAAGAGAATGCTATAGACGCCACTTTTCATCCGTGCACCTACTATTCTGCACATATGTACGGATACTCTGTAGGGCGCGTGAACGAACATGGTTGTGCGAGGCTGACCCCTAAGAAACGAAGAATGAAGTGGTCCGGTCTTTGCCTCGACGTCGATCAAAACTGGGTCTGATTTCTCTGTAAGTAAATCGGAGGCTGGCAACTAATGATAGTGAGCGTGACCGAGCAACGATGAAGAATGATGTAATACCGTAGATGGCTAGTTAATTATGACGCCAAGGATGATCGCATCAATCACATTCCACAACGGATCAAAATCAAGAATATGTGTTACCTTGGAGACATCAAGAATATGATCTATTGCCAGGGTGAAGACAACGCATGTGGTGGGACATGTAGCTGAAAGGCTAGAGTTGATATTTACCCTTCTCATCATGGCACATGCCCCGCAAAATCCGAAACACGGCTGGATATAGGAGTCAAGATAGCATTCGTAGAATCGTGGAGCAGAAAGATAATAAAATTCAAGGGTAACAGCTCGTAGTACATTTGGGATGTCTAGGTACATCCAAGGGCATTGATAGGTCGCTCATCACTCGATGTCGTCGTCATATTTTCGCTATAGCTTTGCAGCCCGCTGCAATATGAACCCACAGACGTCACAGTAAGCCCCAGCTTCGTCATTTAGAGTGAAAATTCGAAAGAAAATGGTCAGAGAAAAGAGCAGAACACACATTGCAGGTCAAACAATGTCAAGACAAGGACTTTGGGATCAAGATTGGTTGCACTTGAAGTACAGAAGTAAACCTAACCGGGAACTTTGAACGAGCTGGCTCGTCGAAGATCGGTCTGAGTGAAGAAGAAAAAAGTAACAAAGATTGAATTTCCCCCCAAGATAACACACATCAAGGCACAGGTTTAAAAATGTAAGATACACAGAAGAAAGCAACCCTTCAAGTGACAAACCATGATATGGACAGAAGCACCGGAAAAGGTGAGCCAAGGGAAACCCTTGGACACACCTCCGCAGCGCGGTTTGATTCAAGAAGAGAAAAGACTCGTCCAAAGCGGTAAAACTTTGCTAAAGATGCAAGCGTGGATAGAGCGCTTACTCATACAGAACGTAAAAGGCGCTGCCGGAGGAGAAGCCGACCTAAAGAGGGTGATCAGTAGACAGTCTTAAGTGAATAAATGGTCCAAGGATTACTTACAGTGCAACCGTTGGTGGAGCTATCGATCAGACCGTCGCTGTTGTAAAAGTTTCCAGCACCGTCGTAGCGGCACTCGTCGCTCAGGTTGTCACCAACAATCTTGACCTTGAAGTTAAGGTCAGCATCAGTGGTGGGCTCGTTCTTGAACATGGACAGGTAGGTGGTGCCATCAGTGTAGCCGACACCGAAGTTCATGGGGGCCCAGTTGCCCATGGTCTTAGCACTGGAGCCCCACTGGCAACCGTCCTCAGTGGAAACACCCTTGTTGTTCACGTAGTACTGCGCAGAGGTGGACTTGCCCTCCCACTTGAAGTAGGTGGCACTGTTGGGACAGGTCAGGTCGTGAGTACCACCGGAGGTGGCAGCGAGAGGAATAGTCTCGGATTCAGTACCGGGGTAGTCGGTACGGCAAATAGCAACATCCTCACCCAGCTCGTTGCGAACCTGAACACCACCAGTACCCTGGATGCAAAGTGTCTTGCCCAGCTCAGTGTTGGTGAGGTACAACTTGCCATTCTTACACTGAAGACCACCAATGGACTGGCCAGTAGAGCCCTGGGTGGATGGCCACTGGTTCTTCTGGTAACCTGCAGGGCAGGCGTAGGAGCACACGGCTCCGCTAGTGCAGCTGTCGCCGCTAACAGCAGTGACAATGTCACTGATAATCTCGTCAACGAGAGTGAGGTACTGGATACCGGACCAACCACCGATGCCGAGGTAGTCGAGGGCAACGGCACCATACTCGGAGGGGAACTCGGAGCAGTCGATCTCTCCATCGGGGAATTCAGCGTCGAGTCCAGTGGCACCAGAGCTGGCGCTAGAGGTGGAAGCAGCAACGGCGGAGGAGCTGGAAGAGCTGGGAGTCACAATGCTGCTGGTGCTGGAGCTGGAGGACGAGCTGGAGATGACCGCGGAGGTCTGGACAAGCACCTCAGGAGTGTAGGTCGAGGTGGGAGTCGGGGTCGAGGTCGAAGTAGGAGTGGGAGTGGAGGTGGAGGTACTGACGGAGGTGCTGGTCGCGCAGGCGGCGGAAACAGCATCGCCGAGCCATTCCAGCTCGTGGTCCGCGAGACCCTCGCAGGCATCCGCGAGGCTGATCTTCTCGGTCTTGCCGGAGTTATCGCTGTCCAGGACGACGAATTCGTAAGCGGTAGGGCCCGCGACAACAGCAGTGTCAATTTCGGTCTCAACAACACGCTTGTGGAAGTGGGCGTGGCCGTGGTGACCGTGGGCGGCCACCAGGGAACCCGCCGAGGCCAGGGTCAGCGCAACAGAGTTGAACTTCATTGCGATTCGAAAGGCGTTTCAGATTGTGGATCTGCGAATACCAGTTAGCTATTACGATCATTCCCATGCCGTTTTTCAATGGTTTTCGCTAGTTGTGTGAATGCGCAGGCGAACACGATATCCGTCGCATGTCCCACATCTATCCCAGAGGTCCATCGCATCGAAGCATTCGAACCTTCGCCACCGGTACGTCCACTCAGATCAACCCGTGAGCTGTCTCCCCCATCTCTTTCCGAATCTATGCAATGCGACGTTCCTCTCGGAGAGGGGGGGGGGGATGGCATCTAGATCAAAGAATTGCACGTACATAAAATCACTGCAAATCGCGCGCTGTAGGGAATATTAGACTGAAGTCGTTGAAGGCGAAAAAGAGCGACGGGAGGTTCCTGGTAACAAATGAATGTGGTAGAGAGAACGAATCCCTCTGGTCGGACAGGAATACACAGGGTGAGGCTGGAGGGAAGTAAGAGAAGGGGGGGGGGAACGAGGGTAGTAAAACCCCAGGGGGACCACGGGTTTACAATACACACGCCTAGCTCCACTCGGTCCATGCACTGTAAAAAGGGGCTTTGCTTTTTTGTATACTCCGTACGGTATACTCTGCCAAGTGTTCTTTGTTCTTGGTCTTCTTTTTTTTTTTTTTTTTTGGCCCTATAATACTGTTCTATTTCTCCCAGGAAGTCTCGAGTCTGGTCTTTCTGCTTGGCATTGATTTTTTTTTTCATCGCCCAGAGTCAGTCCTATGTCCCCAAAATCCACGTTCAGTGGGGCAGAGGTTAAGATAATTTCGTTGTTTACTTATTCTGCACCCGAAATTGCCCACTTTCAGGGGTCGACCAATCACAGTCACGAACCACAATCTACCCAGGGAAATGATGCTCAGGTACACCAATCAGCGTCGACCGTGGCGAACCAAAATACCTCGCGTATCCATGGGTACCAGGCATTTTCTCCTTCACGTTCTGCCTATAGGAAATTAAATATCTACGTAGTCCGCTCCTTGGCTATTGAACTTTGACTTGCTTCCGGACTCCAGTCTCCGATCCTCGAGCCAAGACACCGTTGACGACTCTAACCCATGCGCCGCAAGTTTAATTTTGTACTGATGATCCCACGCCAGGGGTATTCTCCCTAACCTTCGGGTCTCAGCAGGGGGGGAATCAAACCAACTCGATTTCAATTCGATTTGGATCTGGTCTCCAGCTAATCCCTAGTTGCCCCGTTCGTCATTCTAGGCCAAGGCGACGGCGCGAACAATTTAATTAAATGCCCAGCCTTCTCCAAGCTCCTGACCGCTCAAACTGGGCACCAAGCATGTTCATAGCCATAGCTTTCAATCCGTTCAGACCCGTACTGGTAAATGGCGATAAGCGTCCTGCAATAATTTTCAACGTCGATCTGCAGCAATCATAATTGACCGCGTCATAGTCTCCTTGGAGGCAGGTGGGAAAAACGCTAAAGTGGTAAATACACTGTAACACACCCCGTTATCATACCGGCTTTCCTGCTCTCTGGGGTCGTGACTTTGTGCTTGGCGCAACCGGTCAAATCACCATGCTTCTCCGGGAAATCCATGCAGTGTGACCCATGCAGTAATTTCTCTCCTTTATATATGGTCACATCAAGAAAAAGCGAATCTATTGTCCGTGAATTACGTTCTCTACAGACAGTGTCAGACAGTAGTCCCGTATATTCTCCCTCTACTTTTCATATCAGCTGCACCCGCGACCCTTGTCCCCCTGAGTCTACCGAACTCCTCGGGGGTCTGATCTGGGGCCGTGTGGACTAGATGCTTGCGTGGCACGCTGTACTAGCGCTCTTTAGCACCTTTTGTTCTCCATGGATCAGGGCCTGCGGGCCCAAAAGAGCGGAGATCGGACTTTAAAGGAGCCACAATTAATATCGACTGACCGGTTCTGACTTGACTGCCCCGGATGGGTTTTAATCCTGATGGGTCAGATATTTGTTCCATTTGAGCTCAGACGTCTATCAACGACTATGCAATTTACCGGTACATAGTAAGCGTGTCTGTTCGGCAGCTTTACGTCTGCTGGGCTCCAATCTCGCTCGCTCTGGGGCAGTATTGTCAAAAGGAGTATGAAAAACTTGGCTTATCTGATGTCTACTGACCAAGATATACGAGGGGACACTATTAATAGTAATCTAAGCCGCAGCGCCTATTTTGGCCGTGGCTGTCAACCGATTTGGATGGTAGAGTAACCGAGCTTTCCAGGGTCTGAGACAACTTCAAACAGTAGCGTCTGGTACCAGTTATAGAAGGTGTTCTAGAGGTTAAAAACGCCTTCAGCTGGACTTGAATGTGGCAGATGGGAATTTGAATCACCTGGGCATCTACGCTATGGATTTGGGGGCACTGTTGGCGCTATCTGCTGTGACTTTGGAATATCGACCATACGTGTTGCCTAGTGGTATCATTATTTGACCAAGATTGAATATACTGTAGAAGGTTGTTGGATTTTGCAACCCTGGAATCGATGGTGAATAATCCCAGTTGCTCCAGGTCAGGTGCTACTAGCTGTTGTTGGATGGTTGCTGAGGTCCGTGGTCGTGTTGGGACATCCTGTCAATATATATTGAATCATGAAGTACCAAGGTCACAAGAGGGGAAAACATTATTTAGTCAACTATGTACCTTGTTCGGAAACCCTTGCAGTACTAAAGTGAAAGCACGGTGTGAGCTACCTAGTTTCGAAGTCGCCAGCACTGGACCCAATGCTCAATATTCCAGGGTTGTCCATAGATTCAAGATTTATTTGTCCAGTCGCGAACCGTAATCGATTATTGGTCATCAACATTGCATCGCGGCCTTAAAATTTAGGGCAATACACGTGATCTATGGCCTCAGGCTTGGGACCTCGGGGTCTGGACTGCCAAGGCGAAACTGCCACCGCCTTCCCGAGGAAAAAAAAAAAATCTTGATAACATCGCCGAAAAAACGGATCCATTGGAGTTGAGTCTATAACCCGCCAAGATGCCATCCTCTACTGCCCTTACAACGAAGGTGGCTTCAGGGTCACCGTATCAGCTGGATAAGCCCCAGGTTTGTACTATTCACGAAATAAAAAACTCGCGCCCATGCTAACTCTATCAGGTCGCCAAAGCTTCCTCCGCACTGCTGCGCCATATCAAGTCAAACCAGGAAGAGAAGGAAAAGTCCGCAACCAAGAAGACTCTGATTGGCGATAATGACTCCGATGATGAGGAGACACCCATCAACAATGAAGCCGTTTGGCTCATCCTCACCACCAAGAAGCACGTGGTAGACAAGAACCGCCTGAAGCCTGGAAAGATCAGCCTCCCGCACTCCCTCAATTCGTCGCCGTCGCTCAGTGTCTGTCTCATCACTGCTGACCCACAGCGTGGTGTCAAGGACATCGTCGCCGATCCCTCCTTCCCCAAAGAACTTTCTTCGCGCATCGAAAAGGTTATCGGTTTCAGCAAGCTGAAGGCTCGCTACCAGAGTTTCGAGAGCCGCCGCCAACTGCTTGCTGAGCACGATGTTTTCCTTGCCGACGATCGCATCATCACCCGCCTGGTCAACACCCTTGGAAAGGTCTTCTACAAGTCGAGCAAGCGACCAATTCCCATTCGCATTGCAGAGATCGAGAAGGTTGACGGAAAGCGGGTCAAGAAGGACCCGAAGAACAAGCCCACTAAGGAAGACAAGAGCGCCGCATTTGCCGCTCCTCTGATCGTCGCAAAGGAGATCGAGCGCACCTTGAGCTGCGCCTCCGTGCAGCTTGCGCCCTCCACTACTGCCGCCATCCGCGTTGGTTCTTCCAAGTTCACTGCCGACCAATTGTCCGAAAACATTGCCGCCGTTGTCAAGGGTATGACCGAGAAGTTCGTCGCAAAGGGCTGGAAAAACATGAAGGCCATTCACGTCAAGGGCGCCAACACCATGGCAATGCCTATCTGGCTGGCCAGTGAGCTGTGGGTGGAGGATGCTGATGTGGTGGAGGAGACCCCCGAACTCGAGGGCGCCAAGAACAGCAAGAAGCGCAAGTCCATTGGCGAGGAGAAGACCATTGAGGCTAAGAAGACTAAGAAATCCAAGTCTGCGGAAGACGAGGAGGAGGCTTCGTCGGGAGCGGCGCGGAAAGAGAAGCTCCAGCAGCTCAAGGCCAAGGCCCTTGAGGATGGAGAGCCCGTTGCCACACCCAAGGCGGACAAGAAGAAGAGAAAGTCAACCTCATGATTGGGAATCTTTGTTCTACCTAGATAATGTTCTGCATGTAAAAGGTATCCTCGGCGTACAAAATATCACGTGTTTCATTTCTTTCCAGAAAAAAGTCTAGAATTTGGCATGGATAGACCTGCCATTAGGATCAGACAGGCGCACATCCCAAGTCGTAATTTCTTTTAATTTTTAGAAATGTAGCTCTGCGGTATGCCACGTCATTGCCTCGTGCTTTGATCATGCTATATGAAGCCTGCATTAGCCGAGTCCGACCTCGGGAGGGCGAGTCTTGGCACTCCGGCGATAGCCACATTCCTCACATCGCCGCAGTTCGCCGAGACCTCAAGACTCGACCTCCTAAGAGCAACGACCACTTTTCCACCAAGCCGCCATCATGCTACCAATCGCCAGACACTCCGTCTTGCGGGCAGCCCGCTCGCATATTTATCCCACCCGTGCGCTGAACCAGTCGGCGTTGGCCCGCCTTCTCTCGACCCTCGCCGTCCTCGAACAGCGCGATGGCAAGCTGCAGAACTCCTCCCTGTCTGCAATTGCTGCGGCACAGAAGCTAGGTGGACCAGTGACAGCTTTCTTGGCCGGCGCTGGCGTCAAGGGCACTTCCGCCGCCGAGGCTGCTAAAATCAAGGGTCTTGACAAGATTGTTGCTGTGGAGAATGACGCATATGAGAAGGTGAGTTTCTTCTTTCTGGTACAAGCCACTGCCATTTGTTTCTGAACACCCGTTATTTTTATTGCAGGGCCTTCCTGAGAACTTTGCCCCTCTTCTTGTCGAAAACATCAAGAAGGGCGAATACACCCACATCGTTGCTGGACACTCGGCCTTCGGCAAGAACGTGCTACCCCGCGTGGCCGCTCTTTTGGACGTCCAGCAAGTCTCGGATATCACTGGAATCGAGAGTGAAGACAGTGCGTAAAATTACAAGAATGTGGATTGACATGTGATCATGCAGACTGATTATTGCAAATGTAGCCTTCGTCCGTCCCATCTACGCTGGAAACGCCATCCTGACCGTACAGTCGAGCGATAACATCAAGGTGATTACCGTCCGAGGTACCGCTTTCCAGGGCGTTGAGACTGAAGGCGGCTCTGCCGAGATTGTGGATGGAGTGGACTCCAACGCCCCTGGGCTGACTGAGTGGGTGTCCGAGGAGCTGGCCAAGTCTGAGCGTCCCGATCTCTCCACCGCATCACGTGTTGTATCCGGTGGCCGTGGTCTCAAGTCGAAAGAGGAGTTTGATCGTATCATGCTTCCGTTAGCCGACTCTCTAGGTGCCGCTATCGGTGCTTCCCGTGCTGCCGTGGACAGCGGCTTCGCTGATAACAGTCTGCAGGTTGGCCAGACCGGTAAGAATGTTGCTCCTCAGCTTTACCTCTGCGCCGGTATCTCCGGTGCCATCCAACACTTGGCTGGTATGAAGGACAGCAAGGTTATTGCAGCCATCAATAAAGACCCCGAGGCCCCCATCTTCCAGGTTGCTGATGTTGGTCTGGTGGGTGACCTCTTCGATAAGGTGCCTGAGTTGACCGAGAAGTTGAAGAACGCTTAGAGTGGAAATATGGGGAGCTTTCTTTTGATATTTATGCCAGGACCATTGAGCAGGTTACGAGCTATCTTTTTTTTTCCGTTCTATGAATCGTACAGTATACCACTGATTAGAGGACTTGAGTCGCATTTCGACCTAGTCACTTTGCAATACCACATCTATGACTTCAAAATCACCCCTAGACCAGGAGGGACAGTGAACATGAATATCCCATTGTATGGAAACCCTAGTTGATATATATCATGAGCGCAAATCTTATAGAGTGGAAACCAGACCGCCTAAAAGGGTTTAGCGTGGGTGATCCAGCGCGCGTCGGCGCGTCTCCCTATCAGAGGGGAATCATCGCCAATTAATCCCAGTCTCGACCCACGATTGAAATGACCACGAGACGCTTGGATGCTTCCCTCTTCCCCTAATTTCCTTTCGTCATTTGATCCCGCTCTTCATCTTCATTCTGAAGACCCCGGCGTCGCAATCAATCCACCCTCCGAGTCGTTCTCCGACGATATCGAAGCAATCCACCACCACCGTGTGGGACAGACCCGCAATCAAGTCGTGATCCAACACCGTTCCTGGAATCTATCGGATGTGTTTCGCAGCGACGACGATATAAGACCAGGTTTGAACAACTTAACCTGCTGGATTCGAGTGTCAACCCTAATTTGCCCGAGTTTAGATACTCCGACCAAAGCCTCTCTCGCAACTCCCCGAGCGAGTAATTCTACGCCGAGTCGGGGCCTTCTATTGCCAATTTTTCCGTCCTCTCCTCCAGCCACAAGAATGCCGTTCATATCATCGCCCGGTACCGCAGTGGCTGACGAGGCGCAAAAAGAAAAGCTTCAGAAGGCGAAAGTCCACGGGCTGGTGAGCCTAAGCGACAAAGAATCCTAGGAGGTTTCGTCGACGACGATGATGAGGAGGATTATGACGATCTTGCCGCTTTTAGAGATGAGCAACTGAAGAGCCAGTTTGAGCTGCAAGAGCACACCGCAACAGAGCCATACTTGAATCCTACGCTCCCAGAGCAACCGCGGCCTTCCACTAGTCTATTAGAGCCGACAGACTTCAACCCTACGAATGTAATTCCTCAATTGGAAATGACATCTCGACCTGCACCAAAGAAATTTCAGATCAAAACATGCAATGGGAAGACATACAGCATTCCTCTGAAGAAGGCTCAGGCACCTGTTTCGTATGAGCAGATGATCGCTAGTCGGTCTGCAACAGAGCCCGGAAAAGCGAAGAAGAGCTACTATGGAATTGACATCCACAAGTTGATGGATGACGCAGCGAAAGATACAAAGACACCAAAGCCTCCTCCGCTTCCTCCAGTCAAGGCTTCCATTGAAAGGAACGAGGGGGATTCAAAACAGAAGAAGCTCGACTCCATGATGTGGACTGAGAAATATCGCGCTCGTAAATTCACAGATCTTATTGGAGATGAACGTACTCATCGCCAGGTACTTCGTTGGCTGAAAGCCTGGGAACCGATTGTGTTTCCTGGCTTAGCTCGGTCCCGCACGAAGAAAACGGACCGAGAGGACGATGAAGAACGCACACACCGGAAAGTGCTCCTGCTAAGTGGGCCTCCAGGCCTGGGAAAGACTACCTTAGCTCATGTGTGTGCCAAACAGGCTGGCTACGAAGTACTTGAGATCAACGCAAGTGATGAACGTAGTAGGGATGTGGTCAAGGGACGAATCCGAGATGCATTGGGAACAGAGAATGTCAAGGGTTCAAATGTTGAGGTTGGCGAGAACAAGGTCCGCCGAGCTGCCAAACCTGTCTGTGTTGTGGTGGATGAGGTTGATGGCGTCGTTGGCGGAGCTGGCAGTGGCGGCGAAGGTGGTTTCATGAAAGCTCTCATCGACCTGGTAATGCTTGACCAGCGCAACTCCAAAAAATCTCCCGAAAATGGTGGACAGCACGGCAAGAAACGAAAGGGTGACAATTTTCGCTTCCTTCGACCGTTGATTTTAGTTTGCAACGATCTATACCACCCCAGTCTCCGGCCCTTGAGGGCCTCATCCGTCGCTGAAATGGTCCATGTTCGCCAAGCACCATTGGAGAATGTTGTCCAGCGGATCAAGAGTATTTTTATCCGAGAAGGCATCTCCTGTGACGGTGATGCAGCCCGAAGGCTCTGCGAGGCCGCCTGGGGATTGTCAGCCAGAAGACAGCGCAACTCTAAGAATTCAGGGTCTGCCGAGGGCGACATTCGCAGCGTCCTTGTTGCTGCCGAGGGAGTGGCGCACAAGCTTCGCAACGAACGTCTGGACTCTTTGAGGTTGACTCGGAACTGGCTGGAGCAGCGGGTCCTGAGCGCGTCAACAGAAGGTGGTTCATTCTCCAAAGAAATGAGCCGCGGAGGTGTTCGTGAAATCGTGAATCGTGTCTTTACCGAGGCTGCAGGATTCACAGATGCTCCTGTCGGCAGAGACTCTTTCCAGGACCGATTCAATAGCCCTGATAGCCGGATCCCAGTGGGTGTAGCCGACTTGCGAAAGCGGCATGGTATCAACCGCCTACGAGAGATGGTTGATTCTAGCGGCGAGCATGATCGCTGTGTCAACGACTGCTTTGCCTCGTATCCCATTCAACAATACCAAGACGATACCTACCTTTCCAAGCCGAATGCTGCCTACGATTGGCTCCATTTCCATGACTCAATCTCCTCGAAGGTACATTCCTCTCAAGAGTGGGAGTTACATCCGTATTTAAGCCAATCGGTACTTGCGTTCCATCACCTTTTTGCAACCGCGGGTGGCAAGACTGAAGCTACTGAGAATGACGAGGACGATGATGACGCCGAAGAGGCGCACCCCTTCTCCGGTCCCAAGGCTGATTTCGCTGCTTTTGAGGCGCAAAAGCAGAACCGGGCCATCTTGACTGGATTTCATTCTTCCTTCTCAGCGCCGCTTGTTCGCTTGTTCCGGTCCCCTGATAATGTGACCATTGAATTGGTTCCATATCTGGTCCGTATGCTATCCCCAGACATCAAGCCAGTCATTATCCGAGGCACTGGTGAGTCAAGGAGCACGGCTAGTGTCCGTAAAGAATCAGAGCGTGTCCTTGTTCAGTCTGCCGTGCGAGTGATGGGTGGTATGGGCGTGACATTCGAGCAAATTCGAGTGGAGAACGAAGGCGGAAGCCATGGTGGATGGGCTTACCGAATGGAACCGTAAGTGAATATCCAGACCATGTATTCACAAGACAGATAGAACTAACCCCCCTTAACAGACCAATTGATTCGCTCGTCGCATTCTCAAAAACCCAAGGTACCTCCATGGCAACCTCCAGTGGCAATGCACCCGTCCGCTATGCGGTTCGTCAAGCCTTGGACCAGGAATATCGCAAAGAGGCCGTACGAAAGCAATCCGACGTCCTGAATGCATCGGCGAAGGGGGCAAGAGCAGCACTTGGTAAATCCGCGACTGAACAACAAGACGACGCAGCCCAGAGGATCAGAGAAGGACTCATCAAACGCGACTTTTTCGGCCGGGTTATCCAGGAAACTCCGCAACCCAAGGACTTGGGGGATCAAAAATATAACGATGAAAGCTCAAAAGCTGGCAGGAAAGTCTGGGTTACGTTTCATGAAGGTTTTTCAAATGCAGTGCGGAAGCCGATATCCATGGGGGAGCTGTTGACTGGGCTGTGAAATGACTTACGTATTTGCGGTGCCTCTTGGGATGCGGTTCAGTGGCGTGTATACCGGGTATATAGCTTCATGAAGAAGCTTGTTTCTATTTCTGTTGCATATGTAATATCTCATCCAAATACACTTAACGACCAGACAGAAATTTTCGAATGATGTTCCATGACTCAAAAATCAAATTGTCAGATCTATTTCAATTTGAATACATAAACAACAGTACGGAAGTCTAGGAAATTCCAACGCCAGATAATTTTTGGTAACAATAAAACACATAACGTGAAAGCATCTGATTCCCATAACACCCACCTCAAACAAGCAAAAAAAAAAAAACAGCAATCAACTGTCGTAGATAATTATATGGAGTATTCACGTAGGGGTCGTCGTCAAAGCGTCAAGGCTCGTGCAATAAAAGCAGCAGAAAATAAGATAGAGCGTCGAAATGGATCGAAATCGACGGTGTGTGACAGCCAAATAGGAGTGGCCAAGGTCGTAGAGAAGCTTAGCGCATGCTGAAGTAGCTGGCAACGGCTTCATTGTGTACGGCCTTGCGGGCGGCCTCCCGATCAGAGTCTTTGATGTACTTGGGCTCCGATGGGAAGTCTTTGCTGGATTTGGAGCTCAGAGAGTACCACTTCTTCTTGTTGCCGTCCGCATTTCCCTTGAGAGTTGTTGCAGTGGAAACGGTAGAATGTGTGGAGGCATTATCAGCCATTGTCTTGGTAGAGCTCTTGATTGAGGAAGCACTGGATCGGTTGTGGAATTTTTCTTTAATGTGGTCCTTGAGTGCGGTGGTCCAGAGTTCAGGCTCTTCGGGGAGAGCTAGGTTCTTGCCAGAGGGAGTGTGGGCAACTTGAGGGAATAGAAGGTTCATGATGATGGTGGTGGTGGTGTTTATGTGTTTGAGTTGAATAGATGTGTTGATTTGAAGTATAATTGTTCAAAACAGTCAAGATAAGTGAAGATTGATGTGCTTGATTTACTGAAAGATATGTTCTCTACAGGGAGAATAGATGGTCTTATATAGATGTAGTGACATGCATTGTCCGTGGTAAACTCCGAAGTTGGAAAATAGAAAAAAAAAAAGACTTAAAAGCCTAAGACCCACAGTCAAAGCCCATCATCATGAGTCGAAGCTCGAATGGCCTCCTTGAAGCGTGGAAAAGACGTCAGAGTAAGCAAAAGGTGGAGCCACTCTGTTGTCGGACTAGTCGGAGTAAATCTCGGAGCTCAAAACAAAGAGCCCCCTCCACTTGAGCCAAACCGAATTAGTAGAGTTCTATTGAACTAAACTGAATAATAATGTAAATTCTCTGATTTTCTTCGAGTCATAAGCACATGGGAGAGTCGTGTCCCACAGTTAGGCATATGACAAATGCCGGGGTAAATCTAAAGGGCGTCCAGTGAGCATTACTCTAGCGTCGACTTAGCCCAATTGGTGAGCCCGATGCCGCGGGCTCCTATTTTGGAAGTCAAGTTTGGGCGCTAATCTTTTCCTTGTCGTTTCTTCCTACCGGTTCTGGACCTTCGGCGATCAATACAATAGGGCGTGACCCTTTCCACAGCTTGCGTGGCACCCTCATTGACTGCAGCCTGAGGCTGCTAAACCTGAATGGGTCCAGAAACGAAGCCCTACAAAAGCACTGCCCAAGCCTTTTGATGAAGCCTATGGCGTAGGCATTTCTGCCTGGGCTGTTGTCGACATGATTCGCAGTCTGGTTGCGCACGCGTATATCTTGATGCCTAGGCCTCAATGATGAGCCCACGCATTGATGCTTCGTATTCACTAGGAACGAATGAACGAGCCCCGTGATTCGTAAATCTCCAACTGTCTGAAACCCTGAATATGGAGATCAAAGCGACTCCACTTCCCGCTCAAACCAAATGCGCTAAAGAAATTTTCACTTCAGCCTCCAGAGATCGAGTTGGAATAGGTTGACGGAGAAATATGGGTCGCTGCCGAGTTGGCGAGACTTGGTCGCGGCTACCAGCGGCCAGAACTTCCCCATTATACACACTACGACAGATGTATGTCAATTGAGATCTGTCATTATTTCGATTTCTAGACGAGGCTAAAACATGGAATCCTACAAAATTCGGTGTGAGTCAACAGTGCGGGGGACTCGACGCGGGATAATCCCGAGTAAAAACCAAATTTCAGTCTGGATATAGTAAATTGAAAGTATAAGATCTGCGGGATCTAGAATCTTACTGTAGAGAAGTGGCGTGACGAAAGACGTGGTGCTCCTACAGTAGTCCGAGGCTTGGTCCGAGAACTAGTCCGATGGTAGATTTTTTACTCCGATGCCACGCCTACACAACGTAAGAAGGAGAACTCCAATGCAACCTGATTGAGGCAATATTGGCATGGGTTGATTCTAAATCAGTCTTGTGGTTAGTGGTGATACCAGACTTCCTCGTAGTGATTTGCATGGTATTTTCTGTTCGTTCAGACTTTTTTTTCTGATTGGTCGGTTCAATGTGAGTCAATATGCATCAGCTCAAGTTCGGCCTGCGAATGAATGCCAAGATCTGGCGCTCTCTTGCTCCTCAAGTCCACGCCCTGTGAGGCTTGGAAATGACCTGGACGTTTCTGTTTAAATAGAGTCCCACTTTCACAACGAGAATGACTCTTTCCAAGGGCGTGACCCGAGATGCAAGAAAGTATGCCCCCCCTCTCAAAGACAGGTCGCCCATTCCCAGCATACTCATATCCTTTATGCACCTAACCTCAAGCATTCATTTCATATGTTGTAGCCCCGGATGTCTTCGCCAGTCCAGGTCAAGCTTGCAAGGATGACATGGAGCTCTTTATACCAGACGTTAAAATTGACAGCTATGCCTGCGCTATATTTCTTCGCCCAAACTGCAATTATAACCTCGCCGCATCCTGGAGGTTCAGCATCGTTTCTAATCGTTTCTAATCGTTTCTAATCATTTCTAATCATTGACAATCCGTTCAAGCCTGATTAGGCAACCCCTTGTACGCGTGGGCATCAACCTCAGTTTTTAGCCCCATCTACCCAAAAATTGCACGCGGAGAAACACAGATCTCGCAGCTAGGACCATTATGCAATCCGACGCTTGCTAATTCCCCCAGATTCACCAGGAACAAGAGTTGCCAAGACGGGGTTAAAGACAGCTCACCAATCAGGCATTTGTCAGCAATCCCGAATGCCGAGTGCCATGATGTAATCAGGGCATGAAGTACTAACTGGGTGGGAAGCAATGTCTGTAGAATCTAGTAGATAGAATCTACAGGACATCGGATTGGAGCCTTTAAAACCAGAGCTCCAAGTTCGCTTTTCTTCATCATTCACACAGTCTCTCATCAATTATCTTCCAGCTTGCAAAGTCAATACCATCACAATGTCTCTCAAGCCGATCATTCTGTATGACCACGGACCCGGTCCCAACCCCTGGAAGGTGATCATGGCCTTCAAAGAGCTTGGAATCCCTTACGTCAGTAAGACGGTCGAATGGTCCGAGATAAAAAAGGAGCCGTATGTGTCGATCAACCCCAACGGCCGCGTGCCAGCCATTGAAGATCCCAACACCGGTATCACTCTGTGGGAATCCGGTGCCATTCTGGAGTACCTGGTGGAAACGTACGACAAGGACCACAAGATCAGCTTCGCTGCTGGCTCGCAGGACTCTTTCCTAGCCAAACAATGGCTACACTTCCAGATGTCTGGTCAGGGTCCCTACTTCGGCCAAGCCGTCTGGTTCACCCGCTATCACCCTGAGAAGATTCAGAGTGCCCAGGATCGTTACATCAACGAGATTCGCCGCGTCAGTGGTGTCCTCGACCGTGAGTTAGCCGATAAGGAATACTTGGTGGGCGGAAGGTTCAGCTATGTCGACCTTGCTTTTATTCCATGGTACCGGGTTGCTGCCATGTTCAATATTGATATGGAGAAGGACTTCCCGAACGTGGATGCTTGGTTGAAGCGCCAAAAGGCTCGTTCTGCTATTGCAGAGTCCATGAAGGAACTGGATGAGATCGCTGCAGCTGCTCATGGGTCCAAGTGATTGGACATTGCCTACGGCTGGATACGAAAATTCCGCAAGAAATAAGGAATAGACAATTATGCAGAATAACAATAAGAATTCATCATTTCAATAAGAATAAAGAGTTTGCTAGGATCGGAGTAGAAGATATCCAGAGCAGAAGATAGTTTGATGTTCTGAGTGGAACGCTAGCCTTGAAACAGACTAGGCGGTCAAAGCCGGTCTTGGCGAAACCGCGAGTTTTCCGTGTCGCGACATCCACCTCTCCTCCCCATTGATCCAGCACCCGGTCCAATCATCCCCTTTCGCCTGATTTCACATCGGATCGGGCCCTTTGCTATCCCCTTCAATCCCTTCGGCCCGTCATTTGTCATTATATCGCGTCACTTGCATTGTGCACCTAACTGCGCTTGACAAGGAGTCGATCTTCTGTCGTCTGCGACAGCTGCTTTGCTTAACCCATCATGGATGATATTTCGGTCAACCCTGCCGCGTCGGAGAATTTCCAGTCTGTGACTGGATCAGAGGCTCCCGCAGAGGCATTCCACGCCGCCAGTGGCTCTGGTAATTCGCCCCCAGCCCTCCCCTAAATCGATGTTGGTGGCTCACTAGATAACAGAAGCGCAATCGCGCCAAGAGTCGCCCGTGAAGAAGGCTGAGAACCTCGCCGGATCCGATAATCCTCTCGATGCCCCGGCCTCCCCTAAACCCCAGAATGGCGATGCTGAGCCAGAAGATGAGGAGATGGGTGGGACCGAGACGGACGCCAAGCGCGATACCGAGGGCTTGGAGGATGCTGCAGGAGAGTCGCAGCCCCCCGCTGATGCTACCGAGGGTCTTGAAGATGCAGTGGGCGAGGAACAGCCCGTACCGACCAAGTCGTCCTTAGAAGCTTCGGCCCGTGACCACCTTGTCGTACAGACCCACGCTATCATTCTTCCCAGCTATGCTAGCTGGTTTGACATGAATACCATCAACAACATCGAGAAGAAGGCCCTCGCAGAGTTCTTCAATGGCCGCAACCGCAGCAAGACTCCGGCTACATACAAGGACTACCGTGATTTCATGATCAACACCTACCGATTGAACCCCATTGAATACTTGACCGTGACTGCTTGCCGTCGCAACCTTGCCGGTGACGTATGTGCAATTATGCGTATTCACTCTTTCCTGGAGCAGTGGGGCTTGATCAATTACCAGGTAAGAAATTATAAATCGCGATTTCCCCTCATATTGGGCCCACTAACAAAACCTTCAAGGTTGACCCTCAAACTCGACCATCCAACATTGGCCCGCCATTCACCGGCCACTTCCGCGTTATTGCAGACACCCCGCGTGGATTGCAGCCCTTCCAGCCCGGCCCGCAGCCCTCCGTCACTTCTGGCAAGCCTCTTGCGGCAACTGAGCGCGCTGCGTCTGCTACCCCCGCAATTAAGGCCGATCTGAGTCTTGATCTGCGCCGTAATGTCTACGATACTAAGGGCAAGGAAGCCACCCCACTCTCAGAGAAGCAAACCAATGGCGACATGAATGGAGCTGAGACACAAGAGCCCCGGAAGAAGGCTCACTGCTTTTCCTGCGGCATTGACTGCACGCGGCTTCGGTTCCATTACGCCAAGGCGGCCCCGACCTCAGCCAATGCAAACACCCCGAACGCAAAATATGATATGTGCCCTAACTGCTTCCTTGAAGGCCGCATGCCTTCTAGCCATAACGCCTCAGATTTTGTTAAGCTGGAGGATAAAGCACACTCCCACGTGCCTGACAAGGATGCGCCCTGGACGGACTCTGAGCTGCTCTTGCTTCTGGAGGGCCTAGAGAGCTTTGATGATAATTGGGAGCAGATCGCCAACCACGTTGGTACTCGGACCTCAGAGGAGTGTGTGATGAAGTTCTTGCAGCTGGACATCGAGGACAAGTACCTTGAAGACTTGCCTGAGCTTCGCTCCGGTCCCGGCCGGGAGCCAATCAACGCCACAGAGAACCCTGTGCTTTCCGTTGTTGCATTCCTGGCTCAGATGGCGGAGCCCACAGTGGCTGCTGCTGCCGCCGGCCGTACCGTTGAGGAGATCCGCAAGGAGCTGCGCAATCAGCTTGAGAAGGGGAGATGGCAAGGGCAAGGAATCAGTAAAGGCCGAGGACTCCATGGATGTAGATCCCGTTCGCCAAGTCGAGCAGGCCGAGAAGCCCAAGGAGTCGCTCGCCACCGTTGCTCTAGCCGCCTCTGCTGCTCGCGCTAGCGCCCTTGCCTCACACGAAGAGCGTGAAATGACTCGGTTGGTTGGAGCCGCGGTCAATGTGACTTTGCAGAAATTCGAGATTAAGTTGCAACAGTTCAACGAGATGGAGGAGATCATTGAGGTTGAGCGTCGGGAGCTAGAACAGGCACGTCAACAGCTCTTCCTGGACCGCATGGCTTTCAAAAAGCGTGTCAAGGAGGCCCAGGATGCTTTGCAGGCCGTCAGTCTGCAGGGTCCTAACGAGCACACCAACACTATGCTTGCAAGCGCCGCCACTGCTGGTATTGGCAATCACTACAGCTTCCAGCCTGTTGGTGGAGACGCTCGGGCTGGAGCTCAGCCCTTGAGCGCCGAGACTGGTGCCGATTTCAAAACCCTCGACCTGTAACTTCCTCAATGCATGTACGATATCCCGTGTGCGGAGAAGAGAGACAGAGAGGACACTTTGGTGTTTATGAATATTTGAGTTTTTGGCTAGGAAAAGGCGCAGTTTCTATTATCTGCTGGAGTTTGAGTTGATTTGCCCTGCAAGACCTGATTGATGAGTTTAGGTTTTATTATTTTTGATTCTCAAGGAGATGGATCCATAGGGCTAAGGGTCTTTTAACTTATTTTCTTGAATGTTTATTATTTTTTTTTTTTCACTCTAATCAAATGTGATGGAAATGCTTGTGTCTATTTACGTAGGATTGCTTATAAAAGGGTCTTCAATTGGGGTATATACATTAGGATACATTAGGTCCATCTCTTTAAGGGCTTCAATGCTAGATCATCAAGATGGTTATTCTGCACTTCCATAGCGTGGTTTCACAACACTTGGAATATGACTGCGTTCATCCACATCCATACGGTCCTCACTCATTTCGTCCAGACTTTCATCAACCACTGTGCCGACTCCAGCATCTTCCTTGGCCGAATCGTCAATAGTGATGACATCGGGGGCGGTCTTTTTTCTTGGGCTTTCCACTTCTTCTGATGTTTTTTCCTCATACATAGTCCAGCATCTTTTCCGTCGGTTCTCATTCAAGTCGTCCTCGAGCTCCTGAGTACCATCCGCATACACTTCCCAATCACTGCAGTAGAGAGTTCGGTCGCGCCAGTCGCGGTCTGTCGGGTTGTAGTCTTCTGGTGACGTACACTCCCTTGGAGGTCTATGGACGAGTATGTCTTTTTCATTTTTATTTTCTGGGATGAGTTGAACTCTGAGTCGAGATGGCACGGGCTGTTCTAGTAAACGCCATAATTTGGTTTCTTCGCGGCGACTTATTTCGAGATCGAGAAGATTGGCATCTTCTTCTTCGGGGTCCAGAGGTATTTCGTAAGATTCGGTCCTGGGCAATGAAGACGAGTCTGAAGTGAATTCCGACAACACAGAATCCGATTCAGATTGACCGTCGTCCCGTTCCAGTTCACTTGAGATGTCGTCTTGATCAGATTCGGATTCGGATTCGGAGTTTTCTTCTGTCTGGAGAATTTCATGGGCCTTGTCGTAGCTGATAACACGAGGCTGCTCCTCGCCATCCACTTTGTCAGTGATGGCCAGACAGTTTCGACGCGCGACATCGACAAAGAAGCCAGCTCGACCGTGTTTCATGTTCAGCACGTCAAGGGCAGCTCTCACATCTCTCGTTCGAACGAATTTTCCTCGTTCTCTGCCCATTGCGCGCAGACCATGTAGCCGTGTCATAGCAAAGAAGATTGCGGACTGAACCAAGCGGCGCGTGATGCTCATTGTCAAAGCATAGAAATCCATGAGAGCTTCACCGTGCAGAGAGGGAGACTCGCTTTTTGATTGAACGATGTTACTCCAACAATCCTCCGATCTTGACCCGCCGAAATTCATGAAGAACATTGTAGAGAGATTGACCCAGCCTGGAACGTGCAACACATTTGCAGCGAGATCAATACGGCCACGCAAAGGAGGATTGACCTCTTCTGCAACAAGTTTCCAGGCCTGGTCGTGGGCAATGAGCGCATTCGCATCATAAGTTGCTCGATGCGCTAGCTCCAGATCGAGATCCTCTCTCATGACCAGTGCTCGCGCATATTTATCGAGCTCAGCACAGCATTCCTTGCTGACTTCCACGGCAGCGGGGACGTCACCCAAAACTATGGTGTCTGGGGATCTTTTCTCTTTAAGGCGTTCCAATCCACGGTGAATTAATTCGAGATAATCCACCACCTCCAATTCTGATTTGCTCCCAAGCATAGAGGCGATCTGTTGGATCCCAGCCTTGCCATTCTTGTCGAGCAGTCTAAAGAGTAGTGTCTTTTCTGCCGAGGTCCAGACCACCGAACCATTTTGAGTAATCGTATATGTGTTGTCATCTTCGATCAATTTGGTCGCTGGGATATCGCTCTCTGTTTGCTTTAAAAGTGTGACATATTGAGCTAAGGAATTCTGCTTCAAATCGGCGAGAAGTGCATCGCGTTGTTCCCACCGGTTTTGGGAGGATTTTGGTTCATCTTCGGTCCCCCCTTCCGGCTCAGTTTCATAGCTCGCATGATCTTGTGAGAGATTGCGCTCTTCTGAATGTGGAAATCTAAGATCAAGGGATTCTAACCGGGAAGTAGAGCGCCGCTGCTGCCGCCCGCGATTGGACTCGATGGAGAAATCAGAGTCGTCGGAGTTGTCGGGTTCGAAGGAAGAGACACTGCTCATCGTGGGAGACGCGCAAACTCGCAGCGCAGAGTAAACCGGAGGCGGAACATTACAGCCACGTCTGCGAGATCACTTAAGTCGTCCAGTCTTGGACGAAGAGAATAGGGAAAATAGACAAAAAGTTGTCGGTTGAAGCTCCACCAGTACGTTATCGATAAGAAGTTTGCACTGTTTGTGAGACCTGGGACAAGCTTCAACTTCACCACTTTCTTCCCTTCTGTATGGAGTTCATTCGCAGATTTAGGTTGCTTTCGATATCGAGGTGTAAACCCCTGCCAAAGAGACATGCTGTACAGGGTGGCTGGCGCAATGTGCGATTCAACGCTACTGTTCCCCAGCCGTCCGGCTCAAGTATCGTTCTCCGTGACTACCAAGAAGAAAGTATCCAGTCAGTGCTTAAGTACCTAGGCGATGGCCACCGACGTCTTGGAATATCGCTAGCTACTGGCGCAGGGAAAACGGTTGGTTGGGATACTTTGCCCTGTCTTTTCTCCCTGAAAGAAGCACACTAATTATTCTCCAAAGGTCATATTCACGCAACTCATCAACCGAATTCCGCCACGCGATGCGAAAGCAACGAAGACTATGATCATTGTCCACCGACGCGAACTAGTCGAACAAGCAGCAAAGCATTGTAGACTTGCGTATCCAGACAAAATTGTGGAAATTGAAATGGCACAGAATGTAGCTACTGGACATGGCGACATCATCATCGCATCTGTACAAACTCTCTCCCGAGGGCGCATCAACAAATTCAATCCTAGCGACTTTAAACTCGTTCTTGTGGACGAAGCACATCATATTGTTGCGCGATCATATCGCGAAGTTCTGGGTTATTTTGGACTGAATGAACCTAACTCCGATGCCCCGGTGCTTGTTGGAGTCTCTGCAACCTTTGCGCGATTTGACGGGCTCAAGCTCGGTGCTGCCATTGATCATATTGTCTATCACAAAGACTATGTCGACATGATCGGAGATAATTGGTTGTCAAATGCCATTTTCACGACAGTCAAGTCACAAGCGAATCTTTCAAACGTCAAGAAAGACAAGTTTGGTGACTTTGCTCTCGGCTCGCTCTCACAGGCTGTCAATACCGCAAACACCAACAATATTACGGTCCGGGCATGGATGGCTAACTCCCAGGACCGGAAATCCACTCTGGTCTTCTGTGTGGATGTCGAACATGCCCGACAGCTTACTGCGACATTCCGCGAGCACGGCGTTGATGCTCGCTACATCACAGCCACTACACACAAAAATGTCCGATCAGAGCAACTCGAAGCCTTTAGGAATCAAGAATATCCAATTCTGTTAAATTGCGGTTTATTTACAGAGGGCACTGACATTCCTAACATTGATTGTGTGCTCCTGGCACGACCGACCAGATCGAGAAATCTGCTCATTCAAATGATTGGGCGTGGGTTGCGTCTGTATCCTGGAAAGAAGGATTGCCATATTATTGACATGGTTGCGTCTCTAGAAACAGGGGTCCTTTCAACCCCAACACTCTTTGGTCTTCACCCCGATGAGGTCCTGGAAAAGTCCAGTGTGAAGGATTTCCAAAAAGGCAACCAAGAGGAAAGCAATGCGGAACTATCTATAGCTCCTGAAAGTGAATCGGATGGAAACATCAACCTGAAGTTCACCAAATACGATAGTGTCTACGATCTTTTAGAAGACACGCAGTCCGAGCGACATATCAGGTCTCTGAGCCAAAACTCTTGGGTCCGGGTGGATCACACAAAATATTTACTATCGGAATCTTCGGGGTGGCTAACCATCGAGCACGAGAAAGAAATGTTCGTGGTACGCCACGTCATGAAATTCAACGACCCAACGACCGAGGTCCTTCAATTCACTCGGCCGCGGGTGATTGCATCTGGGCCGGACTTGGAAACCGCCGTCCGTGCAGCAGACACATACGCCAGCAACAAGTTTGAAAAGCGATACATTTCATCCCGGCAACCCTGGCGACAGAGCCCAGCCACATCAGCTCAAATCGCAATGTTGAACAAAGCCCGCATCCGAGATGGGAATTTGAAAGTTGGGGATCTGACACGTGGCCAAGCCACTGACATTATTACCAAGCTAAAGTTCGGGGGCAAGAAACGATTCAAAGAAATTGCGGTTAAGCAACGCAAGCTGCAACGGAAGGAAAACGAGTTGGACGAGTTGCGACGGAGAACCAATGTCAAGGTCGGGCCATTAGAAGGCTAAGCATGGCATCTACAGTTTGAACGGCGGACCTCCTGGCTTTCTACCTTTCCTTCCACATTTTAATGTCTACTTTTAGGGGTTTACTGCAGGAACAAACCCTATTTTAGCCCGCGAGAAGTGTGTCATTTGTGACGGTCACGAACAAAATAGATACATCTATGCCACGTATTTATAGAGTCCAATAGATACAGGTACAATCATGCACATGTGGGTGATAGCAATAAAATTTCGAACATGCCTAGACTGCACCTAGTACACAGGTATCTTGAAAGCAGGGAAATCGTAAGTCCAGGTCTTTATCGACTTCTCATCATAGACACAATCGAAGGTGGCATTGTTACGCCATAGCGGACGGGAAGGCCACTGGCACAGCATCTGGGTCTCCCCCTCGTAGTCTCCAGAAGAGACAGTGGCATTGAGGCGCGTGGGTGTAACGCCATTCTCAACCCAATCTATCATAATCTCCATATTGTCTTCCGGGTACGGACCGGGCTGCAGGGTGTTGGTTCCACAATGCGCGGCACCGGGGATCAGATAAAACTGATACCAGTCTCGGAGCGCTTTCAGACTCGCCTCGCTGGACACATCGGGGTACATAACCGAGCGAACTGATTGCCAGTAGTGCACCGAGGAAGCGGAGGGAATGCTAGGATCGGATTCACCATGGTAGTGCAGGAGTTTCCCGCCAGAGGATTGAAACTTGGTCAAGTCAGGGACGGTGGTCTGCAGACTGTCCGAAAAGCGAACGAAACCAGTCTCCATCCAGCTCACTAGAGTATCATAGGTGACCCCATCGAGGGTTGATAGGTTATCCAGGTCCAGAAGCTCGACAAATTTTGTGACCCATTCACCACCGGTAGATGTAATTGATAGTTCCCAGGCATCGGTGCTGTTATTCCATTCGGTGCCAGCGTCGCCGAACTGGGAGCCAATCTGCCACGAGAGGTAGGCACGCTGACCTTTGCTGTTGTGAAGACTGGCATAGATAGCCTTTGCAACAGCAACGCCTTCCTTCGAGACTTTGCCGCTCTGAACGGGCTGGTAGCTACTAGAAGAAGAGCCACCAGGGGATCCGGAAGAGGTAGTCGAGGCAGCACAGTAGTACTCCTCACTGATTATAGACGATAGATCAAAATCTAACATACACAAATCGGTACGAGAGATCACACCATCGGTACGATCATCGAGAGGGTCGCAGGCTTTGATAGTGGCGTTTACGATCTTAGCCAGCTCACAGGGAGGAGGGTAGTAACCCAGGACTTTCTCAACCTCGGCAGAGAACACATGATTGACCTGTTGCTGGGCCATTCAGAAAGCAGGAGCACCTGTGATCGCACCATCGTACTCATCACCATATCTCTGAACCTGGCTCATACCCTCCCGTCCGCCATCGGAGCATCCTTCGTAGTAGGTATATAGCTTAGAGCTGGTTGAAAGACCATAGAGACCCTTGGTGACATACTTACCAATTTGGGTCATCTCGCCAAGGGCTTGATAAGCGAACATATAGGTCGCATCCCAGTTGATAGAGCCATTGCCAAGGAGCACAGCGTCATCATAGCCAACGCCATTCAGGGCGTCGTAGCCTGCAGACGTGGCTCCAGCAGCAGCACCATAAGGAAGGCCACCGGTCGAATCAGTGTTCAGCGAATATCCTCCACCACCAGCAACGTAGAAGCGGTTTTTGAAGTCTGCAGGCTCAGGGAAGGCGTATTTGACAATAATGTTAGTGTCAGGATTGCCGGGATGAATATAAGTGAGCGTGGCATTGCAGTAGTCGTAGGTTTGGCTGGAGCCACTGCTGCTCATTCCACCACCAACGGTAGCATTATAGACCACAGCGGTTGTAGAAGCGGATGTGATCAGATTGATACCCAGCAGAGTACCGTTGGAAGGCAGGACAGACTTGACATTGGACAGTGTGCAGACATCGGCCAGAGACTCCGCATTCGCAGCCACGGCACAGGCCGCAACAAAAGTCCCGACAGACGCGTTGGACAGAAGACGCATGGCGTGTGAACTGAAATGAAATTGAGTGTGGCAATGATCTGGATAATACTGATCAAGAAAACAGTTGTTCGCTACAACAATGGACTCGGGGGTGCGGAACTGGTATTTATAGGGGAAACCCCCTGGAACAGGCGAATGGCTGCATCAACAGTGATAGAAAGTAGCATATTCATAGATTATCTGCCGGTCTGTCAGACAGTGTCCCCATGAAATTAATTGCCGATGAAATCTTCAATCCGGTCTAGAGTTAGCTCAGAGTGTGTCGTCATCCTGCAGCAGGACGCGTCTCGAAAGTGCCACTAAATGTCTAGCCAATTCAACGAAACATGACCGTCATTGAATAGGCAAAGATTCTCTGTATGTGGCCGCGTCAGTGTTTGACCTTCCATTGGACCAAGGTATGTATCATCAAGGTGGTGGCTTGAATAAAATGAGCGGGTGAAAGGAAGGTTAGGGCTCACAGGGGTATGAGGGAAATTAAAGTTAGAGCAAGTTGTGGGGAGACCCCAAGAGCCCCACCGAAGAGCCCGGGATAGTGTGGGAACATTGTGAAGAAAAGGTCATATCTCCAGCATGTTATTTGTGCTGTTAGCCTGTACCATAGATTCCCTAAAAGAGATGCGTATGAACAGCTCTGGAAAGGGAATGAATAAACGGTATACATCCAACAATCAATCATATTGCACCCGAGCTTTGAATTAGGCAATCAGTGTCGTTGCTCATTCAGGTGGGGGAGCCCTCATTTACGGTTTAAAATCTCGCCCGGAGAGGTCCCAGCACAAGATCGACTCACCTGAGGGAAAGAGCCAATGACTATAGGTCCAGGCATGGCACGTTGTGGAGGTTGAAGTTAGACGGCAAATCCGGGGAAGGGGAGTCACATGCTAGCTGCGCTAATGACGCAGCTCGGCAATCACATCTCTCGCTGCATCTTTTTGGGAGGGGGTGCTTGCTCAGTCGCTCTTTTTGGCGGAGGGGAACTATCGAGTATAGAAAAAGGAGAAGAGAAGAATTGGAATGGAAAAAAGGAAGAGGAAAAGAGAGGGCGGTCATGTTCGACAATGGCGCCTTCCTAAAACAACAAATCAATGCATCGTGCCTTCCTTGTCTTTCTTTGCTCCTGATTCTGCTTATCTGCCTATATTGGCCATTCGTCAATTTCACAGATTTGTTATGGAAGGTGAATGTACTATTTTATACGAGCAAAAGCCTAAAAGAATAAGAAAAAAAAAATTGAAAAGCACCTAGAACCAACTCCAACGCCCCAAGACATTTCAAGGTCACCGAGTTTTCACCAAAGTCACCGCTAAGATCAAAGAGAATGGAGCCTCCTATAATCGGAATGGCCCAGGAGAACCATTATTTCAAGGGCTTCCTTCCGTAGACAACGACTCTGAAATTCTATTAGTAGATGCCTACCACAATATCAATATAACGACTCACTCCTTGCAATACGCGTGCATGCTCTTGTCACGCATCTGCTGCCTCACTGCCGCATTTAAGATTTGGGATGGTTCAGTTCCCCACCCAAGGACCGAAGTGAACAATCTCAGACCATAAGATTCGACGGCCTTCGCGGTCATGGCAAGCATGTACCTCCCCAAATCTTTCAGATAAGGGTCTTGTGGCCAAGGAGCGTAGGGTAAGAAGTAGGTGAACTGCTGCACGTCTTCAAAGCCAGCGGTAATAAGCCAATCGCGAAGCTTAAAGTAGACGTTCAAATCTCTGCCAGCCTTGTGCGAGGCGACCTCCAAGGCTTGCAGGTACTGGATAAAAGGGGAGTCTAGCTTGACCGTACCGTCGTCGCTCCAGGCCCACAAAGCACTCTCCTGGATCTCAAAGTAGGCTCCTGGCTTGAGATGATCGTAGACCCGTTGGAGTAACTTGGGCCAGTCTGCAACGCATCTGAACAAGGTTGTCAGCATGGACCTCCGGGTAGAACGAAGCAGAGAGCATACCCAGATATCATTCGTGTATGGATAAAGTCGAAACTGTTCTCCTTGTAGAGCCATTCTGCCTCGAAATCCTCCACGAGGAACTCCAAGTTGGGTGTGACCCAGCTGGGCTGGATGGCACTGATGTCAGTTCCAATTACCTGAGCTTCGGGGAATTTCCTTGAGGTTGATTAGCCACGGATCTAGACGAAGGTGGACGGAAACATACTCCGCGATATCGATGGCCCAAATGCCAGTACCAGTGCCAAGATCCAAGATTTTCTGGGGATTTTTGACGGGCGCTTTGTAGAGCTCTCCCTTTAACAACACCAACCAGCTGGAACAAGGTCAGCATCCATCAAAACTGGCTGAACTGGGATCTGCTGACATATGGTGGGCCTAGGCGTATTAGCGGAGGACTCCAGAAGGTGATCAGGAGAACTATACCAAGTCCATGCGGTCTTGTTCCTCTTCATCATTTGGCATCCTAGGTTTCGATCAGTGGCAGTTCGTTCCTGGTTCGTAGTAGAGATATTCGCATTACATGTAAAGGCCCTGTAATCAAATTAACGCAGGTTTTATTAGAAATCACAGTTGGTCCTACTGCTCGATTACTATGATAGCGGCGACCATTTTCGTATTCGTAGTCAAGAATACTAGAGGATAGCGATGTGATATCCGAGTCATCGCTATCGAATTGACTGCTTCCATCCTGTGTGATGTTTAGCTAGAATCCCCAGTCGGAAACGCTCGGTTCATACACTTCCAAAATCATCAACCACGACTGGACCTTGAATATTAAGCGTGGTCTCGCCGGCGTTTAGTAGCGCCTCGGGGCGTCTAGGATCATCCGGAGCCGAGGCGGGCTCCAAAGTCAACGGATCAGCCATAATGGTTTTCAACTCAGGATTGAAAATGTCGAGGTGACGACATCCGGACTTATAGTCCGAAGTTAAGAGAATTTCGGGCAGAAATGTGACCTGTCGATGAGTCTGCAGATTCCAGTTCGGTGAGGGGCCTGCACGAAGCCCAATTGATTCTCCATCTCGAACCATAGGATCATCCAATGATCGATGCAGATCCCACGGTACTTTGTCGCACAAGGACTCTGGGACTTGGAACCTTCCCGGATCTTGCATGCATTGCCGAGCCCGCGGCAAATCATCTTTTCTATGTTTTCCAAACAACGCTCTAGTTGCAGATTCAAATCAACGCAACCGCATTGACCTGAAAAGACAGATAACCAGCTCACACAGGATCTTCCTTCTCCACTGAGCGCTAATAAATCCCGACAGTTTGGATCTTCCCTCCACCTCCACCTACCATTCTTATCCTCCGAGAGGGTGAATAGACACGTCCAGGATACGAGACACCTCGCTCCAACAGACCGGTCCGGCCGTGAGACTTACACATAAGAAAGGCCAACGCAATTGGTTCCGGACTGTCGGGTCGGATTCCTGTCAGGCAACTGGAGCGGGAGATGCATTCAACCGTGTCATTCAGACCGATCAGAACTTGATTGACGAAACACACTAGCGAAAGATGCCCGACTCTCTGGCTCAAAATTTCATAACTTCCTGACTCCGCGACACGCGGCATGAGCAGATTTTCTCCAGTGGCAAACCCTTTTACGGGATCCCGGAGACTTGAGACCTCTGATATGCAGTGAGAAAGTCGAAGTGTCCGATGTGATGTATGGATTATTCGAGATAATTCGACCTAATATCTTCAGTCTTCGCAAACGATAAGAAAATTTCGATCGAAATCGAATAAACTGGCCATTTTTCTCACATTAGGACCCCGCCTGGACTGCTAGCAGCACCGCAATACGTACCAACTGATTCAATATCGAAGAGACGGCGCCCACGCGAGCCATAACGCGCAATGCCGGCCCCGTCTCATAATCGAACACCACCTAACCGACCATGGCTGTGCTAGATATCTCACCTGCACCCATCTCGAACCCAGGGCCCTTGTCCTCCAGACTCGTGAACAGAGAAACCGAGAAACCGCATGAATACATCACTGAGATTGCAGTATGAATGACACGACCCCAGTGAGAGCTGTATTTGGCATAGCTGGATAGCAAATATCAGAGTTCGATGTCGCAAAAGCTCTTCAAGTCACTTTGTGGTTTGGAGGGCCTCTAACATTGAGAATCACAGCTCCTCGCGATGAAATACTCACACTTTCAAAATTGTAATCCGAAAGCGAAGAGTTGAATACACAGTCTCATATCAAAAAATCAGTCCATATCTCGGTTTCTTTGAGATATCTGAGATCTATGAGTTCATGGTATTCTTGAAGACCTGTCTCCACTTGTCAGCATATGTTACAGTACCGTTGATTTGTAATGCCCATCTCAGTCTAACTAGTTAACTCTATCTTGACTTCCCTAAACTTCATCCACATAACACATGCAATGTTGTCGACCGATCCACAGCGCTCCGTCTGTGTGAATTGCAAATCGCGCAAGAAGAAATGTGATAAAGTGTGGCCAAGGTGTGGCTATTGCACACAGTGAGTTCCCTCCTGCCCCACTTCGACACATTGAATTAATGAGATGAAAGAAAAAAATTAGACTGTTCATATCAGTCAGTTGATACTAAACACTTGTTTGCCCATCCAAAGCCCTTCTTGGCGACTCTTAGTCCCATTATTCGTTCCTCTTTGCTTCTATCAACTACCTTCTCAGATGTTTTATCATCAGAGTCGACAACCGTCGACTCCACTGTATACCGGCAGACTCTACATATCATACGAGCGATGGGCCAATTTGTGGATGATATCACCGCCAGATATTTTCGCGGCATCCATTCGTTTATCCCGATCATCTCGCGTCCCCGTTTCCATGAGCAGCTTGTCAAATGTGGAGCACCGCCTCTGGCCGGTTTCTCAATTTTATTGTTGAGTATGGGCCTGATCACCTATCACCCAGAGCTGGTTCAACAGGTATCCGAACCTCTTGACATGACAACACTTTACGTAACTACAAAAACACTCTTTGCTCAGGTACAGGCATCTTCTCCACCATCATTGCATCTCATTCAAGCGAGTACAATCATTGCTGCGTACGAGTATGCAATTGGCAAATTCCATGATGCGTTTACAACTATTGGCATCTGCGCAAGAATGGGTTATACATCCCGTCTCCATCTAGCGAACCCAAACGCAGGAATGGACCGCAATACCTATCTACAAGCCGAAGAGGAAAGTAACACATGGTGGGGAATTGTCGCCTGTGAAAGGTATGATGGCAGTCCAGTCTAGTTGAATTTACCCATCCAAAGCTCATTGCCATAGGATATTTTACTGTGAGATAGCGGAATCTCAACAGCCTTTTGCAATGCGGGTGCCTCCCCGAGAAGCTCGGCTTCCAACGGAGCCAACGTTAGCGTCTTTTGCAGTATCTAAGTCCAGATCTCCTCTAAACGAACCCATTGCAACTGAAACCACAGGTGGCTTTGCATGTATGGCACAGGCAACCTGGCTCCTGGATGAGGTTTTTAAAGCAATGGAGGTAACAGATCTAGATGCAAGATTAACTCAACTTGACGGGCTTGATCATACTCTTCGCACCGTCCTGACTGTGGTCATGAATAGAGACCAAGGGGCCTGGGGTTCATTTTGCGCTGCCAATGCGATGATTATTAGGTACGACCTGAATCCCTTGACCCTAAACCATCTGGCGAACTAAGAAACAGTAGGGCTCTTTTCATTCTTCATGGGGAGATTTTGCACCAAGTAGCACACATGGGGGCCTGTAAGCGCAAATCCCCAGAGCAATGGCTGAACAGCTCCCGTGCTGCCCTGGACTCGATTACGAAGATGGTACAGGATATTGCAATAATTCACAGCGAGGTTTCAGCTCTCTCCAATCTGGATACGTTGCCTCCAAGCTGTGCATTTATTACTCGTGCCGCACTTCGGCATATAGATGGCACTGGACTCAATGGCGATCAGTGGGATGGTGCTAGGACTAGGGAGAAGCTTCAGATGTCCTGGGAGAAATTTAATCATCGTTGGAATGCTGTACCTAAGTATAATGGCTAGTTAGTACTTATATGTGTGGCCGAATGATTGGAACATGGACTCGAGTTAGGGTAATCGTTCTTTAACGAACTAATTGAGACCAAGAAGTTGAAAAGAAGAACCTTTACTCCTGAAAGCTAGCATAAAAACGTCGATAGTATAAGAAAAACGCCTCAAAAAACATCCGTCCAACCCATAGAGGAGACAGAGATAACAACACCCCGACACCTTAACTTCCGCTTGATGATATATGAGTCTCCAATGTATCCGGAGAAAAGACTGAACAGTAACAATAATGCATAACCGCTGGTACCTGACATAGCTTAGTAATACCACACGTGACATACATAACGTAGCGGGGTAGACCTTATGAGCAAACCTTTCGAGCAAACCCCCGCTATCCAAGTCTCAACAATCTCACCCGATTTCACCCATCACTACCACCATCATGTCCGCCCTCAAGGATCAGTTCGACCAGGCTGCCAAGGATGTCAACAACCTCAAGCAGAAGCCAAGCAACGATGAGCTGTTGAAGGTAAACGGATCCCGCGACGCGCCGTATCCTCGATAGTGTATTGACGAGTTTCCCTAGCTTTACGCACTCTACAAGCAAGCTACAGTGGGTGACTGCAACACAGAACGGCCTTCCGCCTTTAATATCAAGGTAATACTCTCATCTCCCACGTTCATATGACTTTCCACTAACGCCAACATTCGCACTGTAGGAGAAGTACAAGTGGGATGCATGGAACGCTCTGAAGGGGGAGACAAATGAGCAAGCGATGGAGCAATATGTCAAGTTCGTGGATGAGCTGAAGGCCAGCCATGGATTCTAAGCGTAATCCTAGCTTATAGATATTGCTTGACTTGACATGAGACTAGTCCATCGGTAGTATTAGTACAAGGACCCTTACTACAGAATTACATGATCATTCCAAATTTAGAGTACATATCAACGTAGAATGGTAGAAGATTGGTTGAGAAATTTGAACAGCATGAAATGTATTTTTGTCCTCATCAACTAACTATGAAATTCATTAAACAAAGTCATAAACTCCATAAAAAGACAGTATAATTCCGTCTTAAATGACTTAGATGTCATCCTCGTCAGAGAAGACCTCCTCACCACGCTTGCGGCGGGCGGCACGCTCCTTCTTCTTCTTGCGGAGCTCAGAGCCTGGGAAATATATGTTAGCAATCTTGTCTTGAATGTACTCCAAATTAGGATAGGATGATATAAAAACTCACCAGTAAGCTTCTTCTTCTTCTCAGTAACAATCTTGTTACCCATAGCATCGAACTTGTCCTCCTCGTCATCACCCTTGGCGTCGAGACGGGGGCCGGAACCCTGACCCTGGACCCAGTTGTGGCCGGAGGGCTGCATGAGACCGTCGTTGACGGCCCAGACTTCCTCAGTCAAGTTCTCAGTGAACTCACGGGAGTGAGTAATGATGATAACACCACCCTCGAAAGACTTGATGGCCTTGGACAGAGCACCCAGGGAGTCACGGTCCAGGTAGTTAGTAGGCTCATCAAGGACGATGACGTGGGGACGCTGCCAAGAGCAAGCGGCCAGGACGACCTTAACACGCTGTCCACCGGACAGACCGCGCATCTGGGAGTGAGAGACCAGCTCGTTGTCGAGACCGAAGTTGGCGCAGTGCTGCTCAATCTCCTTGCGGACAAGGGGACGGAACTGACCGGAGGCGAGGGCCTCCTTCTGATCAACCTCAGCGACCTGCTTGGAGTGAGACTCCATGATCTCGGAACGGGGCAACCAGGTGTTGTCAGCGGACATCATGGGAGTCCACTTCTCGGACTTCATGCCGATGTTGTCACCCAGAGACCAAGAGATCTCGTACTCGTAGGTGTTCTTGAACTTGCGACGAGAGTGGATACCAATGACACGACGGAAGGTACCCTCGACCTTGTAGATCTTGTCCATGGCCTTCTCGTCCTGCTCGGTGACGATCTTGTTGGCGCGGTCCATGGTCTCACGGTCCTCACCGGTCTGGAAACGCCACTGGATGTACTCCGAGGGGGTGGAGCCGAGGTGGTTATCGATGTGAGCGAAAGCGTGCTGCTTAATGTAGGCAATACGGATGTTCTCGTGCTGGTAAACATCACCGGAGGTGGGGATAAGCTCACCGGTCAGGACGTTGACCAGGGTGGACTTTCCAGCACCGTTGGGACCGATGACGGCAATACGGGAACCCAGGGAGACCTGGAAAGTGACGTCCCGAATCTGGGGCTTGGGGGTGTTGGGGTACTGGAAGGACATGTTGGAGACACGGACAATGGCCTTGGACTTGGTCTTGACACCCTCAAGGAAACCGGGCTCGGGGAACTTGAACTCCATGTCGGAGGCGGACAGCTCGTAGTAGGAGCGAGCGGCGGGAACGCGCTTGACGAACTCGCTCAGAGTACCGCGGTAACGCTTAAGCTTGAAGCGCTCGTAGTGAATGACGTGTTGGATAACGTGGTCCAAGAAGCGAGAGTCGTGAGACACCATGATGGAAGTGCAAGGGGAGCTCTTGAGGTAGTTCTCGAGCCACTCGACGTTCTTGACATCCAAGTGGTTGGTAGGCTCATCGAGCAGCAGAATATCGGGGTTCTCGAAAACGGCACGGCACAGAGCGAGCTTCATCTTCCAACCACCGGACAGGGCAGTGATGAGACCATCGAGCTGGGACTCCTGGAAGCCGAACTCGTTGACAAGCTTGTCCTTGACCTCAGCCTCGTTGGGCTGCAGGCCAACCTCGATAAGCTTCTTGAGGGTCCAGCCAAGGACGGTCTGCTCGGTATCGGCGGAATCCAAGTCGTGCTCGACGTAGACGGTCTTGACCTCGGACTTCTTGGGGAAACCCTCGAGCTGCTCGTTGTTGATAGCACGCATGAGGGTGGTCTTTCCGGAACCGTTGGGACCGAGGAGACCGTAACGCTGACCACGCTTGAGACGCAGGTGAGTCTGGTTCAGCAGAATCTTGGCACCGTAGGCCAGGGAGAAAGTGCAGTTGCAGAGATCGACACCCTCCTCCTCATCGGAGGGGACCTCGTCAGCGGCAGCGGCATCGGGAGAAGCACGCTTGCGCAGGGCCTCGGCAACGGACTGGGCCTCCTCCTCACCGGTGATGGCAACGATGTAAGGAAGGGCGTTCTGGGTCCAGATGGTGGCATCGGAGTCCTTCTCGTCAACGAGCTGACCAGCGATGGCAGCAACGTAGTTGATGATGGTCTCGCAAGCAGGAATGCGGGCAGCGAACTTGGGCTCAAGGATCTCCTTGAGAATGGCAGAGACGGTGGAGATGTCACCAGCGGTGGAGATCTCGGGGATCTTGCCATCCTTGATCTCACCAACGCGGGACAGGGTGTCCAGAGCCTGGCGGGTCTTCTCACGAGCCTCGGGGTCGGCGAGGGTCTCGAAGTTCTTGTTCAAGCCGGGCAACATCTTGGGCAAGAAGGGAGCGACAATCTGGGGGTCCTCGACAAGCTTACACATGTTGTCGACAATGACGGCAGACTTACGCTTGATGGCAGTCTCACGCTCGACAAGACCACGGTCAAGCAGGGGAACCATGATAGCGAGGGTGGGGCCAGTGACATCGGAAACGAAAGTGGTGGCACCGAGCAAGTGAACGGTCTCGGGGACGTTCTCGGGCTTGGAGATACACTTGATGAGCTCAGGAATGAAGCGCTCAATATCCTTGTTGACAATGAGACCGCAGACCTTCTCCATGGTGGTGTAGGCGGCCTTCTTGATTTCACTCTTGGTGTCCCACATGGCCTCGGAGATGACGGGGATCAGGCGGGGGACCTGGTAGGAGAGCTGAGCGGGGGAAGACTCAACGAGGAGCTCCAGGCAGGTAAGGGCACACATCTTCTCCTGCCACTTCTGGGCGTTCTGGATGGACTCCATGAGAGCGGGGACAATGGCCTTGACGGCGTTACCGTTGATGGCCTGAACGATAGCAGCGGCGGTGCTCTGGGCAGCCTCACGGACGGGAGCCATCTTGTCACCAACGGCGGCAAGGACGGGGCCGAGGAGAGCCGCAAGGTGGGGCTCGACACCGGGAGCGATGGTGGCGTGGGAGGCAATGGCGCGGATGCCCTCAAGGGCACGCTCACGGGCAGTGGCATCCTTCTTGTTGGCAAGCTGCTTCACGAAGGTCTCGGCGGCCTTGGCGGGCAGAGTCTGCTCGGGAATGGGACCGCTGAAGAGAGTGGCGAGGTTGCCGGCGGCGGCGTTGACCTCCTCGGCGGAGGAGGAGATGTTGAGGTTCTTGATCAAGTCCTCGAGGACGGCCACGGACTGGGCGACCTCCTTGCCGGAGGCGGCAGGGACCTTGGAAACGTCGACGGCAGGCATTTTGGAGGAAATTTTGGCGGTGGAGAAAGAAAAAAAGGCGAGATTAAGATAACGAAAAGAAAGACTTTTCTATGGGTATCACGATATCGATGGCCCAAGCCGTGTCAACTGTTCAAGACACAGCAACGCTCTGTTCAGATTGAGCGGGGTGAGGGTTTTCTATCTGTCTATGCAGAGAGAAAAAAAAAAGAAAACAAAGAGAGGGCAGACCTCAAAAAAAACAGATGAGGAGGGAGTGGGAAGAAGGAGGGGCGGGTTGAAGGGGGGGCAAGATTATTTATCGTGTGGCCCTTCGCCGCCCAAGGTGTGAATCGAAAATTTTTTTTTGTTCCCAGCGAAACTAACCCTGTTTCGGGCTTAGTTCGGCGGTGACGGGCTCCCGATTGGCCACGGGCTGGTGTGTGCCCGAATCCCTCTCTTGTGATTGGTTGCGTAGCGGTTGGGAAATGAAAAAATCGGTTTGAGGAAGGAGGGGTGTTGCTCTTAGATAGCCCTATCTCCTCTGTAACTATAGTAACGTATCAACGGAGTTTCTCTCATATGGGGATTCATATTTTCATTCTATAATTACAAAGCTGATTTCTTTTTACCGGACTCTTATTTTAGTTATTGAATTTTAATTTTTTCCCGCGGCTATCAGAGGCTCGAGGCCTGCACATGCACCATAGCCTAGTCCACTCTAGGAGGTCAATCCGGGGCATGAAACACCCTGTACAGAATCAGCCCTCCTATGTTCTATGCATGGAATCTGGACTTGTGGGTAGCGCAGGGCTGCCGCTGCCAAAACTCTGCTGTTCGCCACTTTCATGACTCGGTGGCGTAGGCTATGTTCGGTATATCCAATCAAGGGTTCCGACCTCGAAAACGATTAGACCAACGTGTACTCTAATTGTGCTTCTGATCCGTCTTTTATTCGAAGATTTTCCATCGCTACGAACCAGATCTCCCGTTTTGGCCCGTTCAAATCAGAATCTGAGGTGTTCTGGAATCTGACGGTCTAGTGGCTGTGGGTTAACATAGACATGCAAAGGTATCGTAAGCGTGAAACAAAGCAAAAATCCCTAATATTCTAAGAATAATTGATTTTACGTTGACCTGGTAGGATCAATCTGAACATCTCAGGGACTTTTGATTTCGAGATTCCCCTCCCTTCTCATGAGACCGAGTATGAAAGATGAGGAAGTCATTCTCGATGCCTATACATGCTCGGTGTTCACTCACCGCTTCAAATATTTCTTATCGCTTATCGCCGTGTAACCTTAAATGATCCGTGTCCCAAATTCTTATTTCTTAATTCTGATTTCTGAGTTTCAAGGCTGCACGTATTCCTGGGAACGAAAATTCTTTCATGCTAAGCCACCTTGGTTCCTCTCTGATCCCCCGCGACAACCGGCGAAAACCGATCGGGTCACTCGGCAGTGGGTCCTGAGGAGTTTTTCTCTGAACGGCTTTGTAGATTTTCAATGCTTA